TCGGAGGGTCTGCAAGTGAAGTTGCTACCGACAAGCAGGTGGAGGAAATGGCCAATAGGTTCGCAAGGGCTATGACCAGTTTTCTGGAATCCAGAGCTGCTGCGGAGACCCTTATAGACCCTGCTTCCCAGGCTACAGCACCCGCAAAGAGCCAGCCAAAGGATCCAAATTCGACAGAGAGAGAAACAACACCAGAGGTGGAAAAGTCAGTCTCGGGGGTGCTCATGCTTGAGGACCGAGCCAGAGCTGCAGACGAAGCCAAGCCAAATGACCCAAAGCAAGAAACAAATGACCCTCCCAAAACAGCCCAGCCAAACGACCCACAGAAAGAAAAACCGGAGAACGACCCTGCCAAAACAGCCTAGCCAAACGACCCAAAGAAAGAAACAAAGCTGGAGCCTGTGGAACCTGAAGCACCTGAGACCGCGAGAAGTGGGAGTTCAAAAGATGTCCCAGAGGAAGTCGACGAGGTTGCCTCCACAGTCCCAGGTTCCCAACAATCCTCTACAACAAGAAAGACCTTGAAGGGCTGAGCGAAGGTGCTTGTTTTGTTTTTCTTATAAATATTATACATATGTTTTAAAACAATCGCAATGGTTGGTTCATTCATGCCCCCTGCAGATCGAATCCTGGAGCTGCACCAATCGGGCTTGGTCCCTGCGTCTCTCATCAACACGTCCAATTGCAGGAAGATGGCCATGCGTATGCGTCGGCGCTGTGAAAAGGAGGGGTTGGCAGCCAAGTGCCCTAACGTTGCAAAGTTATTTGAAGGAAGCGACCAAGACCGTTTGTCTTTGCTTCGCACATGGCTAGCCAGTGGAGAAGTCTTGGACAAGTGTGAGCTTTCCCTTGAGATGACAAAAGAGGTGGAGAATATGTACGAGGGTGAGGACCAGCTGCTTACCATCGAAGGTATGCGTAAGGCAGGGTTTCAGAGACACTAGACTAGACTTGTATTGTGCGTATACATTTCTTTTCCCCTTTTGCTGTTGATATGGATGTTTGTTGTAAAAGCAAATTTTGAGAAGTCCGAAACCCAAATGACAACTAAGGAAGAAGATCCAGGCTGTGGTCAGCACTCGTCAGCCAATCTTGGATCCAGAGTTTCCAGAAAATTTGGAAGAGGCAAGATATTGGTGCAACGTCCGAACTTCACGAAGCAACGTACAAAGATCCAAGTTGTCTTTGAAAGGGGAGGTCCAAGTCAATCCAACAGGTGAGGCAGTGCAAGCTTTGACCTCTGGGGCCAATCTACCTACCTAGTCCTGGAGCAGTCAACATGACGGAAGTTCTGGCCAAGATTTCCGAAACCAAGCTGACAGGTCGGGGATTGGTTTTTGTACACTGTTTTGTGTATGTTTTGTTCATTGAACAGTGTACAGTACAATTTCTGAATACAATTTCTGAATTTCCAAGGTGTGGAAGAACCACAGCCCAAGGCCAAGGGGCGGGGTGAAAAGCAAAGCAAAGGCCAAACCCATCCCAAAGCCCCAAGAGCCACAGACCTGGGAAGAGCAAGTTTCTGCATGCTGCGCCTCGAAGAATAATCATTTGAATCAACCCATACAAAAATACTAGAGCATATGTTTACACATTTCTTCTCAGGTAATGATTTGCGGTCTTCCTACAATGCGTGCTCGGTGGCTATGGAGTTGCCAAAAGATCACGACCTCAGGAAGAACCTGAACATGTCAAAAGCAGAATTGGCAACTTTGGTGGACAAAATCAAGGACTTTGATTTGGACGATGAGACCTTGGATGAGAGTCAGTTGGAAAGAATGATGAGTTTGGCGAAGCAGAAGGCTCTATATGGGTCAAAACGCATTTGTTATGATTATAGTCATAGTTGTAGATTCTTTTTGAGCTGTCCTGTCAGATCAATTCCACCAAGATGACGATTGCGCAAGCGAAAGCTGTCATTCGTGAACTAGCAAAACGCTCCGGCTGCTTTACTAGAAAGGCTTCATATGTTTACACACCAAAACTCATGCGGCCTATTTGCTTTCCCGACCAAGGCTAGTTATTCTGGAAATGAGCCTTGATGGAGCCCTGACTCGGTTAGCGGCTAGGGATGCATACGACAAACTGTATGCGGGGTAAAGACCGCAGGGTGAAGCTCCACGGCAAAGAGCTTGGAAAAAATACGAGCTATCGGCCATCTCAAAAAAGACCACTTCTAAATTAGCTTTTTGGATTCGCGTTGCTGTGGAGGCGGCCTGGTTCCAATACATATTCGTGAAGAGTTGGATCATTTGCCTCTTGAATTAGTTTGTCGGTCGAAGTTTTCTAGAATTCTAACAGATATCGTTTTGTTGGTAAGCTATAAGGCTAGCGGAATCTTTTTTGGAAAAGCTAAGGCTAGCGGAAGCATTCGGACAAGGGGATATCTCCCAAGATTTGGCTGAGCGAATTGGAGCTGTCTATGGCTCTATTGGCTTTGGGACTTTTGGCATAGCCTTCAACTTTTTCATGACTCGGGACTTTTCACTCGAATTTTGGAAGTTTCCCCAAATATGGTTTCACAATTAATGCTGCTTTTGTTCGAGAGTTTGAGGACCGGGCGTGGCTATTCTGGGGAGCAGCGGTTGCACAAGCGCCTTTCTCAAGCTGGGCTTTCTTTACCGTGCAAGGTCGAGGAAGTTGGAATTCCCATTTGCATTGAAGACGATGATGGGGAGGACAAAGTGGAGATTGTACAATGGCCAGTTCTGCTACCACATGTTCTTGTTGAAGCTCTTGCCAAAGAAGGCTTGTCTCATACTATGCTGGGTTCACGATCTGACCATACCAAATACTGGACATCTATGAGCCATGATTTTCCAAACCACCAAGTTGCAGATCCACAGTACACAATACCACTGGTTCTGTACGGAGACGAAGCCACAGTATTTCGGCAGGCTTGCATGTGTGTTCACTTTCACCCTCTACTCTGCAAGAACAAGACTAATGCGACGCTAAGTCGATACCTGATAGCGCTGGTACCCAGTGAAAACTACTGGGTGGTTCTTGGTTCAAACGTTGAATATTTTTAGTTGTCAGGGCTGCATGCTTTGTTTTTGTGATCTGTGCAACTTTTTTTGCTCTGGAATTTGGTTGTGAGGTGAATGGAGTCAACAGGACTTTGCAAGCCCTACTATCGGAAGTTGTCCGTTCGTTGAACCAGCTTTCCCGAGATGGTGTCTATGATCCAGTGACGGAAAAAACGTTCCAGTTCCGCGTGATGAGTGTGAGGGGGGACTGGAAGTTCCTCAAGCAGGCCTTCAACCTCACACGACACCCAGGTACTGAATATATTTGCTGGAAGTGTAGTGCGGCCAAGGGAACTCGACCAAACACAGCAGCTTTAAACTTTACAGACCTGTCCGCAAGCGCAGCTTGGGTTGCTACCATTGGGGTAAGTGAGGCTCCCTTCAAAGATGTGCCAGCAATCACCCTGCTCGATTTTTTCAGTGAAGACAAAATATCAATGGATGTTTTGCACATATGGTATTTGGGAGTCGGAAGAGACATGATGCTGATCCTACATTTTAAGTCATTTTAATATATACAAGATGTTTTTCCTTTCGAAACAATCTTTCTGTGCTGGTCGGGAAATTGAATTTTCCTAGGGACCTAGCTGTGTTCTTTGGAACTGAGGATTGGGAGTGTGGTGTCATTTCTGTGCCGCCGGGGCTACTTTGGATCTGGTGGCCTCAAAAAAAACTGAAAAGAGCTAATGCTCAATTTCGGGCATGGTGCAAGCGCACGGGCTATCGTGTGGCGCTGAAACGATTGACTACAGTCAACCTCAGTCTCAAGAAGGGTTCCTACCCTGACCTTTGGTTCTAAGTTCAGCCGGTCAGTCTTTTGTTTGGGTTTTTGTTCAGTTTTCGTGTTAGGGGTTGGGATGTTCCTCGCTTTGGCGGACTAAGGAGCTGAGAGCTAAAGGCTACGACTGCGCAGAGCTGGGGATGTGGCTATGTCGAGCTGGAAGGCTGTCCAGACTACGGCAATCATGTGTACAGTTTGGTGTGGGCAGCAAATTTTTTTTGACTGTGCTGCATTCCAAAGACTTGTTATCCCGACAAGAAGCGAGTCAGACTCGGGTTGTGGGTCAGTTCTGGTTGAAATTTTGGCTTACGTTTGCAAATCGTGAGCCGGGTCGATGGCGGCTACGCCCAAAGTTTCACCTACTCTTTCATTTTGTTTGCTCAGCCGATGATGGCAAGAGTTTGCGTTCACCCATATGCGATGGATGGAACGTGGATGGACGAAGAGTGGATCAAACGAATCGTTCGGATAATTCGAAAAAACTCACAAAAAAACCAGTCCAAAGACGGCAATTTGCCGGCATCTTGTGCTTTTACAGCAAAAGCTGTTCAAAGGCAAAGCATTGTGAACGGATGAGGTGAGTGGGGAAAATGATAGGCCAGGGCGCTTTGGTAGACAGTACCGTGTCTGGTTGTTTTGAACTCTCTGTGTGTGTCTGTGTGGGTTTTGTGTGGGGAGGTAGGTGTGTTTCTGGTTCACATACCCAAGTGTCTTACAAGAGTGCCCCATCCACAAATCCATTGTGTTTGCTGCTAGCATACTATGGTTCGCTTACCAGGTCTTGAGCCACAAATCCATTGTGGTTTGCTGCTAGTCGCATGCTATTTCTGGCTCGCTTGCCAGGTCTTGAACCAAAAATCCATTGTGGTTTGCTGCTAGTCGCATGCTATTTCTGGTTGTCTTACCAGGTCTTGAACCACAAATCCATTGTGGTTTGCTGCTTACAGCAAGCTAATTCTGACGTCAAAAGTCCATTTGTCAAACATGTCTTGCAAAAAACATCATTTGTTAAACATTTCGCGAAATCATAGCGAATTAGCAAATGCAAAAAAAGTTTGACGAATGCATCTCTAGGAGTAGCTTCTTGTTCCTAGTAGCGATGCCCTTTGTTCCTAGTAGCGTCCTTGCTCCTATATCTCCGGCACGAAGCACTCTCTATCTATCTATCTCTGTCTCTCTGTGGGCACGACGCAACGGCGACTTCGGCGTCCAATGATCCCTGCAACATCAACGGCGCAAGCAGAATGCAAAGCACAAGCAGAAAGCACAAGCATGACACCAAGAGCGACCTCCTCAGCCAACAAAATGGCAACCCATAGATCCATGAGAATGCCGAGCCTAAGAGTGGTGGGGCCCTCCCTGGCTCTGGAGTCTGTGCCACATCTTCAAATTACTCTTTCTTCGAGTTGAGTTCATGTCTCCGTTCCAATCAGACTGGGCCCAAAACAGCGCTATGGCAATCAAACCTCGGCGATTCAGGATGGACGTTCTTTGAAAATCTCAAACCTAAAGAACACCTATTTTCGCCCCCCTATGAAACAAGAAGCTCCACGACTTCCGTGGCGCCAACAGCAAGGTGTTCGCGCCAATGGGGCAGCTTAAGTTTGGAGATGCCCTGTTGGAATCGACACCCCACCTCTGAAGAAGATAGAAGAAGTACATGAACAACGCTTTGAACAAATCGCAAACGCCTGTGAAGCATCCGGCAGTCTAAGCATGAAAAAGTGGAAAAGGAAGACTTTACCATCTGCTGTTGAAGTACAATGGGGCGCCAGTAGAAGCGGTCAATTTCTTGCTGCGTAATCTTTACAAAAAATGCGAGACGAGCGTTTTGCACCTCAAGGCTAAATTGGACCCCACTTGCACACGACTGGAGTTCCGGAGTTCCGGGAGCAGTAGTTGTACTATCCTGTACTAAAAAATCCAAGCCTCTATACAGTATTTAATCCACCCACTTCAATCCACTGGGTGGACGTGTGCAACAGATCAGTCTTCTTTCATATTGCAACGCGCCTGTCAGATATTGCACCACAAGGCTGAGGCCTCTGCCACCAACCATCAGGATGAACTCCCGGTGGTTCAGCAGGCCTGGCACGTCCAGCCCTGCAAAAAAGAGCGAAGCTCCCACAAGATCGGAAGGAGACTGAGGTTGGTGCCGATGACGTTCTTCACCCATTTGCCTGGGACCAACTTGATTCACGACGAAGTCGAACAGTTCGAACAACAGACTAAAGATTTTCTTCTGTTTGAAAACAGGAGGCAGTAATGGTCATAGCGGCGAATTGGACGGCGATACTGAAACGACCTGATGTTGGACAGGATCACACGCGACGTGAGATAGGCGGTACAACACAGTCTCAGTCTGACAAAGCAACCCAAGCAAACAGACCAAACACAGCACATCCGTGTCATAAATTGTCGTTGTATTTGCTGCTCAGACATCTTGGCAAAAGACTTGTGGGCACGTTGCGGTAACCCCTGTCGCAAGCATGTCATGAACTCCAATCCAAAAAATGTTTTTCCTGAGCTAAGGCTACCTTAACCTGTGTTTTCTGCGCCTCTTCGATGTCGTGGCTCACATTGCGCGTTTTCCTCGATTGACCAGGGTCGGCATTGATACAGTACCTCGTTTTCATGGCGACGAAGCATTCAGCAAAAGCATGCAAAGCGACATGAACCACATGTTTCGCTGCGGGCACATCATGCACCCCAGAGTGATCAAAAACAAGACACCGAAGGTCGTGTAGAGTGCCACCTCCACGACACATGCACACTCTAGGCCTTTATGTCCTTTCAGCACAGAATGGTGGCCGAGGCCTCGCGCATTCCCGTTGCCCTGCAAATTATAGGGATCTGGATGAAAAACACACAGATTGCTCCCGCCACCTCAAAAAGACATCGCAAGAATGCATGAATACGCTGATGGCAAAAGGCAAACATAAAGGACTTCAGGATGGCACAGTCGAGGAAGCCAGAGCCTTGTAAGTGGCTCAGAAATGTTTGACTCAAAGGGTCTGACTACACCCGTACGAATATTTGGGCACAGGGCCGTTGGAAGAAACGGCTTCCAATCGATGCCGCAATAGACATATTCCATTTTCCTTGGGAAGCTCGCCATACTGCGCACAAACTAAAACATATGGAATTGGGCACCCAGACTTGTCCTCGGCAACCGACTGTTCATCGTCAGACTCAAGTTCTTCCTACACCCCAGCGCATTACAAGTAAATCTTCCTGAGACAACATGACCCAACTGGTTGGTCTTCAAGTCACGGTGCCCAAAGTCACAGTCGCGCCCTTCAATCACCTATCTTTAAAGGTCTAGTGGCAAATTCTCCCTTGAAGCACTTGTCTTTCACATACAATTTGTCTCATACGCGGCGCCTCCTTAGCTTGTGTGGAAACAGCTGTCCTCGGCATATTGCTCAATAATCCGTAGCAAATCCAAGGGCGGAGACTTCAAACCATGGTACGAAAGCCATCTTCATCCCTGCTCTGAGCGAGCGGCACAGTTGTCAACGTTTGGTTGACGGGCGAGGCGTCATTCCTGCGGTTTGCGCTCACTCATGATCCACTTGGCTGGTGCACAAACAAGCTGAAGCTGTCTGTCATGGCAGGTGCCATTAGTTGCATCATATGTTGGTACCTTCGCGAGAAAAACAAGCAGCAAACAAAGCACGCGTTTGCAAAATTGCGTCATCACCAATATGTTACTCTGTTACACAACAATGAAAAAACATCAGATCTTGCAGCGGCACGGTGGACCATGGTCCCCCATATACCCAGCCGGTGGAGGCTGCAGAGCCACTGCCGGCAGGTAGCCTAGGAAAGGGTTGGAGACAGGTTCCCTCACAGTCCTACTCCAAACAGGTCAGTGGCAGAATGCAAAACACGGAATCAAAGCACCTGATACAATTATGCATTGGCACAGTAGGCGTGCCAGAGCGTGTCTGAACTGTCAGGAAGATTGAAGAGGGGCATGGCTGTGTAACGCTGCATGTGTGTGTGTGCGTGTGCCAACTCCTGTTCCCAAGGAGTTTGACCACATGAATCAATCCCCAATGAGTTCATTTTACTTTAATGTACCTTGTACAGTCACGCAGGGGGCAACGCACACTTTGGAAGGCATTGCCCAACGAAGGCCTTTCCATTGCGTTGCGACATGACTTTGGGACGCCGAAGTCACGTACCTGCAAAATGTTAAGCTTGGCCGTGCTTTGACTGTTGCCAGTCTTTTACTAAAGTGCTAGCGCGTGATGTTCAACGCTTCAAGTCTCTGACCCTTCGCCTTGCGGCTCCTTCGAGTCAAGGTCTAATGTAACCAGTAACTAGCCCACGGGAAGTTCCAAACTGATATGGCTCTTGCAAGTGTGGGTCTAAGCGTGTGCGCCGCAGCGTCGTCCCACTGGATCCCTTCGGGGCACTTTGAGCATAGACCTAAGGGGGCTCTCCACCGGATATTCGTCGTATTTGATTCTTGATGATCTCTCGTTTCTGCTCATGTCTTTCATGTCACGCGGCTAATGTATTCACCTGGAAGCTTCACACTGAGTAATTCATGCACGGTCTTGCTTTCTCTCCTTCTCTTTCTCAGTCTTTCCTTCGTTGCTGGAGGCTTTTAAGTTCCAGGTCAATTTTCGGTCAAGGGAGCGCCGATACGGCTTAGTGTGTGTGTGTGCATGAATCAATCCCCAATGAGTTCGTTTACTTCAATTTACCTTGTACAGTCATGCAGGGGGGGCAATGAACACCTGGGAAGAAAAGAGAGGAAGAGGACAGGTGTTCCCAGCTACGAACAAGCGTCCAGGGACACACAAGGGAGAAAGGGGGGGAACTTGAGTATTACATTCAGGAACACACCAAAAAGAGAGGAAAGGAAAAGAAGGTGTTCCCAGCTACGACACAAGCGTCCAAGAACACACCAAGAGGAAAGAAGGGTTCCCAGCTATGACGAAAGCATCCAGGGACACCCAAACAAGAAGGAGGGAAAGGAAAGGAAGGAGAAGAGAGAGAGAGAGAGAGAGAGAGAACGAAGACCTGTCCATTGCGTTGCGGCATGACTTTGAGACGCCGAAGGCACGTACCTGCACCAATTTTAAGCTTGGCCGCGCTTAAACTGTTGAACAAGAGTAGCTCACGGGAAGTTCCAAACTGATAAGCATGGATCTAAGTGTGTGTGTGTGTGTGTGCGCGCACGTGTATCTAGAGGTGGACCGGAGGTGCATTGGGGCACGTAGAACTCTCGTGATAGGGCTTGCTGACAGTTCTCACGCACGCAGTTCCAAGGTTATAATAGGTTTCCTGAAGGACTCAAGGACGCGGGAACCAACCACTAGAGTTATGATGTACCTTGACCATCCACTTAGTACAGCATCATTTTGGCAAATGCCGCCTTTACGTTTTGGCTCAAGAACTGTCACGGAAAACAGTGCGCGTCCATGGTTCTTGGTTTCAACTGAGACGAATGCCTACTTAAGAAACAAATTTTGTGTGGTAAGATTCTGCATTGGATTCAGGTTATGTAGGGCATCCTGAGTGCATCATGTTTCATCCTACCTGAACCTATACCAACAGATTGTATGTCCCCAACCCCAACCCCTTTCATTCCATGATATCGTCATAGATTGTTTTTTTCGAAACTCTCCATCTTACATGTTGAAATGTTTGCTGCCTCTTTTGTTTGTTTTGTTCTTGCTATCGGCCACTGGGCCTTCTGCAACTTTGATGTATTCCTTCCTGGGCCTTTCCTTGGAACCTTTGGCCTCCAGATTTGCCAGAAATGTGCTTTTTCTGAGTCACGGACTATTCTCACATATGTTTTCAGGGGTGGGTGTCTTGAAAACGAAGTAAATAGACTAGATAGCCGATTTCAGGACTGATACTCCTGAAAATAGAGCGGCTTCAACAAAGGGTGCAAACCCCCTAATACACTTGATGCCAAGAGGCTTCCGACAGGGGAAGGCCCCGCCCTCCAGGCACAAGCAAAGCACGCGCAAGTGTTTTCGGAAAATCAAGACGTTCATGTTCCAGTTTTGCGCTGTCACCATAAATTCGGAGCACTGATGCATGCGTGTGCACGGTTCATTCAAGACTGAAAAAGAAGTCCAACCTGACAGACTGCATTGCCGCAAGTAGTCTGCGTACTCCACGATTGCCGACACACTCGAGCAAAAGCAGCTTCGGAGAAGCGTTGGCTCAGGACATTGTGCTCACTGCAACAACCAATTGACCAATCCACTCTTGCATGCTAGCCATGGGGCAGCCTCCAGTTGTATTTTCAGCGCCCTCTGTACACAGGCAGGGCAAAGTGATGGGAAACACTAGGAGCTTTATATCTACAGCTGATTGAAACTGTATTCGCTCTTAGGCTCTTAGGCTTCACAAAGCTTCCTGTGAATGCAATTGCCATGGCCAGCATGCCAGCGGCGGAATCGTTACGGCAATCATGGTCTCTTCAGTCGTTTTGCTATGTCAGAATACTTTGAAATTCTGAAACTCATGAAAACTCCCCCGGTAAGACAAATCCATGTTAATTGAGTTGGATTCACACAAGGGATGCATTTGTCATGAGCTAGCTCAAGAATGACTGTCCTTTACAGCCACAGCAAAAGGCAAATGCTGCTTCAATCATGTCAATGCCTGATGTGAGCAGCAAGTGCATTTAGAGCTTCAACCTCACTTACGCGCAATGTCCTTCCATTCGCCGCAAGCTCTAAAAACGAACTTCGCGATCTGCAAATCTCCACACCTGTCCAGCCTGCCTAGGTAGGTGAGGCAACGTCAAATCCGCAAGAAATAAAGTTTTGAGGAATTGTTGGATCTATTGCATTTGTTGGGTCGCAGGACAGGGCAGTGAGTCAGGAAACCTGGATGGGTAGTGAGTCAGGAAATCTGGACAGGAAACAAGTCAGGTCACATCCAAGGGAAATGAGTCCGGCAAGTAGAAACAACTAGAACAGGTAGAATTGAACACTTGAAAACTGTCAGGGAAAACGGGTACGGAGTCCAGAGACGGAGAGGAGGACCCTTTTCAGAGGACAAAGGTGTAAGAAACCAGAAAAAAGGAAAGCCCCAAACCAAGTTCACACAAATGAATCCTAAAAAAGTGACGCCCCAAACCAAGTCCAAAGAACCCCCCAAGAAAAAGGAAAGCCCTAAACCAAGCCCACACAAACCCTAAAGAAGTCAAGCCCTAAAGATCCCTAAACCAAGCCGTGAGAAACCTTGAAGAAGTGCAGCCCAAGCCCAAAGAAACCCTAAAGAAGTGCAGTTCCTAACTAATGCGAACGAAACCCTGCTGCAATGACACCCTACTGTAAATAGAGCACAAGCAAAGTCTCAAGAATCGCAGCCCTAAACCAAGCCTAAACAAAAAAAGCAACTAAAGAAATGAAGCCCTAAGCCAAGCCAAAACAGACAAACCTTAAAGAAGTCAAGCCCTAAAGCAACCCCAAACAAAGAAACTCTAAAGAAGTCAAGCCCTAGAGCAAGCCCACCGAAACCATAAAGAAATGAAACCTTAAAGCAAGCCCTCAGAAACCCTAAAGAGGTGAAGCCCAAGCCCAAAGAAGCCCTACAGAAGTGAACGAGTGAACCGCCAAAAGAAACCCAAACAAGCCCTAAAGAAGTGCAGCCCTAAGCCAAGCCACACTAAAGAAGTGAAGCCCAAGCCCCCCAAAAAAAACCTAGAGAAGTGAAAATCAGAACTAATAATAAGTAAAGCACCAAAGCAAAGAAACCGTGAGGAAGTGAAGCTTGAAACCAAGTCTAAACATGACCTCAAGAAGTCAAGTCCTAAACCAAGCCCTAAGAAACCCTGAAGAAGTGAAGCCCCAAACCATGCCAAAAGAAACCCTAAAGAAGTGAAACCCCGAAGCAAAGGAAAATTTCGTTGGGCCTGCTACAAAAAACTTTCTTTGTGCTCCTTCTTGTTCCTCTTTACATCATTGATACAACGCAGCTTTCTCATCACCAAAGTACGGAGATGCCCTTTCGTCTACTCTACTATATGATAAACTTGTTGTGTCCTCCTACTCCTCCTCATCTGTATTTCTGTGCCCTTTCTTGATATTGATTGTCTCCTCGACATGTTTCCAGGTTTCCTGACTCTGTCTTCTCCCCCGGAGTTTTCCTCCCATCTCCCATCCATAATCAAGCTCAGCAGCTCCGCGCATGCTGCGATGGTGACCAGAGGCTGAGCAGCTCCCACCAGGCTCGAAACGCGGACGTGGTCCACCCGTGAAAAGCAGTCCAGGAGAAGTGCAAGGAAAGCTAGTCCAGCAGAAAGCATTCCGGACCGTCCTCTTCCAAATCCACCACTGTTGCACGCTTGGGGCCCCGAAGAGAAAGCTGCCCTCTGCCCTCTGCCTCTTCCACCTCGTCAAGGACAGCTGGCGATCTAGGTGCTTTCAAAGCTTCCCAGCAACTCTCCAGCTCTGCATGCCACTGCATTGCTATGGCATCCTCACTGCGAACCGAAGCCTTTCGCAACGCAAAGATCTCCCTGCACGGCGCAGCCGAACTGGTCGGCTCTGCTCGTCGTTCATCCTCTCCGTCGCCCGAGAGCCGAAACTCGCGCGTCGGACCGCGTGCGTCGTCCGTCGTCCGGGAGATCACGTAGTCCAAGCGCCGCGAGTCCGGCGACGGACCCGCTTGGACCGCGCCGGTCCGCGCCTCGCGGTCGGACCCGGTGGGACCGTCACCGTCAGTCCGCGCGCGCTGCAGAATCCGCGAGGCCTCCTGGGTGGACACCGCGAAGGACCAAGCGATCTCACGCAGGGAGACTTGTGAGCGGCGGCCTGTGCAGTGTGCAGCGGCCCTGGACTTTTAGGAGATTTCAATGGGGTGTAAACACGGTGTGCACAACCTAGAGAACCGATGTCTTGCACAAGATGGCACCAACAATGCGAGGCTGCTACCTACGTCAGTCATCTTCAATCTATATAATCTATATATCGGATCATGGGAACCAATGGAATTCAGTCCGCTCAAGTCAACGACTGCCGCACCTTCCAAAGAGCTCAGGACAGCCGCAACGACTGCACCATGGTCACATGTGTCGCTCATCTGCGAAAGCTGTGTGTGTTTTGGGCCTTCAGTTTCACCGGAAGTCTGGCTGGTCACGAGAGGACCCTGGCTTAGCACCATGGTAAGAGGATCTAAGAGGCAAGACTAACAATACCATACCAAAACAAGTAAGACCTAATTCAGGTTTGGGTCCTTGGTTTTCTAGAACCACATATATTGGGGCGACCTCAGGCCTTCGGCCTTCGACATGCCCTCCAAGCGACCCGTCCAGAATGGCACCTCGCGGGAAGCCCTTGCGGTCAAGTCCCATGGTGGCCAACCGGAACAGGTCGAAAAAGCATGAAATAGCATGAATATATGCTTTGTTACTATAATATGATTATAGACATTAATTACTATATTGAATATATTATATATATGTATATATGTGTCACATAGGCCATATATACCTGGAACCCATTTGACACCTGTTTTGATACGAAAAGATCATATTGTGGGTGGTTGGTGGTCCAAAATAGAGGTCATTCAGGTTCCAGGATATATTTGTATATAAAAATATATACCATATACAGTATTATGATAGAGTGTTCTTAATCCGGTTCCCGCACCTCGATTTGGCCTTCTAAGACTCCGTGACCGCCCCTCCGAGACTTTTCCGTGAAACCGCCTGGACATCCCGAAACGGCACCGTGAAAGCGTGGTATCGGGTGCAAGCAAGTGAGACGGAACAACACTCACCTCGGTCACGTGGAAGAAAAAGGCTCTCCAGAAAATCATATGGTCCTCTTAGCAGCGGTCTGTTCCGTTACAAACTATTGTTCAAGCTCAACTCGCCCACTTCTTCCACATCACCAGGTGGTTTGTCCACCATGTGCGCATGAATTCCGTGCCAAACTACAAAGGCGACTTGCTGCTGCGTACTTTCGAACGCCAGCAACTTGCAGCGTGCATGACGCACGGGTACCGTTAACAAAGTTTTCCCGTTGGCTGAGGCACTCAGCCTCTTGTCTTTGCAGCCAACTTGGGGCGTGTTTAAGAGTACCTCGATGGATGGATGGAGGATGCATCACAAGCGAGGTTCCAACGAAACATGCGTTTTACAGCAAACCGAGCTTGGTCTTTAATCTGGAGTTATCTTTCAACATGTTCAAATCTAAAAAAATTAACAAAACAAATCATGTCATAGCTGAGAAGTCTCCTCAGGCTCTTGCGCCACGCTGGCGATGATTTGTCGCTGCTTCTGCCAATCCTCACCTCAAGTAACCGGATGATTGCTGTTGCAGTATCAAGTCACATCCTCCTGTCAGGCAGCAGTGATTTCAAGCTGTTTTTTGAGCTGTTCAAAAGCTGCCTCTGGTCCAAACCACGCGCCCTCTTGTGGGAAAAAAAAAGACCCCCAAAAAGGATCACCACCTGCCCATCACCTGGAGCACTTGCCCACCCCACCGCCTTTGTGACCGACCTTTAGGTGGAAGCGAACACAACACGCACACGGCACACGGCACGTTCCTCTCAGGCTCCCGACCCATGAATCGGCCCTCCAACCATGAGCAAGCATACTCGATTTGCAGCTTGGCATCCACTTGACTGGGCCAGCGGAAGAATGGACATCCGGTGCCGGTGAACCGGACCCGGTTCCGGTGGGGCGAACCCGAGGTTTGGGTGCTGTCGTTGGATCGGATGGAGAAAGGCGAAGCCAAATGGGCCTGCTCAAAGGGCTGCTCTGCTCTCCAACCTAGAAGCAATGGCCTCCAACCCTAATAGCGATGGCCTGCAACCATTGTTTCTTAAGGGAAGCAGTCTGCCTTGGACTGTTCACTTTCCACGACGTGACCGGGTTACAAGGGCTAAAGAGCCTCTGTGCCCCACACCTACTGCAACGATGAGGGGCCAACACCCCTGCAAAGGCAAAATCTGAAACATCATCTTCTAACATCTTCCATATAACCAATCAACCAACTTCATCATACATCATCTTCATCATCTAATATACCCCTTTCAAATCCATTCTTCTCTAGCAATGCAACCAACCATCTGAAGCAAAGCGCCGGGCCTGGGGTCATGCTGCATCTTTTCCAGCACGTCTTCGACGTCCATGGAACTGGACCTGGCACTCTCCCAGTGAAAGCAACAGAAAAATCCTCACCTGAAGTGGTGGACCCTATGACAGCGAGTACACAAGCATCGAACAGCCTCTTAGAATAAATGGATGCAGTGCTATGTGGTATGCAAATGTTCCCCAGAGCTCGCTACTTTGCCCCACTCATATGAGTACTGTCCATTTGGGGGCTGAGTTGCATGAGTATGCAACGCTCCAACTGATGATGGTTGTAGATTGAAAAAAGGAGAAAAACATGAAAGAACTATGTATATTTATATATATATAGCAAATCAACGCCACACGGCAGCTGCGATTGAGGCTGCCGTAAAAACTTAAACACTCTGCGGCAGTCTGCGAAATTGAGGCTGCGGCTTGTCCATGTCAATGTGCCAAAAAGTGCAGCAGAGGCATGATAGTGCCACCGGCCTTGGCCACGCGTGGGGGTTGTGCCACTGGACTAGCCAATATAATCAATATATGACATTGGCTTCATGCCAATATGACAACTACCTGATAGAGTTGGTGGTCAGTGGAGGAAACTCTTCTGAGAAACATTCTCCTGGTGTGTTGCTAGCTGTACACGAGCTCGGTCGCTGGCACGATGGCGATGCCCAAGAACAGGATGCCGAGCCTCAGTTCATTTCTAGTCGACTTTACTATGCCCTCTCCCCAAGAGACCTAGCAGACCTAGCACCTCCGGTGTTGGGAGGCATGGGGAGAATCGTTTGTGAAGACCTTGTGGATACATTCAAAACGCTTTTAGAAAAAGACCTCCACCCCCCAAGGCACCCGAGCACTGACCTATCTGGGCACTTCTGTCCGTCCCGCCGGACAGCCGTCTGAGACACCGGACGCCTCGCCGGTGCTCATGATGCCACCGTTGTATGGGCCTCGGATCCACCGGACCCGGAGGCCATCGCTCGGACCGGACGCCGTCCTGAGCTCGCTGCAGAAGACACGATAGACTCCATCGCTACACTGACGGACTGGAATGGGCCTGCGCTGAAAAGCACAACATTTCATCATCGAAGCGCTTTCTTGAGGAAGGAAAGCATCTGTGCCGAATTCATCCGCATTCCGCAGCTAGTGACAGATTGTCCTTTCACGGATATCTCGCTTAGAGTATCAAAACTGGACGACAACTATGTGTGTATATATATATATATGTGGTATACATAAATTATATATATATATACAGTGTGTATATATGATTTTTAATATGTACACCGCATATTACTATATATATATATGTAATACATAATAATATACATACAAATTACATGAATGTGTTCATATCACAGCAAAATGACGACTTGAACCTTCCGTGAGTCTATGAGATATCGCAGATACCAATATTATACAAAGACAGAACATGTCCGGTTGGTATGACTTGTCTGTGAAAACATTACCTACATCTCTACAACCCTTTCCCCCTAGAATACAAAGGATCATAGTGGAATGCCAGAGGAGCGGAAGCTGTGGAAGCTCCTCCACTGGAAGAGCTTGAGCAGTGAGAAGGAGAGGTCAAGTGGTCAGAACCCGGAGAGAGTGTTGCTAACTCTTCGTCCTGCTGCAGTATGTCGCTTTCATCACGGAAAATGAGTACCGTTCTGATCTGCTTTGTTATGCTTGCCACAAAACCTGCAAAAAAAGTGGTTGCTTTTCAGACCTGTGTTGAACCGACTCCGTTGTCACAGCTTCACAAAACGCCAACAAAAAATGAGATCCACTGGGAAGCTGACTCCGACATTGCTGCGCGGTCGACGAACTTGAAGAATGGACCTTGCAGGAAACCCCTCCGACTCTGAGGGCTCCGACGCGGCCGGAGTGAGCGATTGGGCCGATGGTGGCTGAGGTCAGCCGGAGTCAGAACCCTGGATTTCAACACGCAGACGCCGACTCTCTAACATGGAAGCGGAGAAGGTCCTTCTCCACTTCCATGTTGGTGACGGAGGATAATTCCAAATCTCAGGTGTCAGTGAGTGACTCGGGAAACACTTGTACCTCTGACATTGGGTGTGGCCTGGTCCAGCTTTGACTTTCTGTTTCTACAGAAATGGTTGGAGGTTTCGAGTCGGACTCTCAATACACTCCTAGTTACTTCTAGTAGCAGAAAAAGAATGGAACATGTTCTGATGTTGGCACTACTGTGAGATACCGTGAGTATTATATACGGTAACAATCCACATTCTCCGTTGCCACGCTTTAACTGGTCCCAAAGGAGGGCGGAACTGGCTGCCACTTCAGTGATCCACACAGATCTGAGGGACAGACTCTGATAGAGCTGAGAGCTTGTGTCCGCTTGCAGAGCTTTCCTAGGTATGCCAACAAACGTGCGAAGCAAAACACTGTGTGTTCATTCTGCAACGCAAACGGGTGTTCTGCAAACGTGGCACGTGTCACACCTTCTTTGGCTTGACAGCGGTGAAAACTCGAGTCCGGCTGCAGCTGATCCGTCAATCTCCCGTCGTTTCGCAACGAGGGGATCAACAACGCTTGACTTGTGGCCCAAAAAGCGCATCTGGCCCTGAAAACCACAACCACAACAAAGCTAGATCGACTCTAGATGGGTGTGCATCAAATTTTGAAGGGCCTCTTTGTAACTCAAATTCTAAAAATTGAAACGTGAAACGCAGTGCACTAACACCCAGCATGACGAGCTCAAGAAGTTGCTTTTTTGACATACTCAACGTCAAATCGCATCATCCATACCATAGCTGCCTAGCCCTACGACCAGTACCTGGGAAAACGTCAAGAACCGTCCACCAAGCCCCTTGAGATGCGGACAAGAGGGAAATGAGACCCCAAGGTGAACGTTCATCGGTGGACTTGATATCCTGACAGTGCCAAGTGCAAAAAATAGTGCCTTTGTTTCTCCGAAGCGGAGCGGAGAAAGGGCCAAGTTGCCAAAGCCAGCCAACAAAATCAGGTTAACTGCAACGTCTCAGTCGCATTTTCTTGGATAAGGGCCGAGCATTCCAAGTGCCAACCACCTTGAAAACGGTGTTCACCACCACTGATCCATTGGAGAGAGAAGCCACCTCCGTAATGAGCCGCGGTTGAGTGATTGCATGAACGAGGATGAATGAGGTTTATACATACAGTGTATATATAACATGTAATGATCTTTGTGATTTTATAATCATCTTGTTGAGGTAGCAAGGCCGGCAACCGAGGTCCGGCAGCGAACGAAACACGGCGCACGAACGCGCGCCACCCGCAGCGCTTTTCAGCGCACAAGTCCCTCCCTTGAGCGGAAGGACACGGTCGGTCGAAACATGGAAAAACACTCTCAACCACTTCATGACTCCAATGCACAGCGTGCAATTGTCATGGGGGAGAAGCTATTGCGCCATAGCGCGTGGCATGAGCCTGCAGCCAATTTTGGATGGAGACCGTTAAGGTGTATCCTCCTGGCTGAGCTGGTGCCGTGACGTAGTCGGGAGGCAGAACTCGTCCACTGCAAAGTTCACAGTGGAAGTACTCATCCTGCATCCGGACATCCCTGCCCGCTAGACTGCTGCATTCTGCAGTCAAATGAAAGCGGCGGCCTCTCCTGCAAATCAGGACTCCGCGCTGCAAAGGGCACTCAGCTCGGTGGTTGTCCATCTCTCGGACACAGGCTCTCAAAAGCGCCGCACCCAGCGCAAGTAGCTGGTTGGACACGCAGCTTTCTTCCAGGATCAAATTGAGCGATCTCTGGAATTCATCCGCGGCTCTCTGCGCCTCCATGGCTTTCAGCTCCATGGTGTTCAGCTCACCTTGAAGCCTCTTGTTCTCGAGACGAAGGCGGTGAGGGACCAAGGCTTCTTCCTTTTGAACCCCGATCTCTGAGGTGGTGACCTGGGTTCGACCAACGCTCCAGCGACCGAGCAAAAACATGGTGCTCAGCAGCAAACAGATGGCGGTGGTGAAGATGAGCTCAAACATGCCAGTTCCCGTCTCCATGGTTTCTTCTTCAGTGGCAGCTGCCACTTGTGGTAAAAAGAAACACATCATGACCATGAAAAACTTCAGGGGGTTGCCAGTGACAATGGACATGAAGTGCCATGGCTCGACATGGCTCGGATCGGCCCGGGGGACATACGTGAGCACTCCGTTGGTGTGGGCCAAGTAGCCAGCCAGTTGGTGCTCAGTGTTCATCTCATAGTTCTCCTCGGGGATGTGACTGTCCAAAGGAAACTCATGCTTTCCAACTTCAACTTCACTTTCATGGCCAGGCGAAGGCGCCGGCATCAACTTCACTGGGCTGCTGGCGGTCGTGCTCTCCTGCAAGCTTGCTTGGAGCTCTTCTTTTGTTTTCTTCTTTGCAGCCTTGTAGTGAGGATCCCAGGTCAGCTTCAGCTGTCCATATCGAAGACGTTGAGCCAGAAGCGTTCTCGCGCTCTCCTTTGTGAGGCCATCAGCCATTTGGCGCTCCGAAGACATCCAGCGCAGGCTGCCGCCCAGAGACAAAAGGTGCTCCTTCGTGACCCGCACCTCCAAGGACACTCGTTTGTCCACAACTGAGCTGCCGACACCTTCTCGGTGAAATGAATTGTACAAAGCCTTGGCGTCGGTCACCATTGTGGGCTCCAGAGGACACGGAGCTTCCAACAACTCTTTCAGAGGTCGGCGAGGATCAAGGAGGTGGTTCCAGTAGGCGCACACATTCTCCAGGGCGTCACACGCTTGGCCTCCGACCTGAGCTTCTGCTCCCAAGGAGGAGCGAGCCACACGTGGAGTCTTAAGGCTCCTCCAGTCCAGCACGTGGTAGGCACCTTCGGGGCCGTTATGCTGCAACAACTCCTTGTTGATCATCAAGATGATGTAGCCAGCTTGTGAGCTGCCATCTGACCGTGTTGCGAAAGCAGCATCAAAGAAACACAGCACTCGCAGCTGGTTCAGTGAACCAAGATGTTCATAGCAAAGCCCAACATCGGAGTTGTCCTTGGCGAACTTGAGAAGGCGATTGCTGTCAGCCACAGTCTGCAAGGTGGCTCGTGTCACTTGGCCACTCAAGATAGAGGTGCTTCCTTGTAGGTGAGGACTGGATTGAGTGGCAGGCCACTGCAAAGAGCCCAGCAGACCACGGAGTTGGGTCATCTCGCTCTCACTGAGAGATTCTGTGAGGTCTCTCTTCTTGTCATAGGCGATGGGCTTAACCTTCTTCATGTAGGCCGTTTGGTCCAGGACATGGCCTCCATTGGAGCTCGGCTTGATGTCACAGCCACAGTAGGTCAGGGCATCGTGACCTTCATCGGTCTTCCACTCACGGAAGGTGAAGGTGTTCTTGAGCTTTGCAATGGTGTCCAGGTAGCACTTGGAGTCGGAGGATCCACATCCCAACATATCATCAACATGCATGATGATCATGCCACACACGCCAAAGCTTCCCAGAAGGTGAGGTGAGGTTGCATCGCAGTCAAAGTCCGGGTTAAGGTCACCTTCGCAAATCAGGAAGCAGCAAGGATCCAGTGGGTGCTGTCTCAGGCCCATGGCACGCAGCTTCTCCACAGCAGCCAGATACCATGCTCGAGGAGCGTCGATCTGGCCATAGCAAGGCTTCAACAGAAGCATCCTGGTCTCAGGACCAGCGCCCAACAACTGGAGACATTCAGCAGGAAGTTGGACCCACAGCTTGCGTGCTTGAGGTTTTCCTTGCAAGAAGGCGGTGGAGATATCTGAAGTCCAAACCCCCCAGGACATAGTGGCGGCTAGACTCAGCAAGACGGACCGGGACAGCCTCGTGGTTGTTGGGGATGAAGTCGGGACTGTTCCATCCCAGGCGTCCGGATCTTGGAATCCGCGCACGATGAGGCGTGCCTTTGCCCGTGGGGACCCGTCGGGGTGCTTGGACCATTTCAGCAACATTCTGCTGGTCAGTGTTCTTGAGGGCTGAGCTTCTCGGCTTGTTTCGAAGGCCCAGACATTGGTCGAAGAAGGACTGAAGTTCTTTCACCTTCGCAGCTTTGAACATGGCACGTTCGTCGGGCGTCATTGTCCGCTCGGACAAGGTGTTGGCACTCTTGTTCATCTTCTTGTGGTCCTTGGTGTGCTTTTGCTTGACCATCTTTCCTACTTGTCGTGCTCCATGAAGTGGTGCCTTGGCATACATGGCATACTCCTTGCGAACGGAGCCCTTGATCTGGAAGATCGTTGCGCCAGTCCATGAGGTGGTGCAAGGTGGCTTGGTGCATGTGCCATCATCGGTGGTTTGTGAGCATCGGCCATTGTTCTCATAAATCACTGTCACCCGAACATTGTCCAGATCGTGTACAGCGAAGGGTGCATCATCAGGCAGCTGCTGCAGGCTCATCTTGTGCCTCCGTGGAACACAGTGGTGGCGTATCAAACATCCAGCACGGACTTCCCAGTAGTCACGCTCCCTTTTCTCAAGCTCAAAGTAGCCATTGCGGAAATACCATCCGCTGGGCAAGGCATTGGTGTCAATGGAGGTCACCTGAAATGCCTGAGACATGAGCGCTTGTTCTTCTGCCTCTCCTGGTTGTGGTGGAGCTGGCGGAGGTGCAGCTGGTGCCTTTGGGATAGCCTCAGGGCTAGGCGCTGCACTGGGTTCTCGTGATCCATAAGGTGTGTCCGTCACTCGCCGGTTGCGAATGGGACCAAAGGAAATGGTCTCCTGCAAATTGAAGCGAGTTCGTCGCTGCTGGAAGGTCTCTGTCTCGATGTCATGAGGTTGATACAGCGAGGCAGTTGCAGGATCCAAGGCCATCGGCGACTCAGGGGGCAGATGAAGATCTCCATGAGGAGTGGGAATCGCAGGCTCTTCACTGGGTTCCGCAGCAGTGGCTGCTTGGCGGTCGTGATCGCGAGTGTCTGGACACTGGAGACTGTGGTGGACTCTGAGGCACTGGCACTTGTGCCACATCAGCTGGTTGTGGTGCATCAGGTGGTGCTCGTGGTGATGTGGGTGCATGTCCAGAGTGTGCCGGTGAGGTCGGCGTGTAGTCGCCACCATCGTCATCAGCCAGGGTGTCCGGCTGTGCTGGTGCTGCAGGTGGTTCAAGTCGGAGTCGATGTCGTGGTGGCTCATCAGGGTCACCATCATGTTCATCAAAAGAGCCATCGGCCTCATCCTTCATTTCATCTTCATCAACATCATCTAACTGCTGTCGGTTGACGCGTCGAAGGTCAAAGTACCTGGTGACGCCGCGAGACTTCAGCTGTCGAACCTGGTTCGTGGCAGTCTGTAGGTCGTCCAACAGATGTTGAGGTCCAAGGATGTCGGCTCGAACATGATGTGGTGCTGCTCGAATGAGTTGAGTCTTGTAAGCCAACCAGTAAAGCTTGACCCGTTGGACCTTGTCATTGGTCTCCTCCTCCCTCAACACCACATAGGCGGGACCAAGCCAGCGAATCTTGTTGAGCAGACCTTGGCGCGCATCTCTCCAGAACCAGACACGTTCACCAACTTTGAACTCTCGATTCTGGCCTTGGTAGCGACGGCCAAGAGCACGGCGTAGCTTGTCATCAGCGTCAGCTGTGGTCAAAGCTACCTTGGCGGCTGTTCTGCGCTCCAGGATGTGCTCGAAGGTCCGGTTGTTGCCAGCCAGTTGAGATGGATTCAAGTTGGAACTCAGGAGATGTGCTGCTTCAGGTTGATAGCCAAGGACCCATTGGCTTGGTGAGAAGCCTGCCACAGTAGGAGTGGCATTCTGTTGTGGGATGACATAGGTCAACGCTTCACGGATGCCGCTGCGATCATGAAGTTTGCGGTCATCCAGGTAGATCTCACATGCTTTTCTGATGACGGCGTGTCGCCGTTCCACCAGAGCTAGCCGTTCATGAGCTTCCCCAGGTGCAACTTGGTGGTCTATGCCATGAGCACTAGTCCAGTTGTCGAAGATGCCACTCAGCCAGGGTCGTCCTTCATCAGTGATGAGCTGTCGGGGTGCACCAAAATGTCGCAACCACATCTTTTCCAGGGCCTGGATGTAGGACTCAGAGGTCTCATCGGTGAGAAGGTAGCAGGCCATGTATCTGGTGCCAACATCGACAAGGCTCATGATGGAGAACTTGGTGTCCTGGCGCTTGATGTAAAACACATCAGCTTGGAGAGCATCGTTGAACTCTCTGGTGGTGGGCATAGTTGAAGGAGCACTCTGGTTGGGCTTTCGATGCTTGAGGCAGGCCACGCACTTGTAGGCTCGAGCAGCATTGATCACTGCTTCTGGGGCACCACGGGCGGCAAGCAGATCACCCAGGGCATCAGGTGTTGGATGACCCAGATTGCGATGAAGTCGTTGCACGACTCGAAGGGCATCTTGCCGATGTTCCACGTGGAGCTTAGACAAGTGTCCAAGTGGCTTGCCCATGTTCTCATCATCCACCGTGTACGCCCATTCCCAGGCGTGAGGAGCTTCGGGAACCATCAAGGCTGCTGCAAGCGTCGAGGCGAAACCGGGCTGGTAGTTCTCGAGGTACGACGTTCGAGGACCGAGGCCAGTTGCATGGCCTTCCAGTGGACAATGCTCATGGTCATGAGGACACTGCAGCGTGAAGGCCTCAGCGATGGCTTTCTTCGTAGTTTGAAACCTGGTGCCCTTTTGTACTGGCTTCCAAATGCCATCGACATCCAAACACATAGCTCCATAACAGCACTGGTCGAAACTGACTGCGAAGCCAGGTAGATCACGCAAAGCACCAGTTTTCCAGCTCAGGGCATGTCGAGGTTGTTCAACAGTGGCGTGTCGCCCATTCTTGACCTGAGTAAGGTAACTTCGACGAACGAAGCGAAGGCGCCGTCGATGGTGGTGATCTCGACGTGCTTGTAGTGCTTCTTGTTGCGCAGGTGTTCGGCAGGCCAGTGTCTGCATGCGAGACCAGAGGCGACATTCAGGAGCCATCAACAATTCGTCAGGTTGTTCTTCATCAAGTAGGGCCAGGAATTGCTGTTGGTGCTTGATCAAGTTGAAGTCCCAGCCATTGTCAAGGCTGAAGGTTTCCACTCTCATGCCCAAGGATTCGGCGATGGAGGAAGTGCGGGCTTTACCAGTGTACACTTCCCAAAGTACTCGCCGTTGATCTTGTGGTTCATGAAGGGACTGCGTGATGAGGTTCTCAGCCTCGGTGACTCGGGCGGTCAGTGCAAGCTCCATGGTGCGAAGAGCATGGCGAGGCAATCGGCTGGCGTCCAGCTCATCCTTGAGTTCATACTCCTCGGCCGTGAACACATGCTCGGCAGCATTGAAGTCAGGCAGATAGAGAGCACTGCCAGGCACTTCCTCAGCGATGTGAAGGGCAAAGAGGCCCTTGGTTGGGTCTGTCTGCCATTCCATGCCCTCAGTGAGCGACATCAGGTATTCGCCATGTCTGCCAACCAGAACCGGCTGCCAGGGCGAAGTGCCAAAGCGAAGCATGCGACCACTGAAGTCAATGCTCATTTGGAGAGCTTCGATGACTGGGCGACCCATCAACATAGGCATGTTGCCCGGTACCAAGTAGCACTGGATTGTGCCCAGCTGACCATCCACCGTCACAGGCAGGTCGACCGTCCATCGAGCTTGGGCTGACGCATCACCTCCAAACTGAAAGCGACGCTCGCATCGAGCAAAGCGAATCTGGTTCACAGGATAGCCCAGCTCTTCCAAATGCTTGACGTAGCGCACGAAGGGGCCATAGCCGCTCAAGAATGCAGAAGCTCCAGGGTCCAGCATGGTGGCGTCAACACGTTCAGCTCCATACTCATCTTGGAAAAGGACGAGAGCTTCTTCAGACTTCAAAGCCATACCCTCAGTAGAGCCAGGTGCAGGTCTCTTGTTTGAGGAGGTCGGTGAAGAAGACTTCGCATTTTGAGGACAGTTTGCAGCCCAGTGGCCAGGTTGGCCGCACCTCAAGCAGTTGGTGGCCTTTGCACGTCCACGAGGATCAGCATCTTTGGCCGCAGTGTAGGGATAGCGGACCACATTCTGACCCTTTCCTTTCTTTGACTTGCCCTTGCTTTTGTTCTTGCCCTTTCCTTTGGAACCACTTGGGACAGGACCAGCACCGATGGGGACCGTGGTCTGGTTGTCAGTCAGCGCCACGACAGGCATGAAGCCTCGAGCCATCTTCAACTGTTGAAATCGTTGTCGGGCGTCCAAGTACGTGGCATAGGCATGGTCGTAGGTGCTGGCAAGTTCAGCTGGCTCATCATCCAATGGGGTTGACTCGTCATAGTCATGTTCTTCAAGTTCCCCATAGTAGCCAGCGTTGACATCGAATTCGGGGTCGTCCCCATAGTCTTCATAGTCAGGCTCAGGTGCCCAATCATCCTCACCCCAGTAGCCCTCCTCATAGGCGTCCCAGGCTTCAGGATCCTCCTCCATGGCCGCATAGCCGCGACCCTTCCAGCGAGGAAAACGCTTGTCCTTCTCTGGTGCCCAGCCTCCAGCTTTGTAGTCCTGACCGAAGAGCAGGTAGATGGCCTCTATGACGTTGTTCTTCTCAAGGGTTGGTGCCTTCAGGGTCACCAGCTGGCGCTGTTCACGAGATAGGCCAGCTCGTCTCAAGAGATGCCACCCTTGGACTGCAGCGGGCAAAGTCACCTTACGTCGGTTCAGGCGTCTGTAGGCCTCATCGTAGTCGGTGACATAGGCCAAAAGACTCTGCTGGGGCTTTCGCTGGAGTGTCACGAAGTAGAACTCGAAGTCGTTGGGGAGGGTGACACTGTCATCATACTCATAGTTCTGATCCAGCTTGGCGAGGATCTTGGAGAAGGAGTCCTCTTTCTCAGCGTCTTCAACTGAGAAATCCTCAAAGAGGCGCCAGGTCACGCCTTGAAAGCTTCCGAGGATGTTGAGGATGGACTCACCTGTCCGCTTGCTGAGCTGCATCTTCTTGCGGTACAAGCTCAGCCTCTTGCGATACTCTCGGTAGTCGCTTGGTTGGCCTGAGAAGACCGGGACATAGGAGTCGCGCAGGTTGTAGAGCTCGGAGGTCTCTTTCACTTCTGCTGCCTGCGTCGGCATTCTTCTTCAAGTAGGTGGTCGTTGACCGAAAGCGCTCAACAAACGGGGCAATGAAGAGCTCGGCAACGTGTTGGTGACGCGGGACTTCCGCAGAACCCCGTTGACCTCAAAGCGTAGATCGCAGAGCCCCGGAGGGCTCCGCTACCAATGTTGAGGTAGCAAGGCCGGCAACCGAGGTCCGGCAGCGAACGAAACACGGCGCACGAACGCGCGCCACCCGCAGCGCTTTTCAGCGCACAAGTCCCTACCTTGAGCGGAAGGACACGGTCGGTCGAAACATGGAAAAACACTCTCAACCACTTCATGACTCCAATGCACAGCGTGCAATTGTCACATCTATAAATGGACAAGCAGCTCAGCACCATTTGCGTTTGAAGCCAATAACTGAGGTGGAAAAATGAAGCAACCTCCAAGAGAGACCGTGCCTGAATCCGTGTAGGATCAGCGTTCAAAATCTTGCCCATCTCGTAGACATAGCCTTGGTACTCCGCGCTCCAAACTCTTCTGAAGCCTGTATCCGTATCCATTGTTTCTGGAACCAACCGCGGAAAGCCTGATGGGAAACCCCGATGCGAACCCTTGCAATGGGTGACGCACGAACTGAAAAGATTCCACCCAACCTTACATGACATGTACAGAATCCACCACATTGCCGCATTGCCTCTGTAATTTTGGCGTTCGAGACTGAGCTTGGGTGTAGGTGTAGGAACTCGAACATCTGATCTGAATGCTGATTTGTTCGATCTTCGCTCACTGACACCCAAAAGGTCAAGAATTTGACAGAAAGTGATGCAGGGTGTCTCCGCTGTACCTCTGACATACTGTGCTCCGCTGTAAGTACGAGGCAAATCCGAATCTAGCCTCATCCCAAACCACATGCAAACCTCAGCAAACCACCTTCCACGTCCAAAACGCCACCTAGAAACGATAAATGAAGTAGCGCTGCTCCGCGTCGTCCGAGCTCCGAGAGGCAATCGAGGTGCCACCTGAGGACGGGCCCGACAGTGACTTGGTCGCTCCAAACGACAAAAGGGAACCCCTTTGAGGATCGTCCGCGCGGACGCTGCCGCCGGGCTGAACTGTTTGGGCACCGCTTGAGACGTCCACTCCAACTCCCCGAAATTGCCACGCGCGGCCACGGCCGAGAGCGCCGCATCCCACAGCCGAGGGCACGTCCGTTTTTCCCACCGTACTGTTTGGCAGCGCGAGGCTTGGCCTGTGGCCGCCAAGATCCCTTCAAACAATTCCTGCCATGCCGTCCCCGGCGGAAAATGCCGGCATGGCCCCTGTGATCAACACGATGGATGTCTTCGACCATCCTGAATTGAATTTGTTTGGAAATGGGTTCAATGTTCTCTTGAACAATCCGAGATTTGTTGACAAGTGCTTGAGTTTTGATAAGTACGAGATTTGATCTCAGGACACAGCCGCTGTTGCCACGCAAACACCCTGAAGCTCCGACGGCAGGTCCACTGTGTCCCATGTCAAGCTCTCAGTGTCATATCGATCGACGTGAGCCATCTCAGCTTCATAGCCACCGAAGACGTAGACCTTGATGCAGACTGGGCGCCCCGATGGATGGAGTGGCCGGCTAAAGTTACTCGACTCAGCTGGAATCATCAAACATCCCAACACCATTCCTCTTCTTCCGTTGGACTCCCCAGCATTAAGTATAGAAATATGAAAGATCATATCCCATGGCCCAAAAGAATATCCAGATCCACGTACAAGGTTTGCAACAAGTTGCCACATCCTCACACCAAAAACACCCACCCAGCTTGAAGAACACCCTAAAACTGGGCTTTCCGTCATCAGACCATCCTGAAAACACCGTGTTTTACCACCGACCTGGTCTGGCCCATCCACCGGAGGCCCGCGCCTTCCCGGCCACGGCCGCCGCGGCGCAGCCGTGCCGCGCGAGGCGCGGCGGCGCCGGCAGCGCGGCCCAGAAGTCCCAGCGGTGGCTGAGACACTCGGGCTCCGGAGGAGACACGGCGTCCGCCAAGAGATGGCCCCTGGGAGAGGGGGGGACCGGACCGGCGCACTGGCGGAGGCCAGGAAAACGAGAGTCGTAGGGTGGTGAGAGTGAGAGGGACTGAGACAGGGCATGTCCGTGGTGGCGACTGGATGGGGAACTGACCAAAAAGGCAGCTTCCAGCTTCAAATGTTCAAAGAAGGAGTGTGAAAGGAGCTCCAAATGTCTCAAGTTTACTTAAAGCATAAAACATCCTAAAACAAACCTGCGGGTGCTTGGATGTGACATTGATGTATTGCCATGTTGTTACAGTATTTCTTTGTTCAATCTGTTTGGATTCACAATTGGTTGTGGTGACAGCCATCTGTATCACAGCCATCACTGAGGCGACTGGAAGAGGGTCCAGGCCTTGCAACTGCAGAGCCACCAAAGAGGACCAAGCAGTCAGAGGTGCTCGTGGCGGTTCCACTGTGCCGAGGACCCAAGAGGGATGGCCCAGTACCTTGAAGCCAGAAATGGTCAGCGGGTCACCAACAACGACCAGAACTGGTCAAGAATGGATCCTTCGACCTATCGAGTATACTGTATGCCATTACCAGGGCCCAATAAAAAGATGCTTCGTGAAGGCCGACATCTCAAAAATATGCAAACATCGTGATGTAATAGCATAAGTATGCAATAAGTATAATACATACATATGCGGCATATGCATATATACATCTTTTGCCAACCTTCGGGAACGAATAGACTTCGGGGTTGGTCGCCAGGCCAACACTTGTTGCGGAGTGGCGGCTGCGTGCCCATCCAACAAGGGCTTCGTTCCAAGTGTCTGAAGAAAGCCAAAGAGGACTAGGGATACTAAGTGAAGTTCGGATAGTTCAGCCACCGTTCAGCCCAATGGACCATGCACTGAAAAATCTGAAAAAGAAAGCGGCCCAGTCACGCCAGGCTTTGCTCCAAACATCCAGAGACTCCACATCCGCACAGGCTTCCCCAAGTCGGTCGGTGCCACCTCAGCGGGTTTTGCGCGATGAGCATCCCCAATCGGTCGGAAGTAGAGGTCGAAAGACCTGAACTAGGACCCTGTAGTGGTACATATGGGATGGGCGACAAAAGGATCAAAAGGGCTGTTAGGACCTCTCCTGGTTCCGGTTCCGGTGTCGTCCATGCGCAGAAGCCCTAGGGATGGTGGATCCACTTCGAAGACGAAGTAAGAAAAGAACGAGGAGACAGGAGACGGAGCATCATGTTTCAGGCGCAGTCCAAACGAACTTCCATGAGGTGGTTCGCTTTTTTCAAGGACTTCACGTTGAAGCGTGTTCGGGCTGAAGGTGATTTCTTCAGTCAAAGTCCACTCGCAATGGATCAATGGCCAACATCTGAATGCTGATCTTTTTACTAGGCCTCCCTGGCCCCACTCAATCCCCCTTTGGCGCCACCCAACTCCTCCGTGGCCATGCGACCCAGGAGGAAGACCACCGAGCCCTTGGCCACCGCGGCCGCGTCGCAGCGCGGCGACGCCAGCGGCGGCAGCGCCTCCCAGCGCGCGCGGTGGAGGTCGAAGCGGTCCGTGGCCGCGGAGCAGCCACGGCGCCCTGGGCGAAGAGGTAAAGGGTCGGCCAGAATAGAGGTCTTGCAGGCCATGCCCGTAGACAAGAGACTAGATGGAATGCTTGGAGAATTCGAGGTTGCGCATCGTCAAACACTCCGACCGAAAGCGAAACACTTGGCATTTTGCAGCAGAGGCGCCAATGCCTCCCAGGGCATACACTGCTGAGCCTGGCAGATATTCACCGATACAAACAAGGACACTACTAGGTGGAGGCCATCGCTACTAGGTTGGAGGCCATCGCCATTAAGTTGGAGGCCCTTGCTACTTATTCAAAGAAGACAGCCCTCCCAGCCCTCCCAGCCTGCTGCTGTCAGGGCAAAGCGTGTGGTTTCCTCACCCGGACGAGATGGCAAGCGCCGCCACTGTCCGTGCGCTGGCTGCCAACAATGGAATGACCTGAGCAGCACAGGCCACACCAAGCCCCATGTGTCAAAAAGTGTGCGTCAAAAAGTGTAGATTTTGGGGCCCTTGTGGGTTCTCAGTCTCCATCAATGAAGGTTCTCAGTCTCTTCACCTCATCTGTTTCATTGTTCCTTTGCATGATTGAAGGTACCCTTTCTTGTTGAGCCACACACACTCACCCCATCCAGACCTCCAAACGCGGCCCATCCGGACTCGCTATTCTCCGTTCTTCGTTCCTCCGGGTCACGAGCGCCACTCAATCCCAGCTTTGACAGGATCCTCACCAGACATCAGGACGTACAAGTTGCCAGCTCTTGAAGCAACTGCATAGTAGGGATCCAAGTGCTTCAACAAGGGCACCTGGCGAGGCCGGCACGCATCCTAGGCACGCATCGGCCCTGTCTGTATTGTTGTCAGGCAAAAATGTAAGAGACACTTGAATTTTAAACATTGATTAATAATTGTGACATAATATGGCTCAACATGGCTCAACTCTATGAGTGTTGGGCTATCGGCTTATCCATTAGCCTCGGCCCTCTCACATGGTACCTACTTTTGCTCTGCCTCATTCGTTCTTTTCTGATACTCCTCGGCACCTTCTCGAAGCGGCTGCTGGATGGGCAGAAGATGGACAAAGCTTCAGGGCGGCCGTTCCACGCGCTCAACACATAGATCTTTGAGCACCAAAGCAGGCCAGGCAAGGTCTGCTGGATGGTCCTCAGCCCAGCTGTTCCCAGGCTTCTGGTCATGTGTAAATGAACACCAAATGGAAAGGTTCAAACCAACGACAGCGGTCGTTCATGCTGGTTTGTCTAGGTGTATTTCAGAAAGTATTCCCCCATGAGAAGTCTAGAAGATGTAGTCTGATGCATGTGAAGGCCACCATGCACGGGGGTCCGGATCAATATCGCAATGTGGGCATGCTGCAACAAATTCGATGGACTTTGCAAGTTTGCCTCTGGACATCTCTGGAAATGGGCACTGCCTCAGTACCCAACCAAAGTGTCCGGTTGCTTCGTGTTGCTTGGGTACAGCATGAGGTTCGTGGCTCTTGAACCTCACACAAAATCACACAAATATCCCACAAATCCACAGCCACCGGCCAGCTTGGCCAACTGCTGTTCCCGTTGCTGTCCTCCCCCGAACCTTGGCCGTGCTTCTGCGCCACGGAGCGCGAGGCCGCACGGAAGCTGCGGCTTCCCACGAAGCCGACGGCCTGGGAAATCTGTCGCGACACACCCGGCAGCTCCACGACGCAGAGCGGGATCTCCTGAGACACGGACGGCCCCCGGACGGCCCAAGAGGGGCGACGCGTTCGCGTTCGCGCTCGGCGAGGTGGGTGGGTTGACGGCACCATGGGAGGAGGTCCAACGCCGTAGTCATGTAATGATGAGCCAAACATCACAATTGGAAGTGGATGGCATCAACCCCTGTTCGTACAGGAAAGGCGTCTTCCAACAAAAATAATGCCATCATCCATCCACTTCTCTATGTTAGTGAGTTGGAGGGGAAAAAAAAGAAAGTCCAGCCGGCGATTATAAGAAAGGTCTGAAAAGATACGAACGTCCGTTAGCAGCGACTTTGCTCCAAGCATCAGCCAAGCGAGCTCTCATCTCAGGCGAGATGGTCCGGTTCACCAGGCTGCGCAAGAGTCTCAAGTCCACCTTGCTAGGCGTCTTCCAGCTCACTTCTGGTATGTGAAAGTCCAGCGCCCTTTCCAAGCTGATGCTCGATGGCAACGCCGGAAGTCCCAGAAATAATCGAAGCGCACCATGTGACAAAGTGGGATCCAAACATATCAAAGCATCCAAGTATTGCTGAAACTCCCTCTGCCTTTCTGCGATGAATCGGTCATCTTCCTTCCCAAAGATCCACTTTCCCAAGCCATAAGCCCTGCGGCTCGGCAGGCCAGGAAACCGGCCCGTGCCATCGGCAAAGAGGCTCGAGGACCGGAGCAGCTGGTGCAGCTGAAAGAGATCACGGAAGCGCCGATCCACCTGCCATCGCTCCTCCCCGAAGCGCAACTCCTCGTCTCCGTTTCCACCAAGGGTGGTGGCCAAAACGAGCCACCGCCGGGCGAGCATGTTCCCCCCCCAAAACGAACGAAAGAGGGGCCTGTCTAAGAGGGCCCATCTAACCGTTCAGCTGGAGTTCCACCCTGCAACACAGTGCTCCGAAAGAAAAGGATCGAACCGTCGGTGCTCCGAAGCTCCGTGCTCGCGCGGATCGCGGTCGTCTCCCTTCGAAAACCCGAAAAAGCTGATGCGTTTCGGACGATGCAATGCAAGTCTCGATGCAATACTTCACATGGGTCGACTCTTGACGTATGCTTACAATCTCAGCCCTGTAGCTCTCGCGATCGAAGGCGGCGTAGCCACCGCTGGAAGCCGCCATGCCATGTGTTTCAGGGACTGCAAGGTGTTTCACATGGACCGCCGACGTTGGCGTGAGCACGTTGGTCAGTGAGTGTGCTTTGAGTGACCAAAAAAAACGGATGGTGCGAATCGGAGGGATTCTGCTAGGCTTGGACGACTGGGAGTGGAGCTGTTCACTCCAAACCAACGGAGTTCCAACCATTCAGAAAGAGTCTCTAGTCTTTTGCTTCTTGGCATGCGCCTTCCTGGAAAGCTTCTAGCTCGCTGTCATTTTTGTGAGTCTAAATGATTATTGCGAGTCACACTTGGCTAGATGGCTACTGTAGGTGTCCATGTTGAACCTCATGCTGTATTGAGCCTGAATGACGAGCAGGGATCAAAGGTACCTTGGGGTCTCTCAGGACAACAGGACTTACGCTCTCGACTCACTAGGTCCAGCGCTGCTTGCGTAGGGGTCTGTCATGCGAATAGGCAGCATGTAGTCCTGGACTTCAGCACACGGCTGAGCTGAGAGGCCGAGCTGAAATTGAACAGCCTACGGCTCTACATCAAAACTGACCAGGTTGCAGTGTTTTAAAAGATCACCCCAGCCCGTCCACAGTGTCCAATGCATGGAACGCCATGGTGTCTCGTATGCCTTGGGTGCACAAGTCGGACGTCAGAACATCCAAATGAACTCTGGGAGGGTCCAGACCCCTGCTATGGAGGGTCTGCTCCCTGCTAGGGAGGGGTGCAAGGATCGTGTGGGTGTATTCTCAAATCATGCTCACCCACCCTCCCACCATGGGGTTCTGTGGTCTTTGACCCACCTGCACCTGCACCGGAACACAAAAGGCCGCTCCGAGGCCCCGAACACTTGCCAGCCACTGGCACTTTCGTGCGCGGACAATGCTCCACACACGCACCGTCCACCTGACCGTCCCGCCCGCGCGTGGCGCGACGCGGCGGTGACCATCGATCAGTGGCACGGCCGGCGGATCGGCCGAGGCCGGAACCAGCACCAGTGGCACTTGACAGGATGGCCGGACAATGACCATGCCCACCTGAGCGATCGCCGATGTTCGGCCGATGTTCGCATCTCTGGCCGGATGGGGTCCGTCGTGGCCGGTCGTCTGAAAAGTCTCTTTTTGGACCGGATGTGTTGAGTCATTGCAACTGCCAACGGCCCGGGCATCATAGAGCCGGCCAACATGGTTGGCACAAACCTCGAGCAAGCACCATGGTGTCGGCCAGGCGTTGAAAGAATGTGAAATGGAACACTCAATCTGCCAGCTCTCCAAAAAAAAGGGCCGCGCACACGTGATGCTTCCGCGTTCTGATGCTAAACAATGAGCGAAGGCTGACTTAGGAGCCGATGTTACTAGCAGCGACTCAAAGAGTCGCAGGTTCGCAGCGACTCACCTGCTCTCCGTCAGCTCCATGGGGATTCGGCCGAAACAGCACTGCTTGGGTGGTTGGGTGGTTGCTGCCTGTGCTGCTGGGGTTCTGGGCGGCCCGGCCCGGTAAATGCCCGTGGAAATCGAGGTCATTCCTGTAGGGCCACTGTAGGACAGTGCACAAGCAGGGTCCATGCTCCGCTCCCCTTGTTTAAGGGAAGTTGGAAAAGCTTCATCTTTTTGGATGAGATTGGGTAGCATAGAACACCCACACCCACCCACACATCCCGCAATGCCACACTGCCAGCACCCATCTCTTGGTTCGGCTCAACTCTGCCTCCCCAACTTCCCTTTTCCATCAACCCCCATTCATCCCACCAGTTCGCTATACTCGTATTCCCCTCCCCTCCCCCCACTGGCCCCACCCACTGGCCCCACCCGACCCCCGTCTTCCCAACCGGCTCCTTCGTAGGTGACCTGATCTCGATTCTCGGAGACCGTCTGGCTGAGCGGCTCGCTGAAGGGGTTCAGGATCGTGGGGCCTCCGGGACGGCCCCAGCGAGGCGAGAGAGGCGAGGCGGCAGCGGAGTGAAGCGAAGCGGTGGGAAAAGCGGTGGAAGTGCGTGCCAAACGGTTTCGAAGCCCCTCTTGCTTGGTGACGATGTTTTGGGGTGGTCAGGTGCAAAGAGAGTAACTGCACTGCCTATGAGATCAAAGTTGCAAAGCTGGTCATAGGGCAAGAAGTGCACGGAATCCTGGAAAGCAAGTGCTCGGAATCCACAGTCCGTTTCTCATGTTTCTCATGTTCCCCTGCCAAGGCCGGGATGGATGGCGACTTCCAAGCGAAGTAGCCGCAGATTCAATTCAGCCTGATTTTCAAGCAAATTGACACAAGTTCCGGTGAGTCATTGCGTGTCAGTGAAAACCACACCTCACTGCCACTCACTGCAAGCCTTGCCTTTTTGTGGCGAGCAACACGCTACGACAGGCTGCAACAGGACCCCTGGCCTTTGGACACGAAAGCAGGCAAAAGACCCACGTCTTTGCTGTAGTTTGGATACCCAGCAGGCCCAGCAGTCCTCATTCTGCAGGTTGAAGCCCAGGACCATCATCGGGAAAATCTCGTCCACGCGAGCATCACAACCACACCTCGCACTCGCTGCGAATTGTGCACGGAAGTGCCGGTAGCAGCTGCGAAGTGCTGGGAGGACCAAAGGACGGCAATCCCGGTTGATCCCAGGCAGCCCACAAGTACTGAGGAACCACTGGTCTTAAGTGGTTTAAGTCTTTGGATCCACTGGTTACCTACTGTAGTGGTGGCTGGATCCAGTGGGAACGGAATCTCTTGGAGGATCTGTGTGGTTTTTCTGAAGCTTCGGGTGGGGGAGGGTTGCACCCGCCTTCGAGAGGCACCCGAACCTGGTTCCGTGCACACGCACCTCCAAAGTTCCGACCAAACACAGGAATTATGATTTATCCATGCCTAGCCTAGCCTAGCAAACCCAACAAAACATCCAGAGTAAGAAGTATCATGAAGTATCATGCTGCTAACATGGCAACTCCATGAACAGAGAAGGAAAAATCCATGTGTCAAATCTGTGAACTGAACAAACCCTTTGCCTGGAAAACAAAATCTAGGATAGACATCACATCTTGTTTTCATCTTCACTCCCTTATCCGTCCGTCTTCTCTTCGCCGCTGCCCCTCGCCTCGTCAGCTCCGAGGGGTTGCACGGGTCCGTCAACGGCGGATTGCAGTCAATGGCCGTGGGGCAAATCTCAGCAGTGTGCAAGTTGATGGGTCAATGCTCAACGCGAGAGCAGAGAAGGTGAATAAGTTCATGGACATGGACGGACTCTCTTCATTGGTTCATCTCAAGGTATGACCCACTTGTTCACCCCCACAAAGGGGCTAGGTTTGGTTGACAGGTTCATCACGAGGACTGGACCCACTGGACCCTAGCTGCATTAAGATTGGGCATGGCTTGGTCTTCGTCAACAGCTTTGGTCGGCTTGACCGACCCGGACGACGGCCCGTACCCATGGGGAAGGTGCTCGCTCCCCGGCTGAACCGCTCCCGGACCGGCGGGAACGGCCGGAGGGGCGACCACTCTGGCGACGCCAGACACACAAAAAAGAAATCCATCAAACCTGAAGGTCACACCATCTCACTCTTCCTAAAGCACTGAGAGTGGACTGTCAGCCTCACTGTCAGCATGTTGGCACCGCTAGCTGCGCAGCGCGTTCCGCGGACGGATCTGAGATCTCCCAGCCGGCGAAGGGCTTCGCGTTCCCACTTCGTACTGGAACATGCAGTACAAGTGTCCTCCAGCACTGTCGGATGATTACACCATATCACACCATAACAGCTTAGCACAGTCTAGTTACTTCCCAAAAGAAGGAGGAGGACATGTGTGGTGATACGGTGCCCCAAATGTTTGTTGCTGAGCCACAAACATTAGGGGCCAAGTCTCCCTTTTCATACCGAGGGAGCTTTGGAGCCATTTCTTGACCCTGCACCCAGCTGCGCTGCTCGGTCCGGTGAAGGGGCCGTTGCCCACCATGGGCGACGTCTTGATCGGCTCTTCCCTTGGCTCAAGAGCCCATCGAAACCGGCGACTCCAAAAGAAGCACAGCCAGATATTTGATGATATTTGGAAGATCGGTTTGCTCCTTTTTAACAAGCACCAACAGAAGATGAAGTCTACGAAGTGTATGATGTGTTGGTCGGAACCAGAAAGCGGTCGTCTTCGAAAAGGCTAAGGGTCAGGCTGGATGTTATTCAAGGACGAGATCCGTAACGACGTGTCCTGAGCCGCATGCACCAGCTTGCAACATGCCCCAGTCTCACAAATGGTGGATGATGGTCACTAAGGGCCTTCACCAGAACATTGGTCAATCTCCACCCTCACTCTGAGTGGCTGGACTAGATTGAACTAGCACACACGACTTGGCATCCCACATTGGCATTGAGGGCTGAAGGCAGGATGAAGCCCTGCGCGGCTCTGGGTCCACTTCTTGTGTCAACTTCATCATTCTTAAAGAAACTGGCTTGCTGCACCCACTACACCATTCTGTTGAAATGGTCAGTCCCATGCCTGGCTCTCTTCTACTCGAAGATCCAGCATTGTAAATGCTGGAATCACTTCTCTAAGTGGCACTTTCAGCCTGGCCAAGCTCGATTTGGACGACAGTAAAAGCTCTCTGCCCTCCTTGTTGAGTTGGTCCCACCAAAAACGCCCGCCTTTCACAGTCGATACCCCCAACTCACCCACTAGTCATTCTGAAGAGGAAAGTTCAGCTACTCTCCTACCAACTTCCATCAGTAATGAGACATTTAATTCCTCAGAAGAATGAGACATCGGCCAGCCGAGCTCCCAGCGTTAGCCGCGCGGTGGTCTCATTCCAACTGCCCATGGAGTCTTGGATCCTCCCACGGTCCTGGGCACCGAACACGCCACGCGAACCAACGCGTGGCGTGCGTCGTTTCACGGCGCGGTGTCGAACGAGCTCGGCGCATGGATGGGGCGACGTCCGGCCTCGCCCATGATGTGAATGTTCACTTTGGACAAGGAGTTCCGGAAGCCGGGCCTCACCCATGGCATGTTCCGGTGCAGGAGATGCCAACGTGCCAGGTGAGGGGGGCCTCGAAGTTTTTAATGGGGCTGTGCCTTGATGGGTTTAGGGGTGGCTGGGTGGAAGGTTTTTACTGTATACAGGTGTACATGAGCACCAGGTGAGTGAGAGATCGTATCTTGAATATTTGTTAAAATGATTCTGACCTCCATCTACACCTGAGATCAGAGAAGCCAACAAAATGATTTCATCTACCAGAACCGGACACCCGACCCACCTCTTTTCGGGGCTAGGCATGTTTTGCTCAAGCCGGTCAAGCATTTTCAATGCAGGGGCTGGGAACCAAAAACAGCCCAATGGCTGGTCTATGAGGGATGGTCTAGGCCAGGTTGAGAAGGCTGCCGAAAAGTGGTGCTGAGGCTAGCTAGAGACTGGGGAGGCTTTCAAGGAGCAGGCGAGCAGGTGAGCAGAGAATTCTTCCGAAGGGTCTCTGACATCAGAAAGGGGGGTGCAGAATAATTATCAACACAAGGGGAGAAGCCTGAGAAGCCTTGGCCTCCTAGCATTTCTATGCAGGGGGGCTGGTGAAAGAACCAAAAACGTTATCTGTTATCTGTATAACTCCTGCTTGCTTGCTTACTTGCTTACTTACATACACAGAGAGACACAAACACAAACACAGAAAGACAGGTACGTGTAGGCGCTCCCTTCGAAAATCACAATTCCTTTCTTTCTCACAGGTCCCACCAGGTCGTATCCACACTCCATCGGCGCGCGCCCGGTGGCGCCGCTGATCGGGTCTGGCTCTTCTGAAGCCCTTCTTGAACCATGGATCTTTCCGACATTGGTGGCCATCTGCTACTTCTGGCAGGTGCAGCTGATTCCATGTCAGCCTGTCGTGCTCGTCAGAGAGAAACCTCTTACAGCCCATGAGTCACGAGAAACCTCTTACAGCTGCTTTGTGTCTTCATCTGCTTGGTCTAGCGCATGGCATCCAGCTGCTTGCCGAAGGCAATGCACCCCCGGTGGTCGCAGCGCAGGGCCACCCGCGCTTCCACCCCGCTGGCGTAGGGAATGCTTCGATGGCTCTGAAGGCGCCACGGCTCGCCTGGTCGGACCGGACCCGAAGAGATTCGGAGCGGAAGCACAGCGCCAGGGTCTTCGTTTTTGGGCGGTTCGGAGCGGGCACGGAGGAGATGGGACTTTAGATTTTCGGCAAGATGCAGCTCACTGGTCATTTCTGTTTCTCACTCATTGACTCACTGGTCATTTCAGAAGATCCGTTAAGGCCTTCAGAACTGCGAGCCCATAGCTGCGTCGCCAGTAGCGTCGGCCCGAGGACGGGAAATTCGATGCATGTGGTGATGGCGCGGGTCTCGGATTGCTTCACGCAGTCAAAGCTCGCAGTGACCAGCTGGGGACGATTCTCAGCGGCTAACACCATGTCCCAGCCGCTGAGATTGCTTTGCTCTTGCTCCACTTGAAGGGCGGCACTCAGCTCGGCATCATCTTTCGCTTCCTAGCTTTGAGTGGGTCGCACAGGCACGTACAAAGCTTCGAAACACAAAGATACTGTTGAACAAACAAAACTCACAGAGCCACCCTGATCATAGCCGGAAGACTATCATTCCAACCCCCTCTGGTAGATTCCACCTGTTCGCACAGCTTCAACATTGAGGACGCGTTTTCCATTCTTTCGTCAAACTCGCCGAGCATCAAAAAGTCCTCGCATCCGTTCCACGTCGCCGCCGGTGAGTGCGTCGTAAAAGTCTTTTTGCGCCTCCAGTGCTCCGCAGCTGGTCTCTGCCAGGGCGAAGAGCTCTTCCGTGGAGGACAGCGCTTTGGTGGGAGGCATGGCGGCCAAAATCTCATCCCAAATGGGGATGCCAAAGTCACTTCCAAAGACCCGTCCCTTTAAGCTGAGACCCACCCACAAACTCTGGCCAGCAGCTACTTCCTTGTCTTCCAGTATTCCTTGAAAGTAGCTCCTGCACAGGAGACTCAGGAACAAAACATGATGACAATTGCAGTCGCACTTCTTCATAAGGTGTCACTACCGTTCAGCGTGCTTTCAGAAAAAGAGGCCCGAAATCGAATCCATTGAAATCCTCGGACAACCCATGGCTAGCATGATCATCGTGGCCTTGACATTCATCCTTCCCCTTTTAGTGGTGTGTATTGAAATTTGGAGACCCAAAGATTCCAAAGGATAAATTAACCAAAAGCCTTTGGAGGTTGGGGTCTTCCTATTCTGATTGTACACCCATGTTGATTTCATACTCCCGGTCGCACCCTGCACCCATCCTCCAGCGGCGTAAGGCCTGGGGCCTTGCCAGCCAATCCCGACTGGCACGAAGACCAGCCTCACCCCAGGCAGCAAAGGCAACCTGTTGCGCAGAGTCAAAGGCAGGAAGATCAATGAAGCTAATTCATACACATTGCATATACATATTCATCACATCATCACATTACAGTATTGCCGCATTCCAAAGTGTCACGAGCGAATTCTGCATGGGCGCCACCATCGGAATGTCGGAATGCATTTCCAGCGCCTCGTCGGCACCCTCCAAGGAGGAGCAGACTGGAAGTATAAGGACGTCGCTTTGCACAAAGCGCCTGGTAGTATGGGCAAGGCATGGCGCGGTGCAGATTGGCCTACACAATCAAGTCAGTTCTTTCAGGTGGGAAGACAGCAACATCAGGTGCGAAGGGTGGCTGTCATGTCACCAAAGAGCAGCAGCTCCTGCTCTCTTATGCTGTGGACTCTTAGACTGTTGACTGTTGAGTCTTTCAAGTTTTGTCAGGGTGTTCAGAGAATAAAGCGACAATTAGATACAATTCGAACACAATTGGTATATTCTGTTGTATTATGGAAAATTATGGAAAATTATGTTATTCTGTGCCACAAGCAGGGGGCTCAACAAAGATTGAATTATCAAGCATCATATCATAAATGCCTTAATTGCTTCTCTATAGGGCATACGGCGCTTGAGGACTGTCAGTAACAAGGATTGGAGGATCCTGAAGCCTGAAGCAGCTTATGTGCTTCATATTGCGCAGCTACAAAGCATGAGCCGCTTTCCAAAACACCAGCGTTGATGATCTCTGCCTTTCTTTCCATCCACTACCGTTTTACAGCCATCAAGCAGCTGGTGAGAGCCATCTGAACACCACCGGTCTGCTAAAACACCCTCCGCAGGCGGTGTCCCCCGGCTATCGCACCTCCGGTAGGGCCGCGCCGATCGGAGGCTTTCCTTCACCTGCTGGAAGCTGCCGAAGAGCGCCACCACGCGCTTCGAGCCGCGCAGTGCCTGACGCGCTTCGTTTTCACAAAGGTTGGTGCAAATTCGAGGGAAATTGTGTCTGACACATGGAAGAAAATTGAAGAATCTGTGCCTCCATTGGCGTTATTGATATCTGATATCTATTCACTATTCTTTGCATCGGCCATTTCACCCACCATTGATCACCAGAGTTTCCCGCGGGTCCGACGCCTGTAGCTCAAAGCCTCTGGAGGCTGCCAGAGTCGGATTAAACAGCTCCACTGGCAGGTCTCCGATGGCATACTCTCTCTCCAAGCGCACCAGTTGAGCGGTTCGTTTCCCCCGCTCCCGCACGAATAAGAAGCCAAAGACTACTGAGAAGAGCACCGCCAAAGCATAGTACCAGAGTGCTGCGTTGCTGGGAGCAAAGGCAGGTGCCGACAGGGCGGAAACCGTGAACAAGAAGAAGATGAGGATTCGCAAAGGTTCGGATTGATTCGTGTTGGAATATTGGATCAACGCTTCTCTTCTGAACTCTTGCAAGGACAGCAGGTCGAATTCGGATCGCCTCAGGAACTTCTCCTTCGTAAAGCCTTTTTCAGGAGCCGCGCCACGCGCCACCGGGCTCGGGCTCCGTGACGCCCACGCCCCCGGTCGGACCAGTGCGGGGACTCGCACGCCCACCGCGGCGACCACAGCGACGAAGAGCGCCGGACGCAGCGCGCGGCGCGCGACCGGCATCGGGCGGCCGGGGGAAGGCTGAAGGGGAGCTCCGATTCTGGAGCGCTTGGCCCTTGCGAAGCCCTTGGGCTGAAAAAGAACAAAGCCTGGGCCTAGGACTCCTAGGACTCAGGACCCTACAAACATGATGAATTGATGTTTCTGTGTGACTGTTCTCTGTTGCTGCATGCTCATTCTCTTGAACCCAGGACAAAATCAAAGTAGTATTATGATATGAACAGTCTGTGCTCTTGGCAAGAACCCAATCTTAGCTTCACACAGAAAGAGTACGATGTCATTCGCCTGAAACACCAAATCACTGGATCAGTGGCTGCAGTGTTAGATGAAAAGAAAACCCCAAACAGCTGTCCTTCCAGTTGCATCCAGAAAGCTTAGAACCGCGCGTGCGTGATGTTCACAGTGGGCTGCAGCAGCATCTTCAGCTGAAATATACTATCCTGCTGTGGCGGCCTCAACCAAACGCAGTTGAAAAAAAAATCAAAAGGTCTTTTTCCGTCCCTCCGCAGTCTGTCCACGCGCGCACTCTGGCGGTCCGACGCGTAGATGAACTCCGAGACCTGGAAAGATCCTCGGCTCTCTCTGGGTCGGTCGGGCGGTGAACCCGGTCGGCACCGGTGGAACCCGGAGGGGAAGACATGCGCAGGAACGCGACGAAGGGAGCGTTCGGGGCTCCGGGCCTTACTAGGAACCATAGAGCTACGATGTTCTGCTTTCTTTGTTCGTTCTTTTCGGTCGTTCGCTCGTCTTGCAGACGGGACTCGGTCAACCACCCGCGGAGAGTTTTTGATGGGCTCCTGGGAAGGTGAAGGCCGCGGCTGGCTTGGAAGGTATGATGCTATCAAGTGAACACCAGCCCATTTTGTGCTAGCCTATTGTCCCCTTCGATTATGTACATACATATATATATATATATATGCAATTATACTGCTTTTTCGCTTGAGGTTCTCTCATTTGGCTTTGGGGTAACTTTTGGAACCAAACCCAAACATCTGTCTGCGGGTCAAGCACGTTCACGCGGGCATGTCATGGAATGGACTAATGAATGCTTCGGCACGCTCAGAAATCCATCAAATCCATCATCAGACTTGCCGGCAAATGCTGGTGATGCTGGTGCTCGTCCTACTCCCACTCCAAAACAAACATGGTACCAAGTCAGGTGGACATCAAACAAGCTCAACATTTTATCCCAGAAGAAATGAAGTGGTTCATCTGCTCAAAAACCAACTCACCGACCCTTTGTGATGGAAAACTCCGACCCTTTGTCGACTCTTTCCGCACCTCGAAGACCACGACATTCCTGGGACAAGCGACAGGACACAAACCAACCACCAGTTCTCACACAAACCGAGACAACTGCGTGACTGCAGTAGAATTTTGGTGAAGAGTGTGTTTAGATGTGTTTAGTTGTGTTTAGTCATAATACCTTTGCCTTCTTTTCCCACTTGGAATATGTTTGATGCATACTCCCGTTCCCCCAAAGGTGAAGCACCTGGCTTCATCTCAGCCTCCAGCCCAATGGCTTGGATCGTTAGGCGCGTATCATCAGGGAGCAGCGGAGTGATCGGCAAGCGGAAGCCACCCGACTGCATGATGCGCAGCACCTTTTTCGAGCTTCTCCGTCCGAAAATCCACCGCGTCTCTGTTGGTGATTATTTTTTCCTGTTTGCCAAGTCTTTCTGCGACGTCTGTCTGCTTCACCTGAGACTTCACCTGTGGCTTTTGGGGCGCCGTCGGGCGGAGCACAGAGCCCCATCTTGGTCGCCAAGGCCCCGGCCGTCGTCAGCTGTCGATAGATCGCTTGTCCAACAGGCACCTGTTGTGTGCCGTTGGGTGTAAGACCCAATGCCGGTCTGTGAGGTGACTCGGACGATCGATGTGAATCCGAAGGCTACCCGGTCTGACCTGAAAGAAAAGAGGGCTTCGTCAAGGGTCGTGCCAAAAACGTGAAATGGATGGAAGGAATGGTCTGCATCGGCCATCATCGGCCTATTTTCTTTCACTCTGATTTCCATGGGTTTCGATGGATTCGCTGATTTGCCATGCCAGCTGCACCACCAAATCAAAGGTGTTATCCATCTGGTTCCATTGTCCGAAGCGGATAAAGTCACCTTGCTTCGCAAAATGCGCAGCCACATTGCCTATTGCTCAAGACTCTCATGTTGAGCAGGGAAATTCCCAGGAAGTGGTAGGACTCGTCCATTCAGGGAGATCAAGAAGGTGGGTCATCTCATCTCTCACCTCACAAACTCTAAGCTCCTCACTTAAGTCCTTCTCACCGAGCACTGGCACCTCTTGGGTTCCAATTGGAACCTGAGCCCATGCGTTCTTACGCCCCACCCCGTGAACGGTGCGCAGTTGGTGCCATGGGGCCGGGGCGGCCCCGAATCAACTAGTCATCCCCATGTGCACGGATGAGTGGCCCGGCAAAGGGTTCATTGTTGCTCAATCGCGTGGAAGTGGAGCAACCCAGATTCACAACTCGTGAAGAAACGGGTCTGGAAGTTTGTGAAGCAGAAGCTAGCAGCTAGCTGAGCAAGTTTAGTGCAGCCACGTCACGCTGGTAAAGGGGCAGGTAAAGCCAGGAAGCCTGGGCTATGCAAACTACAAAACCACTGAATCCCTCATGTTTGAGGCCAAGCAGTTGGCTCTGGGCTGCAGCATACAACTTCGGTTGAATTGACTGGACTATACTGGAAGGAAATGAGCATCACTGCATCACTCTTGGATGCAAGTATTTTGCCACACGGTGATCTTACACTGCACGCTTCTGTTGCCCAACTGGTGGATGGATGTCCATCCATGTTCATCACACAATCACAGGTTTTGCTCGGCACATAAGATCCAGCTGGTGAGTACTGCAGTGGATTTAGTGAGTGTTCCCATGGTCATGTCATGTCCCTGCCTCAAATAATACTTGAGTATTATAAGTGTTCAAAAATGTCATGTCCCTGCCTCTTTGTGTCTAAACGCTGCAAATCTGTTCCAAAACGCAAGTTCCACCATCGCTCGCATGTGCCACAAACGGTGCCATGTCAGTCGCTGCCGAATCGGCCACGGGGCGTGAGTCTCACGGTGGTGCCCGCCGGGAGGTTCACCTCAAACAGCACAAAAACTGCTTTTGTCCATCCATGTCCATCCGCGTCCACAAAAGCCATGTCAGGAAGAGCAAACACGCTGAGTTTCAGGAATCAACCAAATTCAAAGAGTACGTCCAAAATGCGTTGGTGAAACCAGTTCTCTAGTGTTTGACCGAACGGATCCAAAAAAAAGGCTGAGGCCATGGCATTGGGCTGAAACCTGCCAAATAGGGGCTCCACATGTCCCACAAATGAATCAAAAAGGTCAACCACTGCACCACGTGCCTGAAGTTGAACTCCACCACTGTGTTCGGATATGCCACTGCACCTTCACATGATTCACATCCAATCAAAGCATGACATTGAGCGAAGACTGCACAACTAAGGCAGCTGCCGCGAGATCCGTAGAAAATCTCTGAGACGCCCTAGTTCCAAAGTTCCAGCAAGCAATACGTGTGAAAACATGGTAAGGCTTCGCAAATCTTGGCAACTGTAGCAATTCTGACACATCCTGGGGCCAAGACAAATTCCTTTCCTTGTTGGCTGACCCGTGTGGAAAACAAGAAGGGCCGCTCAGGGATACCAGCCTGCGCCACAAAAAAGAAAACGGTCCGAACACACCGCGCTTGGTCGTGACACAGCGTGGCTCATCTGCCTCCGGCACCGCCAACCTGAAGGAGGGGTCGTTGGGATAGGCGGAGAAAGGCCTCAAGCGGATCCGCGACGGATCCGGGACGGAAGTCGAGCGAGGAAGCGTCGTGTTCAGAAGAAGTTTTCGCGTCCCACTGGAAAAAGTCGAGCGTTTTCTGTAGACAAGGCAGGAGAGCAGAAATTAATGTATCAGTGGGTGCAGCAGGTGAGAAGTGAGCGCGTCTGAGTTAACCCCTGTGCTGACTATGTGACGATGTGTGGAACACCAAAAAGACTTCCATCTTAGGCAAGCTGCAACTTGAAGTCCTGGTCCCTCTCAATGAAGAAACGGACACGCTCCTTGGCTGCAAAGGAAGTTTCCTCTCTCTCCCAGAAATGATTTAAGGTAAATTCTACCAAAAAGAACAACAACTTAGTTTTGGGTATGAACACCATCGTTTCCTGTTGATTTTCCCATAAACCCCTTCTGGGACTCCCATTCCTGTTGATGCCAAAGAAAAAACCGTTGATGCCCGCGACTTCGCACCGCCGGCGCTCGCCCGAGTCGTCGACGCCCGCGTAGATCTGCACCGTGGAGATCATCTGCACCGTGAGAAGCACCTGGTCCTGGTCCCAGTATCCCACCTGCTGGGCCGGACCAACGCAAGCGAACGCCAGAAACCAGCGGCGCGAGCCATCCAATGAATGAAAGCCATTCCGTTCTTGGTGTTGCCACTGGAAGCATGATGTGTCCACGTGATTTAAACTGTTGATGAATAAAACCGTTTACAATCCAAATAGGGATGGTTGTGGATGGTTGCTAATCAGCAAGGTTCTACACCTGGGTCAAACGCGTGTACCAGTAACCGTCAGCTTCAACCCTACAGTCCTACCAGGTCCTAGATCTCAGCAACATGCCTGATATCAAACAACATGTCCAAAGGCTGGACTCTTTCCAATGTCACCTTTGCTGGAATGTTGCTACAAGAAATGTATGGATTTTGTTGGACCCCCACCCGTTCCAACGTCCCAGCGTCCCAGCCCGCTTCCTCCTGCCCGGTGCTCTCGCTGTCTCTGAGCACCACATGCAGTGACCCACCCCCCGATCTCCACATCCACCCGGACTGGCACCGCTCGCCCGCACCGCTCGGCCCGGCCCGTTTCGGCTCGGCCTCGCCGCGGAAGAGCGGCCCGTTGGCGCCCGAGAGCTTGATCTCGCCCGAGCGCGCCGGGCCTTGCACGCCTGGGAGAGACGGCACGGTCCAGGGCGAGGAAGTCGACCCGCGGGGACGGGAATGGAGGGCGATAGTGCTGGTGGCTGTGGCTGCAGAGATGGTGGCAGTGAAATCAACCACTATATAGAATGAATATGTAAGTAGGAATTGGAGCTGGATCGTTCACAACTGCGCAACTGCAACTAGATAAGCATGTTAAAGAGTTCCAACTAGATCTAAAAGAATTCCAGCATGATGTGGATTTCAGGATCTTGAGTCCACTCGGACGTAGGGCCTGATTGTAAAGAAATCGGATCTGACGTGGTGTCGCAAGCAAAGGTTCATTCGCAAAACATGTCACAAAACATGTCACAAAACATGCGCTTGCTTGACAAACTTGTCACAACAACTTGAGCTCCCTACCCACCATATTCGTCCGACCAGGATCACGAACGAGACCACCCAGTTTGATATAGATGGTCCTGAGTGAACCATGTTCCATCCGCTCTTGGAAGCTGAAGATCAAGAAGCTGGCTGACTGATATCGTTGGATTAGGAGAAACTGTCCGTGGCGGAACTCATCCATGATCTAGATTGACCGGCACTCATCCACTTCAGCAGCGGCACGAATTGGGCAAGACATCGGTATTCAGCACCATGGAGAAGCTAATCCGGGTGAAGGCATTGACCGACCTGATGGACCAAAGACTAAAGACAAAGGAATGTCCTTTTTGGATCTTCTAAAGACCGTCTTTAGTCTTGGGACAAAGCACTCCTCCATCCCGCAAAAAGGGTCCAACACATCTTCAGCAGGTCAGGTCTTCTCAAGAACTCGGCTCATCCTGTGGTTGAAAGACCACGCGGGACTCGATGACGTACTTGTCGTCTCCGATTTTCGGGATCTTTTTCACAGGCCTCGTGGATTTTCTGGAAACGATGACATCAAACTGTACACATGCTGCGCCTGATTCGCAAACATCGCTTGACAGTCCTGCACAACCTGACTTAGGCGCCCGGCTCCAGGTCAATGAGAACCCCCTCAGCTCCTTTACCTGGAAGATGCTTTGAAGGTGATTCTTACCAGTGTCATACTCAGAGAAGAGAAAAAGGCACAGAGATGACGGTCCGAGATGACCGTCCCGTGTCGTGCGGGTCCATGTGTCGCTGGGGATCCGTAGGACATAGAACTCACTCTGGGCGACACGACGGTGATTTGGAGATGGAATGAAATGGCAAATACACGCACACCAAACAAGAACTATGGATCCCATGAACATCTCCACCGCGGACATCTCATTCTGAACTCCGGTCTCTTTTCAAGTCCAGGTCATATCTCTCACAGGTCATAGAGGCGCGTCCCGGCGCGGGACATCCAAACAAAAGCCGCCGAGCCCAGCTGGCTTGGCATGCGAACAAAGCGACTTGGAACGACTTCAGTTTTCTGCAGCGCCCCGGGGGATCTGAACGAGCCTTCTATTCTAAGAATGCCGTCGTTCTCACTGAGCCTCGGAAAGAAGCGCCGGAATGCATGTTCGAAAATCCAGAATGCTGCTCCAGGGCCTCAACAATGAGTTATATAAAGATGGTTAAAGGAAGGTTGAACGAACCTTTTGCATTGTTGTAGAACCGAGCATTGAGCAGCAGCTCCCGAGTGATCCAAAGGGAGATCGAGCCATGCCCGAGCTGCAAGTATTAGACTCCATTTGGGGTCCTTTAAACAATGACAGCTGTGGCACTGATGATGTCGCACTGGATCGGTAAGTCCTCACAAGCCTACCTGGTTGCTGACCTGGTTCAAAGCTCAGCCAATTCCGGCCCCCTCAATCTAAGAAAACGTCAAACGTAGGCCTTTTGTACACCACGGCAACGAAACGGTCGTTGCCAAGGCCCATACGATTTGTTGCAGTCTGTCTTTCATATGTTGGAGAGTTCTTCATCATTTCCCCTCGTGGACGGTGGGATGGTGTGGGCCATTTCGTCTCAGGCTCCACGCTTGTCTGGGAGCCGAAAGTTGACGTCCCGGCCAATGCTCACTCGGAAGGGAGCGGCCTTCGGAGCGGTTTTCCAACTCAATCTCTCTGATTCGGTGGGCACATGTGGACGAATCACTGTGAAGCAGGCATGAACAGTTTGGGTGTGAAGCTTAGAAGTGGACATTGCTAATGATCTCGTTCTGCGCAGTGGTGAACACCAGCATGCTCTCCTGCCACGGTTCGTGTTGGCACCAAAAAAGGAGCCACGAAGTCGCGAACCCCCCGAAGGCGGGCGGGCTTTGCCGGGCTTCCTCCGGAGTCCACGAAGCAGCTTGGTCCTCAACGCGAAAGGCATCCGGGCCTTGGCGAACGCAGATCAATCAGGAATTAATGTAGACTCTTGATTAATAACCTCATTTGAAGCGCAACATCCTCTTCATATGGGGGGGTTATGGTCCTCAAGAGTCTACATTACTGCCCATATGAAGAGCCTCCAGGCTCGCCTCCTTGTCTCGACTCCACGAGCTGGGTGGTGACCCGCTTAAGCGGCTTGCGCCACGTCAGACGCGTCATGCGTCACCCACACCCATCCGTCTGACCACCCATTGGGTGGCTCTTCCTGCTGATTTCAGGGCCCTTTTGGAAAAGTAACAATGATGCACCAAACCTCCTCGTTTCCCAGACCGAACGAAAAAGCAGAGCACAAAACCGGCTGACCCAATCACTGTGGCACCGGCCCAGAAGTGGGATGGTGGTTGCCGTGCACCTCTTCTGCCGTAAGTCACAGAGAAGAGGTCAATCACAGAAGAAGCAGGTGAGGAAGGCTGAAAACAGCCAGCGCTGTCTGTTGTGATTAATAGGAAAGCCTAGAGTCTAGAGTCCTGGAGGAAAAGTCCTCTTCATCCATTCTCCATGCTCAAATAATTGAGGCTTAGAGGCTTCCTGTGTGTTTTCCTGCACAAAGAAAACCCTGTAAGGCTCAACAAGTTTCTTCATCTTAAGGCTTCATTCCACCGCCTCCTGCTCTGTGGAACGCTGCAGTGGAAATCCGCCGACCCCACACCGTGGGGTGAGGCGTGACTGTTGATGTTAGCCTTAGCCTTAAGCCTTAGCCTTAGCCTTAGATTATAGCCTTAGCCTTAGACTTAGCCTTAGCCTTAGCCTTAGACTTAGACCTTACCTCCCCTACCCCTCCCGACCCTTGTTGCAGTGACGAAGTTCCTCTTTCCGGTGTCGACTGTTTCTTGCTAACTACTCTCTGTGGCATGCTGTCTAAGTCCTTCGCCACCCTGCGTCTCCAACTTACGGCGTCGACGCCTCGACCCCCAACCTCTCCACCCCCGCCGGCCTCGCTGGCGCATCAACTTGCAGACAATGTCCTTGAGGGTGGAATGACTTCTGCCTGTCCTCACCAGGGCTGTGGCTGGCTGGCATGAGCGACGCTCTTGTTGCCAGCTGACAGCTGCCGCCTCCCAGCATGCATCGAGCTCCATGTGCCTCCTCTCTCTCCGACGCCTCTCCCGACTTTTGGTTGCTGCGTGCAACCAGGGCAGTCAGCCCCCGTCCCTCGGACGGGTGCTGCCGGGGTGCCCCAAACCCCGGCCCCCGTCTTCTCCGTGGAAGACTCCATGGAAACATGGAGGGTCCCTTACCGACACCACACCCCGCAAACACCGCGAGCGACACCTACCCTCACCTCGACCCAGACACACCGACCTACGCGCGGGCCTGCTCCTGCCCAAGCTCTCTTACCCAAGTGCGCCGGCGCCCGGCTGTCAGGCGTAAGCCTTTAAATATGTAACAGCAAGGGAGTCAGCTCAATTTGTTCGGTTCTCTCCAGTTCTGAGCTGTTCCAAAGTTTCTTGAACTCCCCTTTGGCTCGACCAAACCGCTGTTTTGGCCAGGCTCAGCCCAGCACGCGAAGCCATACATGTGGATCACGATCATATCCTTAGACTCCGTAGCTGAGGATTCCCCAAGAGTTCACTTTCAGACCAGCTGTGACTTAGCTTCAACACACTCTCAAACACACTCAAAAGCTATCCACATGAATTGAAAGTTGGACCTCCGATCCTCCCAGCTCCAATAGGACACCGCTTGGGCAGCCCCGCCCCCTGGTAGAAGACGATCGACGGCTCCAGCGTGAAGGTGATGTTGGCAGCCAACCTGCCCGGCCAAGACCTTGAACTTCCGAGTTGGGTTCCCCAAACCCAAAATGGTTCCTCTTCTTCAGGCAAAAAAAGACACAGATCGTGATCACAGATGCTATAGATCACGATCTGTCACCTAGCTGAAGGGGTGTTTTTCGTGAGTGGTGTGCAAGGATGTGGTTCTGCAAAGGGCCTCAAAGGAATTGATCCACTATAATACCCTGGTCTTCCAAAAAAACATGCCATGTCATGAAGCGAGTCTTCACGGCGCAAGCACTGCTGGGTTTTGGGGTGACAGCCACGTACAAACCCTTCGCCTCGGCTCTGAGGGCTCGAAGGCCAACTGCGATCGCTTGAAGGTCTTGTAGCCGTTGCCCACCTGGTGGTCCAGCGAGTGCTAAAACAAGGGTGGCTGTTCTTGGCAAAGTGAAGCCAAAGTTAAGTCGTGTTGCAACGCAGTTGAAGCGTCAAAGAGAAAAACGTCGCAGTTGCAGTTCTCGGATCTCTGAAGTGCCGGGCCATCGGAGAGTCGTCCACCGGCTGCTGCGGAGCCCTGGACGGGCGGGTCTTTGGTTTACTGCGCTGTCAGCAAGGATCCGAATTCCCGGAGACCCACCCAAGTGACCAAGTGGTGTTGTTGCAAGGACTGAGACTGGCACCCTGGATCCGAATTCCAAGCTAGCAAGGAGGTGTCATTGGCCTGGGCATCCAAGGAGGCATAATAGAAATGGAAACCACCAAAGGTTGCAATGCCATGTCAGTATCCACGTTATATAGTTTAACACCTGTCTATCTTTACTTCTCTTTATGCAACATGTCAGTCGATGACCTTGAAAAGGATCTGGCCACCCACTGGCCATTCGATCTGAGCATGGCACATAAAGCGCTGGTGGCAGAATCAGCTCCTGTAGCACATCGCAGCAAATGAGCAATTGCTTTTTAAGAGAAGTCGAACACATGCCAAACCCAACACCCTGCTGCAGCGCACATCCCTCTGGGGTCCGAACCACCATTTCCAGCTCAAACAATGACCTCACCGCGCAGTGGAAAAGTCATGGCTTCGAGAAGGAATCCGAGATTTCTTCGACAAAAAGAATCAACCGAATGCTCGATCCAGGCTCCCTGCTCATCCGAATAGATGGTTCGGGTAATGTGGAGTTCCAGGATATTCTCCTGGCTGCAATCTTCCAAGCATCCTGCCTTTTTTCTCAAAACATCCAGCTAGTGAATTGTCCACCAGCATCTCCCTCTTTTGCAGTCGACTCTGAGCAAAACAAGACGTGCCACACCGGGAGATTGAAGTATCCGCTTTCATCTCGGAAATGCACCTGTCGGGCCGCGACCCGCGACTGCAAGATGGGCTACCCCCCACCTAAGAGTCCAGTCCATGCCATAGTGACAGGACCATTTGGGCAAGTGGGCTGGGTGGGGGAAAGAACTCAAAGTGTATTGATCCCAAAAAGATTGTTTCATAGTTTGACCAGTTCCGCTACCAGATTCTAGCAGGGATTCACTTCATTCGATCTACTTCATTGGCGGTCACGGCTCTCCATCACTGTTGATCCCTTTCTCCAAAACAATGATCCAACAATGTGATCTTCCAAGTCATCATGGTGATTCTCGGCGCAAACCTTCCTGCCTTGGTGGTCCCTTTCAGGGGCACTTCCACACGTTGAGCTGTGAAGCCAGACAAGCCTTGTGACGAAACAAAACCGGCACCACAAAAGAGCCAGTATCCTCAGAAGTGCAAAGAAGGGTTTTTTCCTCTCAAGACGGAGCGTCTCAGAGCAAAGCTGATCCGAGCATCTCAGGCTCCGACGGAGATAGATGACTGATCCGGCCTCGGTGGCCGAAACTTGCAACTGGATCAGTACAACAGACTGTTCTCTCTCATGAGAGCGTGGCAAAGAGCGGTCGGTTCGTCATGAAGTGGAAGAGGACATTGGTCTGCTGGTTGGCAACGTTGTTAGTGTAGGCCAACCTCAAGGATACTACAGTACCGTGTGTGAGTGTGTAATGGTGCGTATTAGAATGAGGAAATCCCCCAGCCCATGGGTTTCAGTCGATGTTTCCTCTTCCCGTGGGGTCCTTCTTGGGTCTCCCTCTTCCACCACACACTTGCCTTTGCTTTCAATGAAACGTTGCCCAGCCCGGACCGACACGTGCATCATACATTGCCGCCTGGTGAAGGTGAAGTTGCGCACATGAGGAACCGCGCTGGACTGAGTCACCTTAGAGTCGCTGGACATTGGGGGGGTTCCACCCCATCCCGCACCCGCTGTGCGCGCCTCACAGCCAGGGGAAATACCAACTGCAACTTTCAAATCCATCACTGTAGTTCATGCTCTCCAACTCCTCCTCTAAGGCCCTCACTGGTGTTTCCCGCACCACTTCATCAATGTTGTCGAAGGATCGTGCAGACACCTTCTCTTCAGCTGAGTGGGCTGGGAAACGACCCATGCGGTTTGTGCATAGGTGACTGGGGGGGGCATCCTGGTGAACATGTTTGCCACATGCTCACTCCTGAGATTGGGGTTCTTTTGGTGCTTAGCGGCCCTGGCCACGCAAACCGAGATCACGGAAACTTCCCACCGGGGCCCTGGAGATCCCTGGAGGCCGGAACGCCACTGGTAGGTATAGGAACATACAAAACCCATTTATATAAAATGCAAAAGTTAGAAAAACATCTGTAACCAAAAGGTACCCTATAGCCCCTGTAGGCGAGTAGTTCTCTGTCTTGTTCACTACTAGTGAATCTATACAGCCACTTGGAGAATCGCTTTTCAAGCCAAACGATTCCCACCTTCCACTTGCAAGAACCCTGCCGCAAACAATGCTAAGGTTGTGTAGCAAGTCTAGCACAGAAAGAGGATTGTTCAAAGCATTCACACTTCCAGCAAATCAAAAAGGCACCGTCAACGTGGGGCTGTCCGCCGCAAGCTCAACAGGCAGCTCAAACCTCAGAACCAATTTCGATGAAGCTGTGTCCATGTCAAGCATCGTCCCTTAAAGCCAAGACTGTCCGTTCCCAAATGTGTGATATCATAATGTATCTTCATGCCTCCCCTTGGGGGATGCCAGCCATCCAAACCACTTCGATGAAGAAACAAGAATAAACTCTCAACTTCTGCCATGCCACTCCCCGGGGTTGGTGGACAGTGTCACTTGCCGGCTGGCCAGCAGCACCTCGCCCAGCTGGTACATGTGACAACACACGACTTCCCACATCCACATCTGCGTTGTTTGTCTTTAGGCGGCTCTTTAAAGATAGGATCACAGGAGGAATGCCCTAGAGTCACTAAAGAATCCCTCAAAGGACCAAGAGCACTCGGGGAGAACGATGCTTGTGTTTTCATGCTCCGCTTCCGGTCTTTTCGTTTGGTGCCTTGCCCTGTCGCAGGAAGAAGGTGAGTGTGCCAACTCCTGCATCCCACAGAGCTGAGCTCTCGAAGAACATCCAATCCTCGGTTCGGGGATCCGGTTGAAACGACGGAGGTCGACCTCCGCGGGGATCTCGGGGATCCGGAGAAGGATCTCTGGGATCCTTCAATGACGGATCCCAAAGATCCCCAAAGGACATGCATGCGTGACATAAGATCATGAAGATCATGAAGATCTGCAGCTCTCAAAAGGAGATCAAATGGCACACTCCATCTTCTTTGGGTCAACATGGCACGCACCATCGCAGAGACTTGAAGTCGACCCTCACGTGCGTGCCTGACACTCCTGTGCGTCTTCAGGCGACAAACTTAAGATTCCAGCAGCTCCGCTGATGCTGTTCGCGGTGTTGAATGAGACCTCCCCACTCCTGTTTGATGTTTGGTGTCAGGTTGATGGACACGCAAGGCCACACGGCTATGCAAAGGGCTGTGTGGCTTTCGCAACGAGTGCAACACATGCAATTGTTTGGCACTGTACAAAACGACGCTGGAAATGGTTGAGCACCCAGCACATTGTTCACCCGCGTAATCTCTGGCATGCTCAGAATGATCCGTGCACCTTGTTCGACGCACGAGAGTTATAGCCAAATCACCAGGTCGAAAATCCCCTTCTACTGGAGCACACTACCTATACCCCTCACCCCCTTCTGGATGGTAGTCTTTTCCACTGCTCCTCCTCCCTGCTCTTGGGATGGCGTACACCATGCTGTTCTCGAACACGGTCTTCCCCCGAACCACTCCACGAGTCCAAAGCCACCACCTCTTCCGTGCAGAAACAAGGACTCCGACTCGACTCCACCCGGTTCGGTGGCGAGGTCTCCACCCGGCTGCGCCACGGTGGCCCCCCCGCCGGCACCGGTCAATTGGTCTTTGGGCCTCCCCACGGTCGGTCAGGGCATTCGCAGGGCGCAAGGTCAGGTGGATGATCGTGACGTGCTGCGAGATCTGAGGAGCCGAAGAGGCAGGATCTCACCGTCTCAGAGACGTGAGATCAACCCGGATCTCGACCGCTTCGGACCAGAGCTCTGTGGAGTCGGGACGTCAGTCGGAACATGTTCGATTGGTCTTTCTGACGCAGGTTGTATGGTGAATCTCAGCGCTGCTGAGCGTCTCTTGGGAAGTGTGAAATTGTGGGTTGGGCATGTCTCACATGGTTGGAGTGAACCGCCAATGTGTGGTTCTGCCACTTGTGTGGTTCTCCTGCCAACCTTTAAGCATAGCTTGCCAAACTTGGGGGGCCGAGCGATGCTGGGCCGCAGTGTGTGGATGTAGAGATAGATGGACCGAGAGGTAGGCAGATTGGTTTTTTTTTGCAGTTCGCATGATTCTCCAGGCAGTCAGGAAAATATGGAGCTAGATAGGTAGCTAGGTAGGTAGCTAGGTAGGTAGGTAGGTTAGGTAGGTTAGGGTAGGGTAGGTTAGATTAGGGTAGGTTAGATTAGGGTAGGTTAGGTTAGGTTTGGGTAGGGTATAGGGCATAGGGTAAGTAGGTAGGTAGGCAGGCAGGTCTTGTGGCAGTTGTACTGAATTGCATTGCACCGTGTCTGGCTTCACACGGTCCTGTGCCAAACTATGATGCGAAGCCATCACAACATCGCATGCAGGGTATGCAGTCTCATACCTTTTCTTTTGTTCATGAAAGATGTGCAAAAAACAACAGAATCTAGAGCAGGTTCTCATGGGGGCATGAAGGCATCAAACTTGAGCTGCACACCGGTGGCTCAAAGGACACCTCAGTTGGTGTGTGATGATTCAGGCCTGATGCTCCCGCATGTTCCTTTCATAATCGAAATTCGATTGTCACTTGCTTTTTTGCCCGCGCACTAAGTGTCAGGCCCTCAAGAACTCCCATTGCAAGCCTGGATCAATGAATGGCGTCGACAGAATTGGCTCCTGGCGAGCTAACAGCCACTCTTTGGCCTTGCTTCCATAGGCAAAATTGTCCAATATGTCAAAGAAAAACCTATATATATATATGTATATTATTCTAGCCCCCCAAAAGAAAACAATGTTGATATGTTCGTCATTGTGTGACACAGACAACTAATTGACTTGATGAGTATGCAGTAGCATGAGGACAAATGGTTCACATTGACATGACCAAAGACTACAACAACATACGTGCAGCTACTGCAGCAGCAGCAGCAGCCGCCATTGACAGACACGTTTTTGCAAACGCGTGGTTGCTTAGGATGCCTTGATTGCTTTTTCATCTCCCAAATGGACAAATTCCCCTGCGCACTGCCACAGGTCTTGTCATCTGTGCCAGTACTGTCTTGCAACTCAAGAAAAAATATAATTCAATACGTACCTAATCTCTGTCTATAATCTCATTGATACTGTCTATGGGGTCTCTGCTTCTTTTCACATCCGTAAGGGTATTACCATAATATCTAGCAATGCATGTCTTCAGCATACATTATCTACGTAAATGTTCAACACCTTGCTTAATTGCTTCTGCATCTTGTTTAAAACGGAACAAACGTGCGTTCACAAAAAGAACCCTCCCTCCAGAATTGCTGCTGGTATGCAAATCCAGATGATCAATCTCCAATGTTTTATTCTTCTCCCCCAACAGCGGCCAACGGTCAAGGTGCAGCCTTTCCACAGAGCTTGAGCCACAGTCAGTGGCGAGTGCAGTGGTCGAACAACGGCACCAGTGGGGACGAGGTGCCATGGACATCATGCACACACAGGCGGCATGCTCAATCTCACACCCGTGTATCTTTGCTCTACACTCTGAGCTCACCATGCTCCATCAAGTGGTGAAGATTGAAGATTCCCCAACAAAGTTTGCAGCAATCTTCAATCCACAATATGGATTGAAGATGTCTGGGTGGATTGAAGACTACTTGACAGTTTTTCCTGATGGAATCTTCAAGCTTCAATCCTGCACTTGAAGGAATTGGGAGGATTGAAGACTACTTGAAGAAATTTATGACGGAATTAATCTTCAAACGTCAATCCTGTGATTCAGGAAATAGTCCGAAATATTTCAAAACATTCCCAGAATGTGTCGAAATGTTTCGAAACATTTGGGCGAATAAAGGAATGTTTCGAAACGAACATTTTGAGGAAATAAACAAACCTAGAGAGAGAGAGAGAGAATGTTGACCTAACGTTGTTTTTTGGGGGTACTATATATATATATATACATGCATACTAGTTTGTACACAGGTGAGGGTGCCTGGTACAACACCAAACACGTGTCACGTGTGATTCCCGGTGCGCGTGGTGATATGCATATATTACATACTCTATAGATTTATCAATATTTATCCATTACATACTCTATAGATTTATCAATATTTATCCATTAAAGGTTAATATATAATTGTGTGTGTGTGTTATATTTATAGTTATCCATATCCATATTTATCCAGCTCCCAAACACTGCCCTCTCTCTCGGGTTGCTTGGCCGGAAATTCCGGCCCCCCAACGATCCACACCCAACGATCCATCGCGTGTTCTCCTCCGGGATCGTCACGATGGTGTCCAAGGAGGTCGGCCCGGAAATCGTGTAGCCCTTCAAATGTGCCAAAAGTTCCCGAAGGTCATGTGAAATGGGAAAAAAAACGGACCAAAAGGCAACTTTGACATAGACTGACGGGCCAGTAGGTCTCCCTCTTCAGGGTATTCTAAGCAAAATATCTCGGAACTGCAGTTGAACTGCAGAACTGAGGGCTCCACAGTAAAGTCCTTTGGGGATGCAGCTGGGAGTTTCATACCTGTGCAGCTGATCCCGCTCTCAAGCCGGCGGTTTCTTGCAGAATCTCACCCTGATTTCGAAGCACGCGTCTTGCATAGCTTTGCACAAATATAACAACAATCAAGAACACATGCAGGGAGCACAACACACAGTGATCTCCGTGTCCCTGTTGGACAGCAAGGAGTTTCCAGTTCTGACCTGCATACCGCGCATGCCGTGCAACAGCGCGTGCGCGCACGCTCGCGGTCGTACGGGGTGCCCTGCAGCTGCTGAAGTTAAGTGCCCCGGCCATGAGTCTCAAGAGCCGTGTCCGGATGTTGTACCTATCAACGTTCAGATTTGGCCGGGCGTGACTCAGAGATGGGGTGCATCTCGTATCACTCGGTCAACGGAAACGGACCAAGCCACTCGCAGCTGCCACGTTGATGAATCAATTTGGCTGCCAGGTCACTGGGCAAAGTCAGTGAAGAGCGGATTCGCATAAGTATTGTAGCCTAGTCAACGGGCAAGACCGACGACGCGCAGCCACCATTCCCGAGAACACCCATGGCTCGATATCGAGGAGCGGTGTGCAACCTATCAACTATCAACCATGCGAACTCGTAATGTCTTCCTTACACCAAGGAAGAAGCCACAACCGCCACAACCCTCCTCCCAGCCGCGCAAACCGTGGCAACCAGCATGAGTCAGGCTCGGACCGAAGAGTGGATCCACTCCCAGTGGCACCTCAATCGCCGAAAAACACAAAACCACCGCCCGACACTACCCGACAATCCTGACACGACGGCAAGCTGCAACCATCCTGCCCAACACCCAACGGCGTTGGAAGAACAAAAAATGTTTGCTGATTCAAGGGCCTAAGGGGAAGTCACCTTCGCCAAGCTGGCCAACCAAAGGTCTAAAGTGATTGCCTTCGACATCGGTCACGACCCCCTCCGGCCTCTGAACCACCGAAAAACACCCGAAAATCACCTCATTTTCTGCCAAGCACATTATTTTCGGCCAACCGCGTCGTCGTTGAATCAACAGAAGCAGCGCCCCCGTGTCTCCGAGTCGCTGTGTTGCCAGCAGTGATGGGCAAGTCCCTTAAGTTGGCATTCCTCAGAGAAATAGTATCTCAGTATATACAGTGTGTATATGTCATATGTATATACAAAAAAGCGCTTCTTAAGTTGGCATTCTTTGAAGTTCAATTCCACTGTGTTTTTTTCCAAATGAATTTAAACTTCTGTAAATTCAGAAGCGCACGCAACATTTGTAGTTCCAATTGCCTCGAAGCCAGGCAGATTGAGTTCGATGAACCTCAGTCCAGGTTGATTCATGCGTCATTTGGTTCTTTCCGAAAAAGCTGTCACTAGATTATTCAATCATCGTGGGCTCCAGGCTGTGTTGTCTGAATGCTGCTCTGCAAATCTTCGGACTGCAGAAGAGCCAAAGTAATGATTTTGTTTGAACATTGACAGTGACGCATGCAAATGTCTTGGAATTCTGTGGCTTGGATGACAATTCTTCGCAGCAACACACTCATCCCCCCATTTGGGTACAGAACCCTACAAAAAAAAAGATGCAAAATAGATCAAAACAGAGTCTTGTTTCCTGTCACGTGATCTACAATATCTACAAACAAATACATACTGAAACAAAAATATAGAAACATTTCCAGGAGGTTCTGCTGAGCTGGTCACTGGCTGGAGAATGATCGTCACGTTGGAGATCGCCCTGAAATGTGAGCCGAGCTGAGTGTCGAAGCGCTCTAGACAGCCGTTTGGAATCTTCAGGAACACCGAGTCAGATCAATTGGTCCTGAACGTCTTCCGCATTAAACATCTCTAGGCACATTTGCTCACCGCCTGATGCAGTATCCAGCACACTATTCTTGGGCTCCATGCAAGGGATAGAGCGGATTGAAGGCCAAGGTTGATACCACAAAAGTCTAGGACAGCACAGCAGGATTTCTATCAGAATGGTGAAAGCAGAGTATAGAATCCAAATCATCACATAATCTAAAGGTGCATTGGTCTTCTTCATCTCTTGAGTAGCATGGTCGGTCTCATTTCTGTGGCTCGAAGAATGCAGCACGACACAGACACGGCCAAGACACGGCAGGACAAAGCTGAGCTCGGTAATTGAGGAAATCCTCCGAGGTGCAGACCTTGGACCATCCGAGGACCCGAGGGAGGACCCGAGGGAGGAACCGACCGACCCAAAAAAAGGAACCGGGTGAAGATGCGTGATGGGACGGTTTGATCGTGGGTCAAGAATCAACAGCGAACCGGAACAGAACCGTAGCATCTCCTTGAGCACCCCCCCGATAGCTATGGTCTAGCTTTCTCGCCGAAGGTTTCACCGTGCGCGGAGGGGACCCTCCTCGGAGTCGAAAGGAATCCAGCCTGGCACAGTTCTTCTGGTGGCTCGTGGTGAGAGCATGGCCATGAATGGAAGAAAAGATGGTCCGCGGAAAATCCATGAGATCAAAGATATATCCCTTCGATGTGCGCGTTGAAGAAACCCGTCCATGCAGTTGGACTGCTTGCTGTCTGAGCCACGTCCAACCAAGGCGTCACAGCATCAGTCTGAGCTTGACTCACGCCAATCAGCACCTGCACATAAACAAGCATAGTCTCAACTGCTGGTCCTAAGTGGTCTCATAAATGCCCAGTCTCCCAGTCTCCGTCACGATCAATCCTTTGGTCACTATCAATCCATTCGTCTGCGAAGGAAATGGCATTGGGCCAATTGATGTCCCTGTTCATGAGTCATCAGAAACATCTCCCTCTCCCTCCCTCTCCCTCCTAGGTCTCTCTCTCTACTTTTCTCTCTTTGGCGTACCGCAAGACCACAGAGTAGCTGTCTCCACCGGGCCTAGCAAGGCCGTGTCCAGCCATGAATGCCGGCTGCGCTCTCCACAGATGTCACGTGTTGGAGGTTTAGAAAAAGCATGAAAAAGCCACGGCACATGCCACACTTCTACAGTTTAGACGGCCTTTCTTGCCATTCTCAACTTCACTGACCTAAAACACAGTTGTTCTAATTGCTGTTCGGATGGCCCAAGCAGTGAACCTGGCTTTCTCTCGCGGCCGCGCGACCATGGCCGTTCTCAGGAACCCGGCCATCTCGTGGCGTTACCGTCCGTGAGAGACCTGAGGCAGGTCTTCCACATCAAAACCACATGGTCTTCCTCGTGCACGCAGATGCACGGAGGTGCAGGGCTGGGTACAGGTCCAATAGTCGTCGTCCTGAAACCCTAAGCGTTGACCTGAAAACTGAGAATACACCTCAGAAAATGTGTGTCGACTTCAGCAAGGGTTCAAAGGCCCACACATTCAGTTGAATCCGGCCCACAGAAGAAATACATCCAATCGAGAACGGAAATACAATGAAATACAAACGTCAAAGGCGTGCGGGGAGGAATTCGGAATATCGACTAGAACGATGCGTAACACTCGGCTTCACCTTGGAGTCCCCTTATTATTCCGCAGGAGTCTACAGCTGTATTCCAAAGAGAGAATCAGATGACATCACTGCGCGTCTGGGATCTCCTCCACCTTTTAAGGATGGTTGCAGAAGACATGCTTTCAAACTTCTGTGGTCGCACCACCGCAAGTGACGCCAGGAACTGTATCACCGAAACGAGCAAAGCGATTTCCGGGAGCCTCCGGGTCAAAACTTCGAGAGGCCTCCAAATCATGCCAAACTGACCAAAGACTCAAAGTGAAGAAGAAAAAGTACATAAAGCAGTCCAATCTGAAATCACCTTGAATAAATGTATATAATACATATTGCATTATATATAATATAATAGATATGGATGTTTATAACTTATATAACTGTTTCACATCATGTCTTCGTGCCTGCGAGCACGGGCTTGGCCCGCTCAGAGCCATGACCGAAGCTGATCTTCGGCATCCGAGAAACGACTGGAGCCAAGCAACCGGACGGTGGACACAGCTGGGACGGCACCGAGGTGGGTCATTTCGATCCAAGTTATGCAGTCCGAAGCGGGGGGGCTCGGACCACGAAGGATGACATCCTAGCGAAGACCAACACGGCTAGGAGGTGAGAAAACTGCCCAAGAATCACAAACAAGTTGAAATCGACTTTCTCCAACCTTCAACATAATCAAACTGTCGTGAGGGAAGTCTTCATCCGCATAGCACCCAACTTTTGATTCAGTGATTTGAAAGTGCATCCAGAAAGCCATGCACTTTCGGCATGGCTGACGAATGTCTTGAGCTTTTTTGCAGGCATGTCTCGAGCTTGAGTCATCCACTCCGCCACGAACCAACACGGTTTTCCTTGTGTAAACCATCTCGAGGGCTGAGAAAAAGGATGACCCAGATTTCCACCCACCTACGACATGCCCAACCCGGTCGGAAAAACCCTACGTGTGTGAGACTCACCACGGGCATTGTCTTGTCTGCGCAGCCTAGTGGCCACAAGCGCGATCATCCTACACCCCCCCCAAGGTAGGGGGTGACCGTGATCAAGTCAACATTAACAGGATCCATTGAATCCGAGGTCTGATGAGGTCACCTCATCCTGACGACCGATTCACCAGACGGTCTCCATCAGTGTGGAGCTGATTCAAATCGCGGATCGACATGGAGCGGACTGGCAGACTGTCTGCCGGAGCAGCGAAGTTGAGCCTTGCAGGGACGGCGACCATTGGGGCCTTCGGAGTAGATATCCTTGTCATGTCAACATAGGATCCCCTGGAAGTCCAAGACTAGTTTAAAATGGTCTTAAGGTCGAGGTGACCCAAAAACACGGTGTCGCCAAAAAAAAGTCTTTGGACTTCTAGGGGATAGCCAAAGCAGATATCCAAGGCGCTCATCATCTCCATCTCTCAGACCACGAAAAAGAACCTCGAAAAAAATGTGCAGCTGTGAGAAAGGCCACATGAGAAAGGGGTCCGTTTCTCAAGCAGCGGCCTCCTTTTCCTGCTGGCAGCGTGTTTTGGGGCATTTGCGATGGGATACGTGAAACGTGCGACGGGCTTTTCAGAAGCCATCCATTTCACCCTCCCGGAGAACCCATCTGACCTGTTCGCATGGCTCATGGCTCACTTGGAATGGTCGCTACATGTTGCTACTCCCAATCGGGTCACACGGCTCCAGAGCGGCGTTTTCAATCGCCCTATGTACAAACGGCTCGAGCTCTTTCAGCTTCGAGCTCCTCGCATCGTCTTTCGAAAGAAACCGACCCCGACGACCTCGACCCGATTGGATCGGCTTTTCTCCACGTGGAGTCGAAGCTCGGCCTGGCGAGAAGTAACCATCACCGCTAAGCTAAGGGGATTGATTTGACTCAGCATCTGAGTCTTTTGGATCATCACCTTGAGCTCCGCTGGTTCAGTGTCGAATGTCTTGATGTTTCCAGGATGCACTGGACATGTGTCAACAAAGAAGAAGAAGAAGAAGAGGAGGAGGAAGAGGAGGAAGAGATCATGGGGGTTGAGCATCTGTCTACATTAAAATGTATTAGTAGTGACATCACTCGACCAACAAGTTGGCCCCCCTGCCGGTCGGCCCATTCGGACATGCACGTCCCAAAACACCCGCAACGAGAACTTCCTGCGATTCGCGCGAATCGCCTTGAGGCGCTCTTGCACGATTTGCTGCTGCAGCAGTCGTTGCTGAAGTCGTTCCCGGCACTGCAGAATGTGCAGCTCCAGCTGCTGATTCTCCATGACAGCTTGCTGCAGCCTGTCTGGAACCCAAAAAATATACTGCTAATCAAAAGCAATGGCTCTGCTCCCGGCCTCCTATGCCCTGCTGTCTCGCGGAGCACGGCAGCTTCGGTATGTGGATCTGTAGAACCTCTTTCAGGGCAAAAGGCCGAGTGTAAAACGCCTTTCAGCGAGTCCGACTGGATGGCAAAAAAAGCTGCACCGGCTGAGTTACAGTACCCTTAATGCAGACTCTTGATCAATACACCCCTCATATGAAGAGGATGTTCAATTCATATGGCTACACTCTTTATAGAGGATGTTCAATATCAAACACCCAGACGCCTCCTAAATTAGATGCAAAGTGCCTGGCAAACTGCCAGTCATCCAGATTGCAGCCAGGTCATAATTAGGAATTCAGAGACCTTGAGACACATGTACCCTTCTTCGTAGATGCCTGGTTCCGTAGCGTGATTCATTTAACTTGTCTGTTGTTGTATATACTTTGACATGAGCGGTTTCACACCATTTACCCACCAGTACCCGCTGGAAACCCAGCAAGGGATTGAGTGGGGGGCGCGTCGATTACCGTCCGCGAGTTCGTGCATTCATATGGCTGGGGTTATTAATCAAGAGTCTACATTAGATTGGAAACCGGGAAGTTGGTGGGAACCAACCCAGGAGTACCAGACTTTTCAAGGCCGGGCCCCACCTGACGCCGGTGCCACGCGTGGGCTTTGAGGCAACTCTGGCAGCTGCGGACATATCCTTAGAACGCCCGAAACTGGAATTCACTAAAGATCAGAGGGGACCCAGCTTCACCAACTTCAAAGTGACCCAGACCCAGAAGCATTGTTTTGCTGCTTGGCTGGGGTTGAATCAACCAAGAGTCTTCTCTGCAGGGGCCGAAGCCGAAGCCTTTTCTGGTGCCAAATCGAAGGTTGCACCTGGTCGCGTCAAACGTCAGGTCAGAAGTCACGTCAGCAGAAAGATCATAAGTGTGTGTGTGTGTGTCTGTCTGTGTGTGCGCTTTGCTTCCCATGTAACGCCTGGTTGCAAAATGCAATTTGGCAGGTGATGCTGCACCGTGATGTTCTTTGGCAGGTCCCAAACGACAGGAACATCGTTTTTTTCAACACGTCCGGACATCTCTTTGTTTCGAACCCTACACAATGATTCCAAGCTGCCAATTTTCTGAAACTATCCCCAATTGCTACCGACTCGTACAACAGCCTCGCAACGCGAACCCGGCAAAAAGCACTGGCATCGCCCCAAAACGGTGCCTTGGCCTAGCTCCTCGAGCTCTTTTTGGGACTCGTCCTGTCAGGCGGCTGAACAAAGGAGTGACAGTGGTGATGCCTGGAAAGTATACACATAAACTCCTTAAGGTTCGGAAAACTCTCAAAATCCTGAAGAGGTCGACAAGTATCAAATCATATCAAATCTGTAAACCAGTTGCTGAAAACCTGGACAGCAAACACGTTGTAAAATAAAAAACATTGAGCCAACACTGCTTTCAGTCCTCATGGATGCTGCTCATGTCCGCATTGAGCAGCGCGCTCATGCCTTCGGATTTCTCCTCTCCCGGACTTGCAGCCTGCAGATGCTCTTCCGCCCACCATGAACTTCACGAAAGTCAACCATTTAAAATTTAAGGTGTAGTTTGGACCCTCTATGACTTGTCGGGTCATAGGTACCCAACAACCGCGTCAACCTTCTATCAAAACAAACCCCTGTTTCATGCCATTCGTAACCTCGCGCTTTGAGCTCGTCGCAGTTCTTGATCTGGTCTACACACATGATTGAACGCGTACAGTGATGACTGGTACGAGCTTCGTGCATGGAATGAGGGTGGCTGGATGTTCAAGAATCTCTGAATCTCTTCTTGGGATTCTTGGGGGTGAAACTTCCTTCATTTCTGAACCAGTCTGATGGTGATACACCAGGCCTCCAGTTGAGCTTTCAGCGTCTCTCGAGGGCTGTAGACCTCGGACTTCTGCGGAGTTGCGGAGTTGCCGCAGATCTGGAAACCTGCGGAACACTCGGTGTCTCTGGCTTTCTTGGGCAATGCTTGACTTGCAGACGAGCGGCTGAAGGCTTCAATGCTGCCTCGGAGCAAACCACTATCATCCATCTCATCATTTATATATCTATGTCTTAAGTGGCTCAAAGCTAAAGCTCAGAAGCGGCCAAAATTGACCCCACACTCACTTGCCAAGTGGAAGATCAGAGACCATCTCTGATGACTGCCCTCTTGAGAATGCCCACTTCTCTTGTTAAGGCATTGTCAAACGAAAACCAGGAAGCTTGACAGGACCAATATTGCAGGTGCAACAACCCCGCCTGAAGCTGTTGCTGCGCATTCATCAAGGCTTGCTGCTGTGCTTCATCTGCACAACGCCGACTCTGCAACAGCTGCGCCTCCGGATGAGGGACGAAAAAGAATTGTGCGGACCAATGACATGTCATGACACTCAAGGTCGGCCTCAACATGAAAGAAAGGTAGATCCGTGGGAGACCCACTCGGTTGGGCTTCGTCTATTTCACCCTTCTGCGGTTTGGGTGTCATGGAGTCCCAACTGTGAACCGAGAATGCCCACATCCACGGGTCTTTGATCGACCTTCGATTAGGAGAACTTGGCGGAGACCTCGATCGAAAACTGAATCGACTTTGGAGGTTCATAGTTAGAATTTCATCTGTGAAAACAAATAAAAGGCTGCATATTAAAAAAACATGTCTGTGTACATCATAAGACCTTGGAGGAGACTTCGACCTTCGAATACTTGAATCTCAGAAACCACCACTTGACGCCTGAAGCTTCTCCCTTGTTTTGCGGAACTTGCTCCGGAAAAGTCTAGGACCCAACCCTTTCTCGCAGGAGATTCAACTAAGAAACCTCTATGAAAAAGATCTCTCCCTCTCTCTCTCTCTCTTTCTTCATCCAAGACAAGAAGAATCACCAAAGTCTTCCAGAAAGACCTCCCCAGAAAAGAAAAAAACAAGAATCATCACATCCCATTCCCTTCATTCCCAGAGAAAACCTCCTCACCTCCAAGGCTCCAAGCTCTCGGTGCAACTGGGCCGCCTGCAGCTGCAGCTCTGGCAGCTCCCGTCCCGACAGGCTCGGTCTCGCAGCCTCGGCGCGGCAGCGCCGCGCTGCCGCGCGCGGTCCGGCGGAGTGGGAGGCCGAATGTCGGGTTCTTTGGGGTTCGTTGAGAGTCCGGGAATCTGAATTTGGGTTGTGCATGTGGTCGACGATGGCTGTCGTGAACTGGTTTCGGAGAATGGGTGGTACGGACGTTGCCTAAAGAGCCGGTCTGTCCTCGGGGTTTAGGGTTCAGGGAGTGAAACAAGCGAATCCCCTTGTCAGGATGTTTTTCAGATGTGTGTTTTAAATATTATTTGGAAATTGGGCCACCCAAGAAATCTTCTCTCTTCAAACGTATGAGGAAGATACGAATTAGGGCGAAGGGGAGGATCAGGAGGTGGAGGAAAAGCCACCACGAAGAAGAACGTGTCGAAACGCGTCGGTTCATGCGAATGAACCGAAGACTTCCCTTAGGCTATGTGAGCATGCATGATGCTAGGCGATAGGGCGCATGAAAAAGGACAAAGATGGATAAGCAAGGAGAAATGAGAGCTTACTTCCATTCAAGTGTAAGCGGACTGCCAAACCTAGGTTGAACGGTTGAAGTATGTTGAAGTTCAACCTGAATCTAAGCCCTTTCCACGGTCGCACATAGCTCCCGAAAGGCTGTGGGCCAGCACCCAAGGAAACAACTGAAAGGCGACTCTCAGCCTGTCCCGGTCTGTCCACATTGGTCTGCCGATTCAGGGTCCCCATATCAGCGATTTGGCGATTTGGGTAGTAGCCAACATCATGACAAGATATCACAAGCATCTACAGAATCTACAGTAACCACATTATCTGAACCAAGCCGCCTCCCAGTAGGTGGCATGCTGTTGCTGGCAGTCAGCCTTTGCGTCTTGCTGTTGCTGCACAAGCGCGGCGTTGCGCTCCTGGGAACAAGAACGTTGCACAACGCCAAGGTGTCTTAGGAGTCTGTCTACGTTGCATTTGGTTAAACTCGAGTCACTGGAGCTACATTCACCTGAATCTTCCTGCCTCCCCACATGGTGTCTTCCTCCGTTTTTCAGGTCTCTCCTGCAGGCAGCACAGATCCGCTACCCTTTGATCTCCAAGCTCAATCAGGGATTGGAAGGCCTGCTCCAAGCTTCGCACCTGCGCGCCCGAGCGGAAAGCGAAGCGTTCGGCTGGGCGCTTCGGATGGCGGGGATTCCCTCACAGAGGGGGCCTCTTCAGAGGCCGAGCTGCTCGGTCTTACATGATAGCCATACAAATACCCAAACACTCCACGGGACTGCCATATTTGCCTGCCATTGGGATGGTTTTGGGGGGTAGGCTGGAGTGTCTGGGGTAAGGTGACCGCCTCCGGTGACCACGACGGTGGGTCTCGAATGGACCAGGTGGACATCGGATACCATGTTCATACAATTTTGGCCGATACATTTCTCTTCCTTGAAGACAAGGTTCTCAGCAAAGAAATGCAATGTCTGGCACGAAAGAGGGGCGGCACAGTGGCCCAAAAAAAATGGCCTCAAGCGTCCACCTTCATAGCTAAGCGTGACAACACACTGCTTAACCAGCCTCGAAGCGCAAGCACTCATTGAGCGTTCTCCTTTCTTGCAAGGCTGTGGCTAAGCTGGAAGCCTCAGTCTCCCAAACATCCTTCCGGTAGCCTTTTGGAATCTCCGCCGTCTCAACCTCTTCCTCTCCACAGGAGCTCACTGTCACGCCGGGGTCTGGTCGTGCATCTTTGGCACTCCATATTTCTTGCGCTGCTCGCACGCGGTCTTTCACTGTCTGCAGGGACTCCTGACGTTGACGCAAGGCCACCTTTCTCTGAAAGCATTTTGTCTTCAATGCTTTCAGCTGGAGCAAGGGCTTGATATGATCCGTGGGATTTTCCACCGGGTCAGCGGAAGGCAAGGCTTTCTGTGCCTTCCAGCAAAGCCATGGCTTCACAGGCATTTCATCCTCACTTCACGATTGTGCACAAGCCCTTCCATGCTACCATTGTTTCCAAACATCTGCTCAAGTTCATCAGCGCATGCTGCCATGCTAGAACAATATGTTGTTGTGTGTGTGTGTGTGTGCTGGGAAATTGCTGTGGATGTTGATCCTGGTCAAAGCAGAGAAGAGCTCAAAAGCATCCTTTTATGGTGGCATCCGGCATCCATGCTTGATCACCTGCCTTCAGGGCAATCTGAGCTCGGAACTGTCTGCTCCACCTTCAGCATGTTCCTAAAAAAAAGTGGTCAAAATAGACAAAACTAGACAACTGTCGTGATCGGGGGTGCGAGACTGAAGCGGTCTCAACTCTTTTCATACCAAGTGGGTAGTTGGTCTTGCTTCCCTGCCAGTACATTCCTATGGTCACACTGGCAATCAAGCATAAAGAAATTTCAGGAAGCCTAACTTGTCCAGGAAACCCTACCGCGCCTTGGTCCCTCCACAGTGCTCCTGGGCTTTGGGTGGCCGGAAATAAACAAAGGTGGGGCTCAAGGCGGACATCGTGAAGCCAACTCTTGCAACTACTCAACGTTTTGAGCTTTCGGGGCTGAGAACCCCCTGTAGCCAGTTGATTGGAGAATTCTGCCCAGGCTTGGATGTGCGTGTATTCACTCCAATCATTTGGCGGTTGAGCCCAAGTCGCCAAGTCCAGGCCGATCTTGACCCCCCCGAAACCCCGACTCCTGTGAAGTGGGCTGTCGGGTGAGTCATAGCCAGCATCTGGCAGCTCAGCTGGAACCTCTGGCAGGGCAACGATGATCTCCTCAGCTTAAAGCCAAAGCGTGAAAAACAAGTCGGACCAGAAACGCCCTATGAGGCGTTCACTCTGAAAAAATTCACCTACTCGCAGGTCGAATCTCTCTTCAAACACCAAGAAGTGATCAACCTCAGAAAGAAACTACCCACCAGAACCCCGTCCTCCCTCCAGCACCGGGGTGTTTCTTACACCCCCTGACTTTCTGCCGGGCGACGGGCTCAACGGGTCTGGAAACCTTCGCCGGTCCCTGCTCGGTGGGCTCTGACACGCCCGGTCCTGGCTAAACGACCGGCGTCCTTCGCGGGCACCGGCGGTTCCGCCGCGAACACGGTTCGACCGAGGAAGGAGTTGGATTTTGGGGGAAAAGCAAAGGGCCACCACGGAAGGAACCAAAAGAGCCAGAGGAAAATATCAGTTTCAGGTGCCACTCTCTCATGATCTACCAAAGCCTAGAGTGAAGACCTTGGAGGAATTGTTGTAGGATCCAGGAACTGCCGCGTCTTGGCCAAGAGTCTCGCTAGCTTGGCCGCATCAAAAGGGTTCTGGCGGGTGGTACACGACGTGTTTGGCAGCTCCTCAGCGAATGAATCCACAGGGCTCCTCTGCATTTCCTCTCAGAAACCACTGATATCTGGTAGTTTTTTCACCACTTCGCACTGTGATGTCAGTAACCTCCAATACGGAATTTGCAAACACACCCTGACGCCCTATTCACCAACACTGGAGTATGTCAAGCCTTCGATTTGAAGCAAACTCTCCTCATATAGTGCGACTCACCTCCAATGAATCTGGGAGGAAAAGGGGGCGCTTCCTCATGCTGCTTCTGGCTACAGTGGATGATGCACACTGTCTTTCAGCCAAGTGGCCTTTTGCAAGCCAGATATGCTCTGCTGGCTTTCGCTGCCCAAAGGCTGTCGCAAACCTGGCAAAACAGGGCAGGCGCAATGGGCGGTTGAAACAACATGGTTTCCAAAAAAGTAAAAAAACCTCAGCGCTGCCCAAGCTCCACAAACTTTGGCCTTGAGCATTCGGAGACTTGCTTCTGGCCGTCACCTGAGAATCGTTGAGAAGCACTGGATACAGTATGTGACTTGAGCTGAGTCAACGAAGCTGACCAAGCTAGCTGTGTGCTGTGCTAGTAGCTGCGATCCACGAGCAAATGTACCAGAGCTGCTTTCAATGCAGTTGCAATTTGACCTTGTCATACCCTTTCCATATGTGTGACTAATATGTTTCAAGATGCTTTATTTTGGGACGACTGCGTCCCGCGAAGCATATCTCTCCTCCGGGCTGGCTTCGGGCTGACCTCGGCCAGCGCTGGCCGGGCCAGCCGAGATCGGGCTCAAAGGCGACAAGATCCACAAGAACCCATTGGGCACCAGTGCTGTTGTGTTTTGCCGCAGAAAGATGCAGAAGGCGGTGCTGAAAAATGCCCTTCGCTGCTTCGTGAAACGAAGCCGATTTCTGAGATGTCTGCAGAGCGTACATCGCCAGGTAAGGCGGGTCTTCTCCTGAGAGGGTGATACACACGCCACATGTTGGTCTCCCAGTAACCCTGTCGTTTCAAGTGGTGAAGCTCATCTGCAGTCAGGAGACGAGGACGAGCCATCACTGGGATCTGCCCTGGGCGACATGGTCGGTTCCGAAGAACGCGATCCAAAGAGGTCACATCTTAGAGGTCTCTTGGACCAACGGTCCGAAAATTTCACCACTTCGGAAGCAATCCACTGACTCCCACACCTGACTGCAAACCCGCTGCCTCCGACTGGCTCGCCGGGGTGTCGCAGAATGGCTCTGCTGCGGTTGCTGGCCTGTGCGTATCGATCGTTCTCTGACAGCCACCGAAGGCGTGACGTTCTCAGGGCGCTTTCGGCAAAAGGGATTGAACAACAGCGGTGTCTGCATCCTAACATGGCTAACATGCTAAGACAAGAGCATGGGATCTTTTCGCGCAAGGGCGCAATGAAGCAAGGAAGCCTTCTCTTGCACTGATTTTTCTCGAGCCGTGGCTCATGCAACTCTACCACTCTGCAAAATGGGATTCACTCTGCCAGAAAAAGAAACAATGAGGCCACCCAGTGGCCTAACGTCAAATTCAGGTTTATCCTGATGTTAAAAGAGACGCACTGCCAAGAAGTATACAAGAGATCCCCAGCCCACCCAGAATAGAGACCGCCGTGCCAGAGGTACTGATCTCACGCTGGCGTTGTTGCAGAAAATCTGCGCGCGAGCCGAAGGAAAAAGTGCTCGGTTTGACCTGGAAACGGAGGTAACAACACTTGAGAAACCGTGCCGAAGTGGTGTTGTGTTTTGCTCTTTAGAGGATCAAGCCATTTTCAAGTATCATCTCAATTCATCTTAAAAGAAAGGAAAACTCAACGGTTTAAAGGTCAGCCTCTCACCTTGGAGGGCTGCAGCACGGCCACACATCCTTCACCCTGCATACCTTTGATGCTAGCTCGGTAGCGCCATGCAATGTCACCCAAAGCATAGACCTCTTGGCCAACCGGCAGGAGTCTCTCACGGATCTCATAACCCAGAAGACGGGACGCCGGTTGGGCTTCTGAGTTCACATTCACACTCACTGAGACACCTTCATGAGGCTGATATGTCACGGTCTCTTGTTGACATTGAAGTAACTCCGCCACTTGGAACTCGGACAAATCCAAACAAATTTGCCTCGGGGACGACCTCACCAGAGAAGTGGTTGCTCCGAGCTCACGAAAGCAAACCCCACTGGGGGCGACCAAGGTCTTCTTCTCCACGTCCGAGAAGTCGACCGTTGGAATCCATCGGCCTTTCTCCCTGCGACCAGTGTCCACTCTCTGCATCTGCCTCTGCCCATCGACGATGACTTCTTTGGTCTCGTAGATGGGATCGCCTGCAGAGTGAATTCGGAATAAGTTTAGACACCCTTAGGGGTGAAATCGTTGAATCTGTTGAACTCACGAAGCTGGCACCTGGCACCAACACAGTGACACAATCAATCACCACCAGAGAATCGCCATCACCATGAAACGCCCATCAGAGCATGACGCTCTGACCCATGACCCTGTTTCTGAGGGGGAACCATCCATCCGCCCACCTTTCTGCCAAAGATACTTCTCAGTCTTGGCCACCTTCTTTCGAAGCACCGCCATGGCGAGGAGTCCATCCTGGGGGTCCATCTCGTGAGTCCATCTCCGTGAGTCACGACACCCCAAAGGGAAAAACGTCGCCCAAAACAGCAAAAACGTGCACAAAAAGACATGTCAAACCCCCTGCGGGAGCCGCTCTCTTTGATTCTACCCAGAAATGAGAAACTTCCAGGTTGCAGTCAATTAGACTGTTGAATGGAGAGCAAGATTGGCCCAAAGATTCCTTCGTAACCATCTTACTTGTAGTCAGGTGAATTACTTTTCGCAGGCTTCTCATGTCACAGTGACTCCAGGAGCGACGGATCATCTTAAATTGTGCCTTGTTGTTCCTTCTTCTTCCTTCTAATAACATCTAATAACAATGGCCTCCAACTGCCTCCAACCTAGAAACGATGGCCTCCAACCTAATAGCAATAACAAAACATTCTTAAATGTCTTGTTCCTTCCGAACTTCATGTCCTGACTTTTCAATGGCTCGGAGGTATAACTCTCTCCACTCAGCTCTTCATAGCTCCCACAGCTCAATCCCCTTCGCTCCGCAGCAGAGCTCACACGCTCTACACCTTCGAAGGTGCCGGTTCACGACTAGAAGACCCGTGGGACAGCGCCAAACACGGTCCCGGGGTCTACCTACAAAGTCATCGTGGCCAAAAGACTTTCAAAAAGTAAACACCACAGATCTTCGCCAAGGAGCTGCTGGTCGTCATCGAAGCGATGAGCTCCAGTTCCTGCGGGAAAATCGAACTGGAGAGGACAAAAAATAGTTCAATGGATTTAACATGGGCCAAAGCTCATCCTCTGATTTCTTTCGGTATTGGATCACTTCGTAAGGGCTTCAATTCAGACTTCAGAGGCTTCAGGGTGGACATATGTGGACATCGATGATCCTCAGACTACTGTCCAGCGTTCTTTTCACCACAGAGCCTTCTTCAGTCTTGCTTCATTGCGGTGTAGCAAGAAGGCTCCCAAAGACAGGACACTGCCTGGCCGTAGGTTACGAATCATCAGCATTTGGTCAACCAAAGTTTTGCCTTTTGGGAGATTGAAACATACTCGAAAAAAGAACGCATCGAATCGAATCTTAGACCCGAGTGGCCCATGAAAACACACAGAGCTGTCTATCTGTCACTGTCTCATATACAACACAAGAGTGAGTGGTGCTGTCGCCGCCTCCCACCTCCCAAAAGGCAAGGCAGCCCAATGCTGTTCAACTGATCCAAAAAGTTCTCACCGTCTCGTCTCGCCATGGCGGCTGAATAGAATCAACCCTTGTGTTCGTGAGGCTTCTACTGGCGAGAAATCCTATTTCATATGTCTGCATAATGGTGTTTTCTATCGTCTCTCGCCCAATGTTCACCCTTCAGCTGCGAGCACTTCAGGCTGCAAAATACAGAATGACAAGCATCTGCAGATCAACTTTCTTCCACTCGAAACAGCCACCCTCCCCTTCCACGCGAAAAAGCAACCTTCCCCTTCCAACAACTGCATCCGCGGCCCCGCCTTTACGCCTGGGCGACGGCCTCGACTGCGGGCTCGGCCCCGTTGTCGTGGCCGGCCCCGGGGGCGACGGCCGCGAGGAAGGCAGGTCCCTCGACTCCAGGAGCTGGTCGAAGAGGCTCGGCCGCGGCATGCCGGCGGCATCCAAGCCGGCACGGTCGCTGGCCAAAGAGGCAGCAGCCCTGGGCTCCGTGAACATCGCGCTTGTAGGAAAAGGTGTGCAGACATCTGCCGGGTTTTAGTCCGGAGGAAACAAAGGTATTCTGAATCTGAACATGTACAGGTAATCTCATGATAAGGTTACTGTTGAAGTCCAAAGTCCAAAGCATCTATTTCTTAGGTGTCGTCTGTGGGAAAACGACATGCAGCTGTGCTTCTGCAGCTGATTTTTGATAAAAGATATGTGTTCAAGTTTAAGAAAGTGTCTTGTGCCCCTCACCACAACATTGCCCTGCCTGAGACTGCCAGACGGTGAGGATGGTGCTTCTCTTGCACTGATGCTCCCATCGTTCTCGCGCTCCTCTCGCGTCCTCTCACGGTCGAAACCTCGCACTCCTGCAGATCTGGCGGCATCCCGTGCATCCCGTGCCATCTCCAATTTGGACGCGAGGGCTCCGCGTGCTCCGCGCCCAGCGCGCGAGCCTGCGCGCTCTGTGAGCTCCGGCGCAGAGGATCGCCGGTTCGAACGATCCATGCGATCACCGGTTCCAGAGACCTGAGAAGAACAGCCGCCGGCGGAGCGGGAGGGGGCAACAGCCGGCGCTTGGACATCTCCTAGAAACCGTTGAAGCTTTCTTTCTTGCTCTTCTTGGAGCGCTTGTAGTTTGCTCAGCTGATGAGAGATTTCAGCCTCATCCTCCTCAACGCGACGAGGTCCAGCTTCACTCATGGTGGAGGCAGTGGGGTTGACTTTGAGAGCACTGCCTCTCCTGGAGACCTCATTCGATGTCTCAGCTTTTGACTTGAAGGCACTGCTCTCAGATGAGCCCTGTCCATTCAGTATGGCATCCTGCGCCGCCCGAGCATGCTGAGCCGCCACCAACGCCTTTTTCCATGCCGCCCGGCTCCGCAGCCCGTGGCTGGCACTGGGAATCGCCGCAGCGGGCAGCGAGGAGCGCTTGAGCAACAAGCGCTCCGTCTCGCCCGAGGTCGCAGTCACCTCCGGTGTCGCGTCCGTATCGAGGGGCAAGTCCAGCACATCAGCTGTTATGACTGCACCATCTTGCAGCTCCTGATGCTCCTGCTTCTGTTTGTGAAGTGCCTGATAGCTCTTGCTTGGCTTGGGTCTTTTTTCAGTGCTCCTTTGGCTGGTCAGTTTTACCACATCGTCGTCGTCAGCTTTTGCAGCCTCCACCGTCAAGGCAGGGTTGATGCCTCAGCGTGCTACATACACAAGCTGCGTCGTTTGGCTTTCACCCTTTTTCACAACAGAAATTGTCAAAACTGTCGCTCGCCCTCCATCGGTGCTGCCATGACACTCTCCCGCTCGTCCCTTTCGGTGCTCAGGGCCCTGAATCAAGGATCGGAACCCAAAGGCAAGCAGAAAATCGAATAAAAAGGTCTTGGTCCAGGGGATCCTAGTTATTCCTTTCGTCCAGGGGATCGATCCGTGGCTCCCACCCGCCTCCTCGCAGATCGACGGCTGAGCCGTTCGCCTCGGCGCGATGCCCAGCGTGACGCGGCGGGCCGGTGACGCCGGTGACGCGTGAAGCAAACAGTCAACGCATGATTTGTGGAAAGCGAAAGTGATGTGAACCAAAAACTCTTTCAGGGGTCGTCTCGATTTTGAGGTGCCAACGGCTCAGTGAGCGCCTGGCCCGCGGAGAGGCCGCCTGGCTTGGTCTTCAAAAGACCCACCATCATCCGACCGCTTCGGCTGGGTGCAACGTTTTGGGTGACAGCCCGGAGAGAGAAAAGCAGAAGTGACCAAAGCAGAAGATTCTGCTTCCAAGTGCCTCCTGCCGCAACATGCGTGCCAGCTTGGACAGGGCCTGTCGCATGTTCATGCCAGAGGCTGGAAGAGCTGTGGCAGCGTGCCCCCAGTATTGATACTGTACTTAATTAATAGAACAGCAAAAATGAGCTCCTTTTCTGCCGTGTCCACTTCAGTGTTTTCAGATCGACAATGCACAGCAAAAAAGCAAGACCAAATTCAAGAGAAATCGCTTTCCCTGAGAGAATCTTTCATTCTGGGGGCTTGCTGAGCACGGTACGTTTGCTTCACCACCTGTTGGGCGTGCGAAACTGCACGACAAACAAAGCCAGGAACATCAGTCGCCCAAATGCGTCCATAGATCACCAACCACTGCAACTTAACCTGTGGTCCCCTGGCCAAACCTACAGATCTGTATAGGAACTCCAGCTAAGCTGTGTGGCAAGTCATGTAGACTGTAGACTGTTGATCAATAAAACCCTCCCTGTGACACCTCTTCATAAACGGAGTTGAAATATAATCAAGAGATATCAAGAGTCTACAATACATTAGGGAAGTCACGTCTTTCCCCGCGACACGCCATGGGACCTGAATCCACACCCTTCAGCCATACAGCCTCGACCAGCTGTAGTCAGCTCATGCCAAAAACATCCAAAAAGTCATCCCGTTCATCCCAAAGCCATGGATGATATGACCTGGACCTGGACCGGGCAAAAAGAAACTGCAGCCCTCATCTGCGTTGTGTGGGCGGGTGTGAATCAACACCCGGCCCCTGGTGGACCCCAGGAAATGCACATGAGTTCTCTGTGAGGCATGCCAACCTGCCGTGGTCTAAAGTGTTGACCTGCCATGACCCACCACCTGGTGTTGACGGGTCACATCAACGAAACCGTGGGGTCGTCACCGCAACGGCGGGGTGGTGATCACCAGATCTGAGATCCCCGGCCCTTGCTGATCCCATCGTACTGAAGGTCATAAGTCACATCTGCAGCTTCTACCACCTGCCACCACTTTTGGGGCAGAAGAAGACATAGAAGACATGCTCAGCAGAACACAGTGTGGTGCGCTTGGAACCGTGGTCAAATCTCGAGCCTTCACTTTCACATGTCAGGGTGGATCTTCAAACTGGGAGGACTACTGGCTGCTGCGACATTAAATTCTTTTACTCGGACTTCATTGCTAGTGCCTTCGCTGACTTAAGCGGACCAACCATGCATGAAAAGGTAGCATCTGCAGAAGCCTCTTCCTTCTTCTCCTGATCACGCTTCATCTGTTTCAGAAACTCCTCAAATGTCCACTCATCCTGAGCAAGCTTCTCCTCCTCAGTCAACTCTCTCTTCCTCTTGGCGGGCCGATAATGGTCGATCCGCCCCCGCGGGGTAGACCGAGGCTTCCACCGAGGCATGCTGGGTGGCGGAGGAGTGGGCGTCCAAGTGGGACGGGGCGGCACCGGCCGCGGTCCAAAGCCGTTGCTTTGGGCATAGGACCCCGACACAGCAAAGCTGTGCTCAAGGCTTTGCTGGGTTTTGGCACTTGGGATCGTGCCACCCATCCCGGTTGGAGCCAAACGGGAAAAGATTGGGTGTGCACCTGAGGCTGCGGTAGAACCTGTTGCGGGAGGCAAACTCTTGGATGTAGGCAAAGCGTATTTCTGGAAATGGTTAGAAGCATGCAAGTGTGGTGGCAAAGGCTGGTCCTCCGGCTCTTCTTCACCTTCTTCATCTGGTTCTGTTTCTGACCACTCATCGGCTTGTCGTTCTTCACGCGGATTCACAGTGGCATTCACAAGAGCTTCTCCAGGTGGTCTGGCTTCTAACTTTGGATCCCAGTCATTGATTCTTTCTTCACCATTGGCCGGTGGGGCATTTCGTTGCACCCATACAGCATACAAGGACACAGCATCAGGCTTGAAGACCCACTGCACCCCGCCCCGCTGTCGGTTCCGGATCCGCTTCTCGGTGTTCACCCGGAGCTCGAAGATGATTCGGTGATACACGCCGTCACCAAAGAGAATGTGTGGCCTCGCATACCATCGGGCTGTGGCTAAATTGGGTGAGCAGTAGACTCCAGGTTCCCAGAAGTCGTGACCTTTATCGCGGTCGTTGGACTCGAGAAAAACGCCAGAATGCAACACAAGCCAAACCGAGTACCACCATGTCCCATGATAGGCAACTTCCCAGTTGTCCTCGGGCATCACCTTGGGCTCTCTCAGATATCGATACTTCTTCCAGCCATCGCTATAGCCATCCTCCATTAAGGCATCGTCCAAGCCGCGAGCTGCCAGCCATTCGATAAAGAGTGGTGCAAAGTCCTTGCGCGAACCCTTGGATTTCGGGGCGATGGCACCAGCTCTGCGAGGCTTGCACACCTCACGCCATTGAATTACTAAATCTTCTCTTGCAATGGCAGCATCTTCGAGTGCTCCTTTCACAAGTGCTACTTGCTCATCATCCATTTCGTCAACTTTTTGGTCCAAGGACAAGGACCGATCTTTCAGGAAATCGAAATCCATGGAAAACGGCTTGGCATCGGCATTTGTGTTTGAAATTCCATCCTCAAGAAAGGCAGTTGTAACAGTTGTATCCTGCTTTGGACTTGCATCAATCGATTCATCCTGTGGGAGCGTCAAGGCCGTCGAGGCCTCCAGACTTGGATCTGCTGCAGTCAACCCACCCTCCTGCAGTAGCGATGCTTTCTGCTTCGGACTTGCAGCCTTCGCATCCTCAGAGCCTGGAGCTGCCTCCGCGCCGTCAGCTTCGTCTGTTTTTGCGGCGGACGCTGGCCGAGCGGGACTCAAGCGATCGGCCTCGGCGCCGTCAGCGTCCGCCGTGCCCACGCCATCGACCATTGCCGATCAACGGGCGACGACGCGACACCTTGAGCAGCTGAGCAAAAGTGAATTCAGTTGGTCGAGTCAAAAAGCTGCCGGGGTAGAACACTATTCTTTGGCCCCTTTACATAGTCTTCAGGTCAGCGTACTGCGTCTTTGGCCCTTATCCATCTAGAGTAGATAAATATCTGAATGCAACCTGTGAACACCTCACGTCCAACACTCCTGCACTTGCTAACTTGCCAATGTATCGGAAAGAAAGCTGCTGCAACTTGCTCCGCCCCCCCCCCACGAACCTTTGCACGCTCCACTTGCGCAGTGCTTGAACAGCCTCAAGAAGGGCACCGGCTTCTTGGACCCTCGACGCCACGGCTGGTGGAGTGATGGACCCTCTCTAAGGGTCAGACCCTCCAGGTATGGATGCTGCCTGAGACGAGTTTGTAGGGCACATCTCTGGCCCTGCGGTGGACCCCCCAAAGCTTGAAGTCAAAAAGAAACCGAATCTCCTGGACTCCTGGGCCAACGATTTTTCATCTCGCTGAATCTTGCATGCTAAGGTGTCCACAGTGCCGCTTCCTCAAAAAAAACAAAGGAAACACTTCAGCAAATGAATGAAGCGTGAAGTTGCGTGATACTATATGATATATACTAATACTACACAACCAGGAGTCGGAGTGTTGTCCCATATCAAGTGGAAGAAAGACCATGTTTCACCCCAAAAGACTTGTGGCTCCGACCACGGAAAGTCGACGCGAAGGATCAAAGGCCAGAAGTCCACGCAGCATCGTTGCACCTGGACGACGACTTCCCAAGTCTCTGTCGTGGAACACGTGGAACACGAAAATCGAACGGAACGCCGGACTTTTGGAGTCCGAAGGGCGTGGCTTTGCACATGTTCAGAACGAGGGAGAAGAGTGAAGAACGTGTGCAACTTGGGGGCAAATGAGGGTCTCAGGCTCAGGCTTGTGTACAACTCTTGGAAGCAAAGACATGCAGGACCCTGTGAAGATCCAATTCCCACAGGTCCTATCGGACGCCGTGTGGTGTTCCGGGGTCCCATCGAGTTCGACTGGATCCTCCACATGCTTGAGCCTGCTTGAGCCTGCTTGGCAGGACCAGACAGCTCTGTGCCAACTTGGCTCCCGCACCATCACCGTCCAGATGTCCCAGCCTGCGGCGCTCGCGGGGTCGCGGCTGGTGCGGAGACCCGGTGCGCGCTCCTTCGCCAACTGTGTCGACCCAATGTCTGATCAGTCTTGCAGGTGGTGCGGTAGTACTTACTCAATATTTGACGTTTGGTTTGAATGAAGATTGGAACTCAAACCTTCTGAACCAGGCTTCCGCACATCTTTGACAAGCCCTTCACGGATCGGCTCTGTGGAGAGCACCGCAAGAGGAGTGGTCGCGACTCCTGGAGAATCTCTCGTTGCAGTCGAGAAAGTGGTGGGGACCCCGAAAATCCCCAAGCGACGGTCGGACAACTTGACGGAACCCATCACATCGTCCTCCGGAACCCACCACTGCTCCCTGAGCGAGGCATCAAAAAGAAAAAACTCCAGCCAGAGCCTATCCTGGCCTTTAGAGTGCTTGAAGTTCAGCGTTCATGGGCATATCACAGGGAAACTAGCAGGATGGGCCTCTTTCTGTTTCTTCCTCTCTGTCATCCCTGACCTTTCGTCGCACAATGTTGCCACCTATACAATTACAAGTACAAGTAATGTAGCGTGTCAGCCATATCTTTGCGGATGTTCCAAAGCCACTGAGCGTTCGAGCTCTAGAGAAGGCATGCCCATGATTCCAACGACCTCAAAGTATGCCAGTTGGCCAACAAATGCAGCTTTTAGTCCTGTGTACTGCCAGCTCTGCACTAAGTGTTTTGTTCCTTACAATGTTCACAGTTCCTCCCAAGAACTCCACTTTGCTGAGCTGGTCCAAGCTGTTTTTGCCAGGAAAGAGTGCCTGACGGGCCGTCGGGTGAAATGGCACAGCACAAAGGAGACGGAAAGCGTGACTCTACTAGGAACAACTGCGTGTTCATATATTTAAGAACCTGCAGAAATCATCCTTCTGTAAGAAGGAAAACGTCTATATATATATATTATATATATAGGCAAATCAAGTTATACGAGCCCCACTCGTCTGCCAAGCAATCTGTGCTGGCCCTTTTCTTTTAGACTGACCATTTTCGGTGAACATCGGCGCAGCGCCTTTGCAGTCCACATCTCGTAGAGGATGCACCCGACAGACCACACGTCCACTTTCGGCCTAGGCGTAAACACGCTGGTGCTTCAGTATGACTTCTGCAGTCATTGTTTGAAAACAAGGGAAACACTTCAAAACATGCTGGCAAAGCCCGTACTTTGATCGAGCCAAAAGCACTTCCGGTGCACGGTACCTGGCAAGAGTCAGGAGCCAAAACCGCTGGCCGCATGTTTCTCCCCACACCCATAGGAAGGGCTTGGGTTTCCCACTTTTGAACAAAAATATCCTAAGAATCTCGCTTCCGAAACCATCAGCTAACTTTCATTTGGACCCATGACCGCGACGCGATGAAAAAAAAATGCGCCAGGAAGGACCAGCGCGTGACCACATACTCGGTGAGCTGCTCCTCGATGGGATGAATGGCCTGCGGCGCCATTGAAACGCCGGAGGCAACTGTTCAACAGTTCCAGAAAGGGAACATGAAATGGTTGAGCAACCACAGAGATATGGTTTTGGTGTGCAACAAGCGGATAAGCAAAAACCTATCAAAACTTGGTAGGATGTAGCAAAAGAACAAGCTTCAAATCTCCAAGGCCAGCTTTCCTCACATTTCTCAATCATCATGGAAGCTGAACATCACCATGATTCAGAAGAACCGGCGCCTCGCCAGTCTGGCCATCCACTGCAATCCCGCGGCTCAAGCCCAAGTCTCCAATCTTGGCCTGGAAACAACGGCGGTGGAACTCAGCTGCGTGGTGGCAGAGCTGTGCCACGCAGGGTGCTCACGTGCGGCCCGCGGGCACGCCTCGTGCGCCTTGAGGCGAATGAAGATATTCGCAGGCTTCAAGTCCTCGGTGGTTTTCGGAGGGTTCGTCCGAGCGGATCCATTGGGATGTTTTTTTGTTTAATGCAAAAAAAAGAAAGAACGAAAAAAAAAGTGTTTCTTCGCCAAGGGGGGACAACCTGAGTATAGCTGTTCCACTACACCGTTCTGAGTGGCTCGATGGATCACATGGGCACAGTGCAAGTGAAGAAGTCCCAGCAGCACCTGGCCGTCAAACTATGGAATTTTCGAGGAAAACCTAGTCCACCAACAGAATACAACCTGCCAAGCCTGTCAATATGTGTGAGATCTTTGAGCTATGCTCTATATACAGTCCAAAGGTAAAAGTGCTTGGAATCTATCCAATCCTCGAGAGGCAGCCTCAAGACACTCTTAGATATGGAAAAAAGGCGATGGGCGACAGAATTCAGCACAGCATCTGTCTTCGCCACGCTTCCCGTCTTCGTCTCACCTACTCTACTCCAAGCATCGCCTGCGGCCCCGCCTGCGAACAGTAGCTACGGCACAAGCTCTCCTCCAAAGGTACACCACGGCCTGGCCAAAATCAATGCACACACCCTCCCACACCCTTGTGTGTGTGGTCATGCTTTTCATAGTGTGGCTCGCTTGCAGGAATGTGCAACTGCATGCAAGTGCAAAGTCTTACAGTAGACATACCAACAGTTACTAACATTTCCGGATGCATCAAGGAGAATTCCTAAGGTCTCACAACAAACAACTTGAGAGGAGGGAGACACGAAAGGTAGGACAGCGGGAAGAGAAGAGAACGCGAGAGGCAGGAGCAAAAATGCAATGTTCGACATGGTGATTTATCCCCTCGGAGGCGACCTTTCGTAAATATAATTTCATATGCACTCTAAATGTTCAAACATATGCTCTCGAAATGTTCAAAAAGATTCTTAGGAAAACAAACTTGCCCCATGGCTCAGAGCACCAGTGAGCATTGAATCGGAGCATCATAGGATTTGAACTATCCTGAAACCATAAGAGGCTCACGAAGACGTTCCCCAGGAGAGAATTGACATGCTTCACAAAACAAACTCTAGGTATGTATTCCCTCAGGGAACACCTTTCGTGATTAGAATATCATATGCACTCTTTCTCAATGTTCAAGAGGGTTTCAACTATCCTGAAATCATGAGAGGCTCACGAAAACGTTCTCTAGGAGAGAATTGAATTTAGAGAGGGGGGGTTGAATTGAATGATCAATCATTAGACCCGGACGCGCCAACACTTGCTTCGCAAGACAAACTCTAGGTATCCCCTTAAGGGCTACCTTTCGTGATAACGCAAACCCCTCATGGACCTTTCAAATGAGATAAATGGGGGCCGAGCAATTTCATCCAGCATTGGTGCCTGGTCCCCAGTTAAACCGCTGGTCGTCCCCACCAACGCTGCCCACCCACACCACACCTCTGACCAAGCGATCAAGATCACAGTCCATGAGCCTCGTGTCCGAGACGTGTCTGACAGGCGACAGGCAAGCTGAAGCGTTGGGCAATGGATGTCTGTTGTGGCAACATTATTGGAGATAAAGGATAGCTTCACAATCAAAGTCACAAAAACCCAGCAACAACGTACTACTTATGTAACATATGTATGTATTATGTAATTGTATGTAATTGTATTGTATTACAATAAACGAAAGATTGACACAAGAAGGAAGCATTCCAAGTTGATCAGCTTGCCAGTCACACACTGCTGGGCACTGAATCAGCGCTGCACTCCATTGAAATGTACAGCTCTCCTGAACATGATGTCGCATGTTCGACCATTTTTCTGAGCAAAACAGTAAGAAAACATGCCCTTATTTGTGAGCTCAGCCCTCAACAATTGGAATATCCAACTGAATACTTTGGATCGGGCGCCCTGATCTTGAAACACAACCAAACAGTGATTCTTATACTTCCAACCTCAACAAACACGGCCAGGGCCTCCAGATTCCACCAGCAGCACCTGGGCACCGGTGCGAATGGCCCGCGGTGCCCGAGCGGCGCGGTGTCCACTCGCGCCCGAGGCGTCGTTTCCGGTCCGCAGGGAGGGCGTTGTTTGTGCCCGGACGAATGCCCTGAGATCAGCACATCATGCAGTTGCAAAAGATTGGGATGTCGAAAGTGTCGCATCAACTTGATCTCTCTCAACCTCAGTGAGCAAGAGGTGTCTGTTCGAATGGTCCTCTGCGCAACAAACAGTGGTGGTGCTTTGCTACAAATACGCATACCAAGCGACGTTTAGGGGACGCACAAGGTGATACGCATGGTGTGATACCGCATGCATGATAACAAACTTGTCCCCCCCCTCAAGGTGACCACGTTCGTCTCAGCATCAAGAAATTGTCAAAGACCTTTCGCCTCAGCAAAGCAAAAGGCCTTCCCAACACTCGCAGCAGCACGTACATTGCTCTGGGTCCAAATCGCGTTTGTACCACCGTAGCTCACATCAAAAGCAACTTGTGCCACAGCAACTTGGGCCCCCCCGCATCCGCTTGATGGCCACATCCCTGCCATCGGTTGCATCACGGAAGGATGCAACCACACCTCAGTCGATGCAGGAAGCTACAACGACGTGCCGGGATGCAGGAGCCACAACGCCGGACAGGACACGCCAAGCGCCGCTGTTTTCTCAGTGCCTCAGTTTCACACCATAGCTGCCGCTCCCAAGAAGCTTTTGGAAGTGGTACCTGGAAAGTAGACACCGTCGATCCCACTCAACAACCCCCCCAGGCCCCTTCGCAACTCGGAGGACCTCCGTTCGACGCACGGAGCTCCGTGAATCACCGGCGCGGCCGGACGACCGACAGCGCCTGGCAGGCAGTTGGAAGCTGGAGGCTTCGCCGCCCAGGACCTTGGCAGGTTGCTTTTGCGTCGATCCTCCGCAAACCTCCCCCCACGAGGAGGCAAAAACGCTCCAGAAACGCAAAAAAAAGGAATGCAAGAGGATGCAAGAGGTGCCAGAGTTCCAAGTTCGATGCAGCGGTCTTCCACAATGTGCTCCCTTCTCAAAACGATCTCACCCAGTAAGTCGCAAACACTTCTAGCAGAGCGTGCACGCTGCATTGGGCAGCAAAGCCAGCATAGGGTCCGTTGAACGTCAGTTTGTTCGTTCAACTGGTCAAGGCTGATGCCAAAGACTGTACGCATAGAATTCCAACAAGGGTGCAAAGGTCCCTTCATTTTGAGGAAAGGAATCCACGCTTCAACCTTTGCTACTTAATTGAAGGTCCAAAATCCAAAATTCAACATCTTCATGCAAATCCCAATGTCTTTCAGAATCTCTTGAGCTCTTCACGGCATATGAGGACTCTGGGCCAAATGTCTCGGCACAATTTCCTCTCTAAAGTGCTTCATGCTACTGTGGACATGAGGAGCATCTCCGCTGCGTCAGAAGCTTGCTCGCCCAAAAGAACGAAACGCTCTTTTCAAACACGGAAGGAAAACAGAAAGAAGACGGGGAACGGAAGCCTTCCGTATATTCAGCACACAAAGGTGTTGCACTCCAGAGTCACACCCTCTGTGAGCCTTCAGAGCTGGGATCTGTATGTCACTGTATGTCTTATCTCACCTGCGACCGCTGAGTGCATAGCCCACCTTCGGTCTGCATTGGGAACTGTTTACAGAAACCAACGTTCAGCCGGCAAGCTAAGTACGGAAAAGCAAGTCCACGTATGAGAAAAATAAAACAGGCTTCTTGGATCCCGTGTGATACAATGTGATATATCCACCAAGGACACAACTGGGACTCGCAAATGAACTCGTTCTTTGGGAAAAATGGCAAATAAACACTAGCCAAGCAAGAGCCAACTCCCTCACTTCACTCAGGAAGACAACTCCCAAGCTCCTCAGAAGGTCTCGGCCAAGTCCTCGGTGCGTCCGCCGGTCGGATCCCGGTCCCATCGGACGGGAGCGAGTCGGGGAACCGATTCCAAAGGGCAGGCACGGGGCCCATCCGTGCCTCACCCCACGGCCATTTGGGAAAAACCAGCGGCACCAACGAGCCATCTCTTCGACGGACCATCTTCGGACCATTCAGACACCGCTCCGGGGCACCTCCGGGCAGCATTCTTCTCGGAACGCCGGGAAGGTGCCGATCCTCCGGGACACCCGGGCCCAGGTGCCGATCTCCGGATCGAGGTGATCGTTCCAGCTTTTGAAGGTCCTGGGACCGACTCGGGGGGGTAAACGGACCGGACAGGTGACGTCGGCCTTTGTCCGGAGGTTGGAGACCCCAGCGAACTCGAGAAGGTTACCAGCGAACTAAAAAGCAGCTGAAAACAGGTGTCGGCAGCTGTTCGAAAGAACTGTGAACAGTCCTTCTGATCTCTGCATAGTCTTTCTTTCTCACGGCCTGTGCACATATCCATCACACACAGAACGGGCTCTATCCGTGCTGTGGTCGCGCATCTGGATAGATACATCAACACAATAGGATGGAAGGGAAGGTATGTGAGAAACACACATTCTACCAACCTATGATCCTATCCTATTTCACATATTATATATACATACATACATATATATATATATATATCAGATGCATGAATACTGTATTTAAGTTTCCCTAAAAATCTAGGGACCAAATGAATAGTGCGAACACTTCTTCAAGGAAGCTCACCCCCGCCCTTAGCGGGGGAGCTTCCTTGAAGAAGCGTGAGCTATCCTGCGTCCATACTGGTATCATAAGTAAGGTACTGGCTACCTCTCCCTTACTTAATTCAGTAAGCGCCTACTTAATTAAGTAGGGAGGGAGGAGCTGAGTAACTTACTGTAGATACATTGAATCGAAAAACTGGCAGAATCCGCCTCCTCAAAGGCTGTTCGGTCGCTCTTCAATTGTGCCACGATGGGCTCCTTGGCGATCCGAACGGTGTGCTCCACGTGAGTCTTGAGATGAGTTCCCCTCCCATGAGCAACGGCCCAAATCCGGAAAAAAACGTCCAAGGATGGTTGTAATCCTCAGGGGTCACCATCCATAGCTGCGGGTTGTGGTCGTCAAGGACCTTCCCTTTTCCCGGCCCAGCCGATGGACCCTCCGAAATGACAAAGGTAAAGGTGCGGCGCAATTGTGCAGCTTGCTGCGATCATCTGAGGGCGCCACACTCATATCAGCTTTCGAAACGCGCTGAATCAGGCTGTAACCCCTGGGTAAAAACATTGCTTTGAAAAGAAGCATTTGACAAAGCTCAAGGTGACAATTGGCGCATCCAGCTTAGCATGGCACTCCATGGCAGTCATTAGCTTTGGAAGGTCCTGAACCAAAACTGCCACCAAAAGACATTGATACACTCCCTGAAATAGTCATGGAAGTGGACGACACGGCCCCTTGGACTTACCATTTTCAGAACACCAAACAGGTGGTGAACTCCACATCCGATCTGATGATTTTGGGGCGAGTGTTGGGAGTTGCGAGACTTAGATGGAAACTGGAAACACAAACACGTTCCAAAAAAATGAACCAGTCTCCTTCTTGATGAACCGGTCAATCCCATCCTCAAACCTGGATCGCTTCACGTCCAGCACCTTCGGCCTCCAGAGCTCGGAGCCAGCGCTCGCAGGCGAGCTGGGGGGGAGCGAGTCAGAAGTTCAAAGCCACGGGAGGGGAGGTAGAGTGGAGGGTGAGTCTTTTCGTCTTCGTTCTTCATCTGTCCCATGCTTTTCAGAGTCGCTTTGATCCAAAAGTCGGGCCAGCCGCCAACGCATTGAGCTACGGGCGAAAGACCATTGAGAATGGCATCAACGACAGTGGTTCCATTCGCACGAGGAATCCTTGGCAAGCAAAAGCGGAGCCAATTCGACGGACAAAGTGCTGGTCGCTTAGCAGCATGGACGCTGTTATACCATCAAGACCTTCTTGTCTAGGAGGAAAGATCCAAAGCTGTGTGGTACAATGGGTTGAAGGTTCTGCATATTGTCTGCAGGTAGCAACATCAGTGTACAAGTTGAAGCGTCTCACCAAAAAGAAAGGTAGACCTGCAACTGAAAATGGATCAAAAAATAGTTTTGGCCTTCAGAAGAGATAGGGGCGGGGGGGAGGGTCAAGTCTAAACTTACTTGCTCGTGCTTTGGCAACTACCTGGAAACAGACAGTCAGCGTGTGACAGCATGTTCTGCTGTAGACAGCACAAGGAAATGCACTTTGAGAGCACCCGTCCCACCATCTCTCTCGGAAGCTATGTCATCAAAAACAGTGACAAAAAACACAACATTATTGTTTTGTTTCCGCGGCTAAACCATCTCAAACAAGGCACATGATTCCATCCAGAGGAGCGGTGTCGAGTTCTGGCTTCACACCTCAACGCGCGTTTCGACAAGCTCAGCGAAAGGTGCTCAGCAGCACTTCCAATTCACGAGGGCAAAAATGGCGCAATCGAGAACGCTGCTCATGATGGTCATGCCTTTCTCCACCGGCACCGTAGCAGCCTGGCTCATCACTTGGGAGTCTTGCCTGTCTTGACGATACTCACGGCCTCACTTGTCCTGTATCATTCTGCATCTCCGTTGCACGTTGTCTTCCGAATTTTTCCTCTCAGTTTTTTAAAGAATTGCCACTTCTAAACAGGGTCCAAATCCAAGAATGAACCTGTTCGGTTGTCACCCACACCCAAAAGGGAATGACGGGACAGCTGCTTGTTTATGTGAAGCTGCGGCAGCAAAACTTCCACAATCTGGCCAGGGTGACACCACTGAGTGCATCTCCCGCCTACAACGGCACACGACGGAGGCTTGTAATGTTTTCTCTTGTTGGAAAGCTCCGCCTTTGCATCACAATCTCTCCAAAACGCCTAGAACTTAGAAAACAAACCCAAAATTCAAACAAACCACCTACAACGAACCACATCGAACGGTTTCCGAAAACAATCTCTGTCTCACTCTCCGCCTGATAATTTGCGATCCCCTTGCTGATCACTCGACCAGTCCTCAGACTTGTGTCGTCCGGCACAGTCGGGCCAATGCCCAACGGCACCAGGAAATCCCCCTGACTGTTTTCATTTACGAGTCGAGATTTGCAGATCCTTCGTTTTGCAGGTAGTAACCTTGGTAAAGGACTTGGTCCATGAACCAATGCTATGACAATTTCGTAGGGCCTTTCAAATCGTGCCAGGGAACCCCCGCCTGCCAAAGCTTCACTGGAGTCAACTAGTGTAAAGAGAACCTCTGAAGGTTTTTATATATAACTCTTCATGCAGCTCGCTCTTGTTTTCTTCCGCATCGGCTGGAAGTTGCACACGCCCATTTCGGGCAAAAGCGGCCACTCCAGCACCCATCATCTTCTTCTCCAGGTGTCCTCCCAACTCTTGCTGCTCAAGGTCTCGAGCCGCCTTCTGATGGAGAATGGGCCATGCTGACTCTGGGATTGCAGCCCGCTTCCAGATCTCTGCGTGAACGTAGATCTCCATGACCTTTGCGTTGATCCAGCGCCCCCGGCGCCTTGTCATGTCTGGGTTGTCGGAGCTCATGAGAAGCCAGGAGGCGCCTCCGGCTCTCAATGAACCCAAATCGAGCCCCTTCTTGGTCTGGAGGTGGTCCAGCAAGTTCGCCTGAACAAGACGCTGGAATCGGCTCCGGATTGTCGACCCCGAAGCCGGCCACAGCCGCTGATCAGGGCGCAAATCTTCGAACGCCGTGATGATGATTCTGACCAATTGGGGCTGGTCGACCTTTGCCATCTGGTGGCGCGCACATCTGAACCTTGTCTTGGGTTCAGCTATTTGAAGGAGCACGTACTCTATGGTGTAATTGACATCAGACGGGAGGACCAGGTCCCGCCTGAAGGCATTCACGGATTCTCCGATCCGGGTCAGTCCGGCGCATGATAGGGCGATGATGCCAGCGACCCTGCACCATCCCCAGCATAGTTGCCAATGAAGAGGTGGTGCGTCGGAGGTTCTTGTCGTAGCCAGCTGTAGGCCAAGTTTCAGGCCGGCTGAAGCAACCTCCTGACGCTTGGCCTTTTGGCCGAGACTGCGTTCACAGTCTCACTGTAGTGGCCGTACGGGCAGCCCGCCCGGTACAGCTCACGGCCGTACCTCTCAAGCAGCAGATTGACGGCCTCTATATCTGGGTTCCCGACCATGAGGAGGTCGTCTCTGGTCTCTTGGCGCGCTCTGTCACGGGCGTCTCTGGGCAGCAGTCTCATTCCATGGCTTGCCGCCGGCTACAGGGCCTAGGTTTCCTAGGAACAGGATGGTCAGAAGGAGGACCCAAAGCTTGGCCTGTCCAGAGCGGTGCCGAGAAGAGGAGGCAGGGACGTAGTGGGCTTTGTGGTGGCCATTATGAAAGCTCCTCCAGGCAGGAAAAGCCAGAAGGATGAAAGACTGACTTGGAAGAACCCCAAGAAATGCAACAAGGGTGAAGAAGGCCCCAAGAAGTCCAACCAGGGCAATCAGTCCAAAGTCCAAGACGGCTGACGAGCATAGCATCTGAAGGCCTGAGCGGTACCTGGCAGACAAGGGCATGCACAGGATTCTTGTGGTCCTTCCCCTGGGTAGCCAAAAGTGCTGTCAAACTGTTTCTGCTTGGGCTCAGGAACTTGGCGGCTGAAGGGGTAGTGCTTGTAGTTCCCATGGGCAAACCTCCATGAGTCTCTGTTGCAACTTCACGGCGGCAGGGCCTGGAGCAAGAGGAGGACAAGGCGAACCCAGTTTGCTCCTTTTCTTGCCAGTCCGGAGATCTTTGAGAATTGGAGCAGCTCCGTACATGTTGTCCCTGATGGGGCCAGGCTCCTGCAAGGGCTAGCAAAGTCATTGTCTCTGGTGGGGTGATCCGCTGGCAGTAGTCGAGTGGGCCCAAAATGGTAAGCAGGGTACAACGCTCCTGCAACTGTTCTCCTCAAGGCTGGACGGAGGCCATCTGAAGGAGACCGGCCCTTGACCAGTGCTGATTCGAGTCCATGACGACCGGAAAGCGAGTCTTCGGCCTTCTGATGGCCTGCTCTTTCATCAGCCTCTCGGCCGCTAGAACTTCTTGAATGTTGATGTGCCTGGGGCTCCTCCAGCTCCATACCTTGCACCTCAGGCTCCTCGCGCGCTGTCGCCAGGACTTTCTTCTGTAGGGCCTTGTTGAAGGTCTGGCCTAAAGCCTCTGCCAACTCATCGGTGTAAACTGCTGAGGGCTTGGACCACTTGCCTGCTATTTGTACATGCTGATGGCTACCATCACAGCTTCGCATCAACTGAGAGGTGTCGATGCCCGAGGTCAGGAAAACAAACTCCTTCTTGTGTATCGGTCCAAACATGCATGAGGCTGTGAACGTCTCCTTGGCCCCCCAGACCGAGCAGAGAAACTGCCACTCTGTGAGCTTCCTCATCTTGCTTCTTCTTGGCTGTTCAAGCAGGCCGGGAATGTTTGACCTGGCTGCCAACATCATCAATGACAGGGCCGGCAGGGCCATCGTTGTGCCTTGGAGGGTCTTTGGCCCGAGGGGGTCATAGTCATAGCTTCTGGACGCAGGATGTTGGGCCGGACTGAAAGTGGTGCATGGTGGAGCTATCATGAAAGAATCTAGCTTGCCGGATTCAATCAAGAAGAAAAGCCATGAAATGACTCGTAGGGCTCCACAGTCAAAATGGGGCGACCTGTCTAGATCAATGACAGGCCCAACAATCCAGCCATGGCTAGCAACCGCCTTTGCAACTTTCCCGGCTCCTCCACAAATATCCAGGAAGTGAATCGAAAAGCTATAGGCCTCTCCGGGCTAGCATCCTCCTGGGTCTCTGCTGGGGCCTCAAAACTTTCTTCATACATTGCATCGATGTTCTTGAGGATGGCTTCAGTTCTGGACAGCATCCTGGCATAGCTGGCTTTCTTTCTCCCAGACCTGCACAGGGCCCTTGCAAGGGAGTCACTGATCTCCGCTGAAACAACCGCTCCCTTGCCATCGGAGGAGTCCGTGGCAAAGCGTCGAGACTGCATGGTGGCTGAAATGTCTGAGGCGATCAGGGGGGCATAGAACTGCAAGAAGGGTCAACTCCTCTGCAATTGATCGTGGTAGGCGTACTGTCTTGGGGTTCTCTTGGTCAACCTCAGACATCTGGATCTTGTAGGCCTTCTGGAGGATTGTACATGGCAGCTGAGACCCACCCGCCGACCAGGCAGGCATGCAGTGCGTCTGAAGTGGTCTCTCTGGCAACAAGTTCAAGGGAGATGAAAGCCAGAGCAAGTCTTTTCCACACCGGAGCAGCTACCAGTACAAGTCCTTTGGATCTGGTTTGCAGAGATGCATCTATCTCAGCCCCAATGATCTTCCCTTTCTCTTCATCGATGAGGTCCTTGAGGGGGGATCCTTCAAGCCCCACCGGACCCTTGACCCCTTTCGGCTTCCAGCAACTCGGTGACCAGGTCCCAATCGAGGGTATCGGTCGAGAGCTCTGTGACTCTCTCTGGCCCGGATGAAGGTCCCCTTTCATCAGCGGCTGCAGCCCTCTCAAGATTTTCAGCAAGGCCCCTAACAGCGCGAGCGGAAGCTCGAACAGCCTCAATCAACAGTGGGAGAGCGGCCTGAGCGCTCATGCAAATACGCCGAAAGGCGTAGAGATGGGGTCGGAACCCGGTCAAAGCGCTGCACTGGGGCAGCGGAGGAAGATCCCGGAGGCCAGGGATGGAGGTAGAGCCAGCAGCACAGGAGAGCCGCGGAGAGGAAACCAAGGCGAAACCTGTGATGAAGAAGCAGGCCAAGTACGGCGCGGATGCCGAGCAATGAGATGGACAGGCCAAGCCGAACCAGCCCGACGCGCTGCCGAAAGAAATGAGCCGGAGCAAGTCTCCGACCCAAGGCTGCATGAAGCTTGAGCAGCGGCCAAAGCAATCAGAGTTACAAGTCACTATATACGGCCTTGCTTTTGGTGCGTCCCACTGCAATTGATTAAAACATTTGAACATTCAGCTCTTCCAAAAAAAAACAGAACGTTCAAAATGGTTAGGATCAGTTCACCTGCACTTTCTTAAATATGTTTAAACAGCTTAATGGGGTTTCTGGCAGACTTGGGAGATCCATCTGGATCAACGAATCGATCCTGTGCGGATCCCGTGCGGATCATCGACCGAAGCCGAGGGCCAAGTCGCTTGTTCTGCTGCTCCAAGGGAGCCTTTGACATCTTCTCATCGAAGACGATGACCGACTTGGCACCTGCAAGAAAGTATGCGGGCTCCAAGAAACACTGCAAAAGAGGATCAAATCGTAAGAAGAAGAAGAAGAAGAAGAAGAGGAAGAGGAAGAGGAATGAAAAGAAAATATATTCTTACAAAGCGTTCCAGATCCACGGTGAAACAAACTGATGCTGGCCTGCAGCTTTGGCCATCTGGACCTGGTTGCGCGCTACAAGCTGTTGCCCGAAGGCAAGTGTCTGAAGGCAAATGGTTCTCAATCGACCTGAAATTCAAAACATGAAAACACCATGTCCAAAGAAGCTGGTGAAGCCAGTCTTTTCTACACAGAAGCAGCCGATCCAACATTCAGTGGGCCTTCTGCGCAAAGCTGCAAATCCCTCTGGCGACCAGAGCCACAGAGCCAGGCTGCAGCAGGGCTGATGTGCAAGTGTGCACTTGGACACTGGGTTCGTGTGGAAATTGGGAGACTTGCAAAGGACAACAATCTGACAAGCAATTCAGACTGAATCTGGAAAGAATCTAAAAGCATAAGAGGTATTCTCGGACAATTGAAATCGCAGCGATACTCAGAGTCTCAAGACTTGCCTCCACCTTGTAAGGCGTGCAGCCATAGCGAGCATCTAGAACGCCTGGACTCTTCAAATACCTGGAGTCCGGGTGAGTCATCCAAATCCGCTGGCATTTGCCCAAAAAACTGTCCTACCAACTGTTACCAGCCCGCTCTTTTTAGAACCGGCCACTGCGAAAACAACCGCTGTTGGGTTCTGCAACTGAGAAACTTCTTGACATCATAAGCCACAGAGTGTGGGCCGAGATTGTCGCAGTCCACTTCAAGTGGAGCCACTTTAGGAGGTCATCATGCGTCATGTTCTTTCCGAATTTGCGTGGTCCTGTTAGGTAGTGCGGTGTCCAACCCAAGTGTACTCCACTGAACATTCCAATCCTTGCAAGACAAGAAACTGAATCAGGTAGCGATTTTTTTTCCCCACGGAACCGGTTTCACAAAACCCAAAGCGAGCATGCTTCCTCGGACATACCAGTTCTTCTAATCAGAAAAAACTTGTCATTCAAGGCGATTCCAATCCTCCCGCTATTCTGCCGAGGCACCCATCAAAAACGGAATCAAGACCAGAGTACCATTCTGCCAGACGAGCCTGAGGAGTGAATTCCAGCAGAGCAGACTCAACAACAAAAAAGAAGCAGAAAACGCTCAGATTCTAGTAGGGTGGAGGCCATCGCTAGTAGGTTTGAGGCCATTGCTTCTAGGTTGGAGGCCATCGCTATTACAAACAAAGAGAAAAGAAAAGGAAGAAAGGTCTCAGATTGAGACTCTGAAGTCCACACGTTCTCCGGCCTGGAACCACAAAATTCTCGCTTACTGGGACGGCACCGGGGCACCCATACTGACACATTGGACCTCCGTCATGGGCCGAACCTGTATCTCCACTTGCAGGATCAGGTCATCTCGCAAACCTCAAAAAATGACGCCGACATTGCTGGAGCAAGTTCAACCAGCCAAGATGAGGCTTCGACCCTCAAGCTTCTGATAGTATTTTCCTTGCAAAGCCAAACAAATGTTCGTGCATTTGTAGACTACAATACAATAGAATGTCTGAAGGGTGCAAAGTGCAGACTAAGTCTCGAATCTTTGGGACTAACGTTGACTTGGCATTCATGATGCGATCTTGCCTGCTCGCGTGGCCGATGATTCCCTGAATCCTCAAGCCATTGGTTCAAACTGTTTTTAGGTGGATGGTACAGAATCGGCGGTGCGCAAGGACACACCCTGAAGCCTAGCTCGTTCTCAGGTTCGCAAGCTGGGCATGGAAGTTCCCGTTTTGGAGGGACGCCTGAAGGCTTCTGCCTCATTGGGCGATGCCCAAAAAGCTGCGGAGCCGGCAATGGCAGACTCCTGAAACAATCCGTGCATCAAAATGGATGGCAAAAATCTTAGGACAAAACAAGTGAGATACACAATGTTGAAACTGTTCGAGCGCCGAAACACTTTCTGACACCTGCAACAGTAAGCGTCTTCCAGTGGAGGGCCTCGGCCTCAAGGTTCACAGATTAGCCAAGCAAAAAAACACTGCAAAACACACGAAACAACGGCCAAAATCTTTGGGCCACGGGCTCTGCTCCCTTACCTTCGGATGCCCCGAGCCAAGCTTGCAATCGAAGGCCTCGAGAGAAGAGCCAAACGGGTCCACTGCGGGTTCCATCGTGCAAAGCGCAGGGCCTTGAAGAACCGCAAGTGCTACAACAAGCACGGCGGCCTCAATTTAGACAGAAAACGGCACAACAAGAGAAACACAAATTGAATTATTCATCATGAACTACCAAAAATGGTGACTTATATATGGAACCTTCATTTTGTGAGGTTTCTGCCACGGTCGGCAACGCGCCGGGTCGAGGACGTGCCTCAGTGAGCATCTTCGATGCAGGGTAAGAACAAAATTGATTTTTAAGTTTAATTCCAATAGTTTCTTGTTACTACTAGTAAAGCACCTGTTACTACTAGCGTGGCACTTGTTACTAGTAGCAAACGAAAAAACGGCCATCTCAGAGCAAGACTCGGTGTCTCGCCACCATCTGATCCACTGAAGTGATTCCAGCGTTCTGAACGTGTCAGCGGTTCTCGTATGGCATGTTTTTTCCCGTACGTTGTTGTGACCACCAAGCGTGATGCCCAAACAAAAACGTTGACCTTTTTTGCGATTCTTTTGAGTCCCACGTTCGGACGTGTGACATGTGCATTGACATCTGTGCAGCAAGGGAAACAACACGAGTTCACCTGAAAATCCACAAGCAAAGCTGCAGAACGGAAAACATTGGTTTTGCAAAATAGATGCAGGGTCCAAAGTTCAAAGCCACAAAAACGGAGATGTGTTTGGCTCAAATGTTGAAATCCAACTTGAGCATGTAAGTTCACCCCACAGCCAAAACCATACGACTCAGCGATGCTGTCACACATCGACAAAAAATATCAAAAAAATGTTGCCAGGGTTCTGGTCTAGCACATTGACAAGTTATCCTTGGCTTGCAATGTATGTTTTGTACCAAGTTGACTCACAAATAAAAGTCATCGCCTTTTGAAAACTCTATCGCTGTGCCCACAAAATGAAGAACTACATGCCAAAGTTGTCGAGAGTAGCCAACATAGACCTTGCCCCTGACCCTAATTTTGATTATGGAGAAAACAGACCACATAACAATGTACAACGTGTTTTGACCACACTTTTCTTGTTGGTTCCTGTTGTTGTTTTTTTCCTTCGCTGCGCGCATTGTGGTCGAGGCCACGCGTCACAACTTTTTGGCTCCCGTTGTTTTATTGATTTTTTCGTTATATTCATTGTTTTTGTATGTGTTGTAAATATCTAGTCATCTCTTCTCTATAAAACAAAAAATTCAGTTCCATGATGATTTTCTATAAAACTGAAGTTGTTTCTCCTTCTTTTTAGAGGTTTCGATCCGAAAGGGGGGAACCAAGAAAAACACAAGAAGAGATCAAACTATCAAACTGAAATCACTGCAAAATACATGAACCGCTTAAGTCCGCTCCTTTTTAGACACGTCTCGTTGGGAGAATCACTGCCTCCGTTTAGAGGCTCCGGCACACATCTTCGAATGCGTTGAACGAACATTGGGAGAGCTATCGCGGCCCAAAGTTACTTGTGGATGCAACAACAGCTCGCGGTTCTGCCATAGCTTCAAGGTACTCAACATCGTCAAAGTGGTAAAGAAGAAGGCTCACATACGCAGTGGCCTGCGTCACGCACTGCAACGTAATAGGCATATTGGAGCGTTCGTGTGGATAGGTGGAGAGAGGGGAGGCGGAGGGCAAGATTCGAAACAGAGTTCACAAGTCTGAACGTGGTTGTGAAATCTGTGAACGTTACTAAGGCCAGCATGTATGTGAGATCTGTTGATTAGGCCAGCAAGTATTAGCATGAGTCCCGCATGTTGGTCAACCCCAGGTTGCATTCTTTTCGTTTTGGGCACATAAATCGGGAAACCCGGAATCATCGAGTGAACACGAACTGAACGAAAAATGACCAGCGGATAAAACCTTAAAAAGAAAGCACTACTCTTCTTTTTAGAGGTTTTGATCCGAAAGGGGGGAACCAAAAAAAAACACAAGAAGAGATCAAACTATCATTTTTTTGCACGAGTGGAGACGCCATGTGTGCATGGTGCACAGGTCATCTTGGACTAAGTAATGAATCTCCAAAATCTCAGCACCGAGGAGATTCAAGTCTGTACAGATAGAGTGAAACATCAGTGAAACTGAACTATGACTCTTTTGTTTTGGACATTGAATTCAGAAGTGAGCTCCGGAACATATCTTGCTAGCTTGTATCTAGTTTGTTCTTGCGCGAAAGGAGGGCAGCAGGCCTGTGAAACAGGCCAGTGCAAGAGCACTCGTTGAAATCAGTGCTCTGGCAATTGTTCAAGGCTCATTGGTGTGTAGTGGGCAAACCAAGCCGGAGCGTCATTCAGCACTGCGAATGAACAGTGACTTAGCTCAGTTTCGTCACAATCTTGAATCCAAATCGGTGCCTATGTCTAAGTACTGAGATTTGCAATCTGTTCGCAGGCGAGAACCTCAGTTCTTGTCCTGTGGCAGTGAGCATAAACAGACCGTACAGTTGGTTGGATCGCAGGCGAGTGCCTTGGCTCTTGTCCTGGGGGTGGGTCCGTCCCTGCCAACCTCAAAGTGTATAGACGGCACCGCACTCAGGTTTCACATGGGCAACGCATGACCGCGGCAAGTCTGCCCTGATGTCGAGGCATTATCTGATCAAGCAAGCGCAATGCATTTTTCGCTTTACTCCTGCAGGCTTAGCTGTTAAGGAGTGTGCTCATGTTTTTTTTTTGCACGGGTGGAGACGCCATGTGTGCACAGATTGCACAGGTCATCTTGTGCTAGTTAAGAGAGAGTTACGAGCCAGGATGCGAAACCGAAGAAAAACACCAGCAAAAACACCAAAACCAAACAACAAACAAAACAACCAACCCAACCCAAACAGACCACGAAGCATTCTGGCATGTAACTCAAGAAGGTCTCGTAGACCGCAAAAGCGTGAAAGGTGAAACATGGGGCTATGAATTAAGCAAAGGCCTCTCAGTAGTGCTGGACAGTGCAAGTTTTGTCTATCTTCATTCAACGTCATCCCTTCAATGCTGCAAAGCGTCCTGAGATCAGAACGCTGTGCAGGCTATTGCACTTGGAGGGCATCGAAAACATCGCTTGCGACGTTGTGCAGTCAAACGAGCAATCATTATCATTACGATGCCGAGTCAACCTTTTCCTCTGCAGCATCGAACAGGCATATGGGGAAAGACCACTGTGAATAGTTCCCGATAGCTCCAAGCCTTCGGACAACAGGATTCAGCGATTGCTAGAAATTTCTTTGGGAAGGCGATTGCATACTGCAAATAGCCACCCCTCCCCGGCGGGAAGGAGGGCAGTGGACACACTCTACTTGCGTCGGTGGCTCCCGAACAGCTTGGCCCACGGGAAGACACAGAAAGGCTTTTTTGCACGAGTCGAGGCGCTGTGTGCGCAGGTTACGCACAAGTCACCTTAAGCTGGTAAAAAAAATTGCACGAGTGGAGGCGCTGTGTGTGCAGGTCATGCACAAGTCACCTTAGTCGAGTTAAGAAGGAGTTACTAGACAGGTTGCGCAAAACACGAAAGGACCAAAGCAACCCAAAACCCACCAAAAAACAACACAACAAGACCCAAACCGAGTGCAACCTGTAGCGCAGCTCCGAGAGCCAAGAAGGCTTGAAAAAGGTGAGACAGGGGCGATGAATTCCGCAAAACGCTCAGTACTTCTTGTTCTTCATGAGGCGGAGCAAGGTGCAATCGAATCAGGGGCATAGGAGCCCAGCGAGCAAACGGTTGCATGTGCTGTTGCAAGTACTGATTAGCCATTTATCACCCTGTGAGTGCCGTAGCACCGCCAAAAAGGCAAGGATGAAAAAGATGGGAAGGATTGCACAGTCCAAAATTGCAGCGTTGCTACTGTGCTCTTACCACCAGTGAAAGTGTGCATCAAATAGATCCGAATTGTTAGTGAGGGAATGGCCCTTTGACCAGGGTCCATTCGTCACGATTTGCTTTTTTGCCAGCAGGTGGCCACGAATGCGGAACCAAGGAGGTGCCGTCAAGGGAAAACCACGGTCACTCAGCTCGGTATTTCCAAAAAGCCCAGGATGAAGGACAGTGCGAGGTCACCGAAATGGTTCAAAAGAGGTGGCGAGGGAGAGGTGGCTCCCATTCCTCCCCCAGAGGGGGAGGATCAATCAGAGCGTGTCAGGCAAGTCAAGCACACAGGGCTTGATATAGAGCGTGCGCCGTGACATGCTCCAGGTGTGGGCAGTCATCCTGGACCATTACTGCACCTTGTGTTGCTTTTCTTCTTCTATCAGCCTCTTTCCACCGCGGCCATCAGGAGCGGCCAAAACATGCATGTGCCCCATGAACTACGATGCTAAGTTAGGAGGTGAAACAGGGTGAGACGCCGTTTTCCTAATTCTGTACACTGTACTCATCCAGAACCACTACACGGGTAGCAGGCTGGGACTGGCTAACTACTCAGTGTCGACGAAGGCAGCTAGCACTGTGTCATTGGCTGGTACGCACAGGACCAGCACACGGGTGTTGGTCAGCAGCCTACTTTGCTTATGTAGTCATTATTGGTAAACCGAAGTGCGCTTGCAGCTTTCAAAAAGACATCACGAGATGTGATTGGGATATGATTGGGGTCTAGCCAGCACACGGGCGCAAGCAGTGACGCAAGACATCCGTGAGCACGTCGACACCAAACCCTCAATCGAGGGCAGCAAAAGAGTCATCTGCCCATTGATCCTCGTCTTCTTGAGTGCGTGGCAACCATCGAACCCAATTCGGCATATCTAAGTTGTCACAGCGAAGAAAAGCATTTCCTCGAGAGTAAGTGCCCCGCCAGGTCACACTTTGGCCATTTCCCTGAAAGCGACAGAGCTGTGTGCACCCCGCAAAAAGCTCGTCGTGCAATATAGAGCAATGTGGGAGGCACGTGCACCTCTGTTAAGGAGGCACATTTGAGGAAGGCTTCCTGTCGAATTATCCTCAGTACTCCAGGGAGTTTCAATGTCTGCAAGTGTTTGCAGTGTGCAAAGGTACCTCCCGTGATTTCTGTGATTTCAGTTCGTGAGAGATCTACTAATTGCAGCTGCATACACCGCTCGCAGGCACTCGGCCCCATCCAATTAAACTTTGGAGGTAGGGTCAATGCGGTTAAGCCGGCTTCCATGAAGCAGCATTCCGGCAAACATCGCGTCCGGCCGTTCGGCTGGTGCTCCGTCAGCTCGAAATTGATTTGACGCAGCACTGTACATTTACGAAAGGCACGGGGCATGAGCTCTGCTTGTGGAGCGAGCTGATTGGTGGCGTCATGAGAAGTCCCAATCTGCAGAAGCGCACAGCACTCTTCAAAGACCTGTGCTCCAAACTGCTTGCATCCTGGTGCAATGACTTTGCGCAATGCATAGCAGCGGTGAAAGGCTTGCGTTTGCAGGCTGATTACCGTGCTGTCCAGATGTACAATTTGGAGGCGCTGACAGTTCCGCCAAGCCCCCTCCCCTATTATACGGTAACCTGCATCAACTTGCACATGCCGCACGTTTGCCACATGCGAGAAGGCCTGCGGGAAAACTCTATCGATATAGTAGAACGGGACTTGCAGGGCTTTGGCTTCCCCTTGCATTTGCCCCTTATGCTCGGCTTGCTCAAAGCAGGGGCTGACAACAACAGTAAAGCAGTTGCAATCTCGCAACGTGTGCCAAATTGGGTCAACTAGCTTCTGTTGCGAGTTGCGACAGACAAAGCTTAGCTCGCACCCAAAGGTGCTGCTTTCACCTATCACTGGTAGTTGTTCCATGATTGCATTTTCAAATTCTTGCAGTCGGTCGAACTCCTGAATTTCAATTGTTAGCTGGGCTTCATCGCCAGCTAATGTGGTCAAGACCAAATACACAGTCAGTGCCCTTTCTTCACTCCACTGCGAAGTAGACACTGAGATATGGTCAGCAATCATGGCAGTCTCCCCTCTATATGACTTTGCACTCTTTTCTTCGGGCCCAAAGGGATTGCGTCTACTTACAATTTGCTTGCGCTCCAACTTGTGACTCGCTTGTGACTCGCATTCGCTAATAGCTTGTTCTGTGTGTAGTGGATAGGACAACTGCACGGGCAGTCATCTGATCGTTGATTTTTTTTCCTCCTCAAACAGTCA